GCGGACGAGGCAGCCGTGGCGGGCAAGGCAGCCGCGGCGGTCAAGCTACATTGAGAAGCAGCCCGCCCCACACCGGTAGCCGCCGCCACCACGCGGTGTGCAAGGCAGCCGCAGCAGAAGAACAAATTCTCCCTGGAAGCCCAAACGAGTCTGCAATCCACGGGCGACGTCCTGGACGGGGCGCCCACGTGGAATGCCCGCAGAACGGGGCCAAGCTCCGACTCTGGGCGGTGTCTGCCGACATGAACGCAGATAAGACGAACATACATGACAAGAATGTGGCCAGCGGGCACAAGACCCTCATGGTGGCGAGGATGGGTAGCGGAAGGAGCCCGAGCTCAACACAGAGACAAACCGTCTCCAATCCCGCCCTCGTGACGGCATGCGCGCGTTTGAGCTTCTGGATGGGCCAGCCGGGGCGTGTGAAAAAGTGGCAGTGCTGAACGCTCTTCTTGAGGCTTTCGTTCTTCCAGTCGTATGACGCTTTGGATACGGCAACATACCGCTGTGCTGTTTTCTGCGGAATCCGTTCGCTCTGGAAAGGAGTCACTGGCTCGGGCTCGGCTGAACGGCCGAAGGTTTTAATCAAAACATTATCAGTGCTCCCCGCGTTTTCCTTCCGATCTTGGAGTTGATTCTGGTACATGGTGGCGTGGTGCAACGAGACACGGCGCTGCACGCACAGGATAGTTAACCAACATGGGATGATAGTACAGGCGAGAAAGTACTGCTATGCAAGTTGGCTTGCGAAGTTCATGCTTAAGGGTAGCAACAGGAAGAAATGGAAGGATATCTGTTGAAGAACGACGTGCATGCTTACAAGGCCATTACGCCTCATGAACGTTATACGTGGCCCGAGGCAAAACGGATTCGCAACTGCAGCCATCACCACCATTAGCTCATTGCGCATGAGTCTTGCCCCTGCCGTCGTGGTGTCCACCAATCTACGGTTCAAGTGCCGGCCTCTACACCAGCTCTCAATGTTGACGCCGTTTCAGTGGACAACGTTGTCTGATGGGCAGGAGCCATGCTTGTCCCACCTGCGATCATAACTAGCTGCAGACAATATCGGAAGCAGACCTCCGCTGCTAAATATGGGCACCTCTGGGCAGTCGAAACATACTATATCCACCAAATTGCTTAGTGCACCTCTCTTGCCGGGTCCTACGCAGTCACCGATGCAAAACGGATGCTGGCACATCGCCTCAGCGCCTCCTTCCAAATTCATTGCATACCACGCTTGAAGTGCCCATTAGAGCGTGCGCATCAGTGCGATGCACCACGATGTCCTTCATGCTCGCGAATTTCAGGCCAGCCAGGGGAAGGTTTTCCTGACACCGATCATTTCCGATTATGAAGATCATGAATGTCATGCAAGACATGATGGCATCTTCCAGTAAGCCCAAAGCGAGAAAACTGAAAAGGCTGAACAAAAGCAAAACAAAACCCCAAACCACAACTTAACAACACCCTGAAACCCGTAGATCTGAGCCTTAAAAGTACGAGCCTAGGACCCCTGAGCCCTGAAGCAAGACTTCGCGACTTTGATGACCTTCATATCCAAAAATGAAGGGTATCGGACATTCGAGGCGCCACCAATCCTTCTCGGACACCTCAACACCGCCCATCAGCCCACCTCAGCCAACGCGCTGACCTGTGCGCATCGGCACTGGCTGGCGTGGCTGCTGCGACGCTGCTGCCTCGCCTGTCCGTGACTCCCGGCATCGCACATCGACATTGTCAACAGCGGCTGCCCGGGTTTGGCAGCGCCATTGGTAGCAACGCTGCCGCCGTCGCTTTTCATGGCCCAGCGCTCCGCAGTAGCTTCGCGGCGCCGGCCGATGCTCCGCAGCCCCACACGGCCGCTCGAATGCCCAATGCTGTCCGCCGCACTACCCGTGCTCGCACCGTACGAGCTCAGGCCAATCACCCGCACTCGGGCCCTCGAGCTCTGGTCTGCAGCTGGCACGGTACATCCGCTACACTCGAACAGTGCGGGACTTTGCCTCTGTGAATAGCAGCCAAACGGCGATGTTTATCGTCACGTCGTTGCCATGCCATTCGCGAACATGTGGTTGTTGGCTCCCCTCCAGAGACTGCGTCGACACCTGCGCAATGCGTGGGCTAAGCCTGTCGCACAGAGCTCGACCGGGTCCGCAATTTCCCCACCAGGGCGCCGGCAAACGCGCCGACGTACGTATATGGTAGGCGCGCCTCAGCTTTGGTCCGGAAGGCCTTGCCGACAACACGTCATCGCAGCGCCCGGCCTCACCCCACGAGACAACTCACCCGCTCCTCCGTTTCTATTTTCTCCCCAGTTATTTTGTTCGCTCACCGGTCTCTCGTATTCGCGTGCGTCCGCGGAGGCGGGCGCGCGTCTTCCGCCTCGACCGCGGCGCCCGTCCACAGCCTCGGCGCGGCGCCGCGGCCCCCTGCCTCAGCTCCTCGTCCAGTAGATTGTTCCTTCGAGCGGCGAGCAAGCCGCGGGCGGTCCCCGGGGCCCGCCCCATGCCCGACGGCGACGTCCAGAATTGATTCCGCGCCCGGTACGGAACCCGGACAACGTCGTCAGCGCCGCGCCGCCCCCCCCGGAGCCGCACAAAAGGGCGCACTCGACGCGCTGGCCCCTGGGCTCGCGCTTTTGGCCGACCGCAGCGAACGGTTGGAGCCCAGGGCCCGGCGGGGTGGCCTCGGAAGTAGCCCGGCGCACTGGCCGCGCTGGCTACCTCGCTGTCCGGCGGGCGCGCCGCCGATCGCGGGGAGCGGCCGCCGCCTGGTATGGTCGTCGCCCGAGGCCCCCATTCCCCGCGGGTGCCGTCGAGGATCGACCCTGGCCGCCACGGGGCCCTCCACGCTCCGCCTCCAGCGTTCGTCGCGGCAGCGGGTGAGTGGGCGCCGGGCGACGCGGTGGCCGGGATGCGATCGCCGTGGATTGGATGATACTGTCTTGCGGGGATTGTATGAGGTTTGATTGGGCTTGGCGGGTTTTGCGATTGGGGAATTGTGCTCGAGGGCCCGGAGGGGCGGGGGGTAGATCTGTGGAGAGGGGCGTGTGCCGCACGCAGCTGTCGCGAGGGCGGGCCTGGCATTTTGGTCCTTCGGTCGGCGGGCGGCCGATCAAATTTACCGTTGCGCCCGACGGGGCCACGGACGTCGACGCGCATGATGTATGTCTCCGCGGTTTCCGGGGCGGGGCGACGCTCCAGAAGCGGTCATCAATCTCGGCGTCCAGTCGGGGAAGGTCGTGAAATCTGTTCCAGAATCGCGTCGCTGGCTGGATTCTCGCATTGGCGGTCCTTGGCCATCGAGTCCCAGCACCCTCGGGGTCGGACGCGCGCCCTCCAGCCCGGCCAAGGAGGCCGTCGGAAAGCCCTGCGGCTCCCAGCCCTCGCCACGCAGGTCGATAAATCTGATCTCACGGTTTGAATTCTCGGCAAAGTAGGCAGAGCGTGCCGCACGGACCCTTCTCCGGGGACCAGCGGGCCCCGTGCCCCGTGCCATGTGCAACGAGTGCGGGCGACCGCGATGGCTGCCGACGGCCCTTGCAGCCCACGCAAAGAAGCGCATCCGGGCAGAGCGACGCCGCCACCTGTTGAAAAGCCGCCGAGGGATTCCACGGTCGCGCTGGAAAGCCACAAAGGCGTCGAACAGATCCTGCTTGAAAATCTAAGGTCAACGCGCCAAGCGTAGGCTTTGAGGGCGCAATCTGCGCAGTCGCTCCGGAGGGCGGGCTCCGACTCGCCGTCCGCGATGGGTCTTGGACCGCCGCGCGACGCGGCTGCCCTCGAAAGTGTCGGAACCTCCAAAGCCCTCGCGCATGTGGGCCACCTGGCGCACCCCAGTTTCTGGCACGCCATTCTCCCGCGCCCCTCGCGTCGTACCGCTCTCGCACCGCCCCGACCAGAATCGTACCCCGACGTACGGCGCCTGCCCCTTGGGCGACCACGCAATGCCAACTTGTATCAAGCTGTCGTTTGTTGGGCAAGGTCAGCGCTGGCGCTGCTGTTTGTGGACCAAAAACTTTCCGTCAAACGCCGTGGATTTTTCTTTTTCTTTTTTTCTGGAAATGCGAGGTCTTTCCAGCAGAGTGGTTTCGGCGTTTGGAGCAGGCCGACTGTTGAACAACTTTTGGTAAAGAAGTTGCGGCTGCAGCAAAATGACTGCACCGCCAGACTGGATGCCTTTGTGTATCGACCCGCTTTTGGTTCGTTGAATGCGACGCCGGGAGCATCATCGCACTGCTGTTTGCGTCACCAAAGCGCCGTGCTGCTGCAGAAGGGAGCAAGTTTCTCTGCACCGGCTTGTCGCGTGGACGCTCTAGGTCACAAGGCATGCAATAATTGCCGGTGGCATAGTGCAGACATGATTTGCCGTTCTGAGCGGCTGCGAGGAAGCTGGGGCGCGGCACGTTTCATAAGAGAGCAGTGGTCTTTGTGAGCACCCCGCTGGCATGCTAGGCCCCCAGCGCCCCCGACACTTCTTTATTTGCATTGCTTTCAACACAATCAATCGCTCTTTGATGGCTGAATTGCTTGGGCTTCCGGCGCAGAGAAGATGCTGTATGGTGCAGCCCCGTCGAAGCCACGGTGCCACATCAATGCGCAAACATTGCCGGGTTTATGACGAAGGGCTATTTCCAGCTGAACTTAATAATCCCGGTGGCTTTTGTTTCGATTCGTGAACTTCATTCGGTCTCATCCAAACGGTCCTTAGTGCACACGCAATCGACTTCGACCACAACAGAACTCGAATGACCTCCCCTGCATCCCATATTCCGCAACAAAACCGTCTCACCCATCCATCCTTCACCCGCAAAACCATCAAACACAGCCCTACGTGGGAAGAGCGTCCGGCCCGGGAACTCACCGCGCCCTCGTCGCAGGCGGTCTTGAATGGCGGGAGGTGTGTGCGGAGTGCCGGGCTGGGCCCCCGGGCCCCTCCGGCGCCTTGACTGCCGCACGCCGGGGCCGCCCGTGCCGGCGCCCCCAGAGTGGTACGTCATGACGTCCATGCTGAGGGGCCGCGGCGAGAGCCCACCAAGCGTCGAAGATGCCCCGCCAATCGACGAGGCGCCCGCAGATTCCTGCGACGAGGAGGCGGCCGAGGATTGGTACAGCAGCTGCGGCAGCCGGTGCTCTCAGGGCTACCCGGTTGCAATGGAGCACGTGTCCGTGCCCATGGGGGAGATTTCCGTCAACGCCTGGCGCAGGTGAGCGCGCTGGGAACGGTCCGTGACCGAGCGCTCAAAACGGGTCCGATCTGTGGAGCCGATCTGCGCTGCCACTCAACACTTGGAGAGTGCCGCGAGCGATTCCTCAGAAGCGTCCTGCACCTTGTGCTCAATCATGGACGCATCGAAACTTGTGAACACCCTTCCAATCTCATTTCTCGACTCTGGACTCCTCTGGAATGGGAAATTCGTTTAGGAAACGCTGCTGCGCCGTTGGCATTGTCGCCGCCAACTTCGGCTTTGCCATTCGCAACGCGTGTCCGCGTCCCCGTGGCCACAATTTGAAAAAAATTCGGCACTGGTTACGAAAAATTTACGACAACTGTTTAAAAACATACGGCAAATCTGCCTCGCAGGTCTGTTCCTCGGGAGGTGGCTGACTGGGACGACCAGCCCCCCTGGTCGGACAACAAGCCCTCCATCACATGCACCGAGGATTCCTACTTCTCCGAAATGCACAGCACCTTCAGCTCCGTGCCTCCCCTGGTCGAGTACGACAAGGGCTTCGTCACGGACTTCGGCCATTTCTGGAAGTCCCCACGCTCCATCAACGACTCCATGTTCGAGGCGCGGTACCAGTGGGAGCGCGACACAGCGGGGCACAACTCGGAGAAAGACCTGGACTTCCCGGACGAGGAGAGTCGGGCGACGAGTCCAGAGGTGGAGGCGCCGGGGGAAGCAGGAGGGAGGGTGAGCAGAGCCGCCACGCCTGATCCTTGCGACGGTGAGTGGTAGCCTTTGGTTGCTCTGGAAAAATCGTGTCTCCTGTCCCCACAGCTGCAAACTTCTTTTAACGTGCTTAACACGGCCTTAATCGGTGCAAATCGCGCGCCAGCAGCGCGCCGCGCAAAGCATTGCCTGTCATTATGATAATTGTTACGTGCTTGCTATTTATCCATTCGGGGGGTAAAATGGGGTGGCGTCGTGCCCAACGGGCCACTTCTTGCCTGTTCAGCGTGATTTCACGCTCGTTGCATTCACCAACCTTAGAAAACTGTGGAACATGCGCCGAAGGTGCCGGGAGATGTACATGGGGGGTGATCGCATCATACTGGCCGATAGGGGCGATATTCGTTCATGTCTGTAGGACCCGAATCTCCCTGAAATCTGGTTTCACGGTTGTGCGGCCCCCGACGGCATTGGTCTCAATTCACACCGGGGGGCGAAATTTTGTTCTACTCAGCTGTGCGGCTGCAAACGCGAAGTACGCATTCCAACTCCGTGGAGTCGCGTACCAGTTTGGCTCCGCGATGTAACGCCCGACCATATTTAGATGCTGAGACCAGCATGTGCGGATGTGGGTTGGTTGGGCTTCCATCGAAATCTCCCGAGGTGGTCTGTGGGCGCGCCAGTAGTGGCCAACTTTACATTGCGAAGGGTGCCGAAGGCCGCCTCATGGCTCCAGTGGTACACCTCTTATCCAAGAGCTCAAGTTCAAGTTGACGGGAACTGAAAGGCTTGCAGGGAGTGAAAACTTTGTTCGACGTTCTGTTGTTCCAGCGGCGAGCGAGGGGAGGGGGCCGAGGCCTGGGCCTGACAAGAGGCGCACGAAAGGCAACCCCCTGAGGCTGTTCGTGTCGCTGTTCACCAAATGCTGGAGGCCGGCCGTGCCCAATCTGGGCCAGGCTGCCGTGGCGGCGGCGGCGGCTCAGAGCGACGACTACTTCAGCGAAGGAGCGGAGGGGGATGAGCGGCACCGGGACGTTCAGGCCACCATTGATTCCATGGGCACTTTGGGATCCATGAAGGCGGACCTCCATGAGAAATTCGAGGAGGGGTTCCGGCTGCGCCAGGTGCGTGCCGGTGTTGATGCAACGAGCATTCATTCGATGTTTGTATGCCTGCAATGCGTTACTTGGCTCGTTGTTCAAGTGAACTCTGGTGGCACATGGGTACTCGTCCTGGGCAAGTGAACTTCTCATGCATTCATGGTCGTGCATGTGCGCGAATGTTCCAGCGCTGGTGCCGACCGCAGGGCAACTGCTACAGAAACAGTACTCACCTTTGTTTGCAGCTTACCTACGATCTAGAACCAATATCCGTATTTCATCCGCATCTCCGGCGCCAGATTTTGCCAAAGATATCGAATTATCAATCAATCAATCGTGAACATAAAACGTTGCGAAACACATTGCTAGATATCGAGTGCCATCAGATTTATCAGATAAAATTCACAGTTATTCAGAAGATGCTGCCTATTGCATAGTAGAAGTACCCGCTTGTGAACAAATTTTGTTCACAACCGGATGTTGTTAAATATGCAACGGATGCACCGTCTGGAACGATCTCGATGGCACATGCCACATTGCACGCGTCTCCGTTCCAGATGTCCGCAACGCAGAAGAAGGACAGCGGCGACGTGCTGGCGGACGACCCCCCCGTGTCGCAGTCCCGAAGCTGCAGTCCCGCCAGCGGCGCGGACCTCGCCTACGACGGCGACATATCCGAGGTCAGCTTCGCCGAGGCGCAGGCCGACTGCATGGAGCGCAGCTGGGACGCGGGGGCGGCGGAGCAGGCCCGGAGCTGCGGAAGGCCGCCGCGGCGCTCGGGCTTTGGCATCGAGGAGGACAGCGACGGCAGCGTGGGGGCGGACGAGATCTTCGCGAGCTTCAGCGCGGTGGAGGCGCACGTGCACCAGCTGGAGATGGTGGATTTGGAGCTGAAGGACATGGCCAGGTGGGAGGGAGGGCGGGGGGGCAGTGCGGCGGTGCGGAATGCTCGACTGCAAGAGTGTGAGCAAGTGAGCGTGGTGTGTCAAAATGACCTACTTGCGAACTTGAAGGATGGCGATGGATTCTCGTCGTGGGCGCGAGGGAAAGCGCTGCAGTGTCGGAGAGTTCGTCCGAAAGGGCGGATGCGCCGTGTTTCCGACAGTGTTAGAATCAATAATCTTCGTTCCAAATGTCGTGCGTGGTTGCCCTGCAACGCATGTGCCAACAAAATAATCAGGTGGTCGATTTTGCCTGTCCCATGGGATGTCAATATTGCATGTTTCTCTAAATTGGCGGGCCGCGACGGAATTCTGAAACACTTGTACAATTGTCAGAGTCGCTGAAATCCCAAACGTCATCAGTTACTCTGAGCAGTGGTTGAATCCGTTTTTCCTTTCTTTGTTTGATTGCCGGACCAGTTGCATGGATTCACACGATCCTTGGCGACGTGCGCATTGCAGGGTCGCCTGCCATGATTTGGCGCTTGTCTGAGTTTGTGCTGTACTTGTGCTCAGCGCGGTCGAAACCGTCGAGGACAACTTCATTTTCGATACTGTTACCACCGGGGACGCCGAAATGGAGGACGTCCATTGGCCTTGGATGGATGGGGCCGGGCGCGGGCGCTGCCAATGGGGAATTGTAGCCCATTGAAGGGTGTGCCGTAAAGGATGGCTTAAGTATGGGTGGGGGTGGGAGCGTCGCTATGTCTTGGAAACTTTTTACACCAGGAACAACTTTTTTGGCAGTATGGCATACCGCTTCCGGTGTGCATTGCAATTAATTGAGATGTGAGGGCCAGGGGGCAGGTTGGGGGCAGCGCCGGGGTGTTTGGGGAGGGGGAGGAGCGGCGAGGGGGTCTGAGGTGCCATAATGTTTGTGTGGGTTTAATTTTTGGGATTCGAAATTGAAAGACTTTGCCGGCTGACCTGCGCGAGGGAGTGATCGGTGGGGCAGCGTTTGAGGGGGGAATCGGTTTTCGAGGCGGGGCTGCGGCCAGGCAGAAACGACCGTTTCGGGTGAGCACTGCATTGCTTTCGGATACAAAAATGATCTGTCTTGTGTTTGTGTCGATGCATTTGGAAGAATTTGGTGGTGATTGTGGAGGCGGGCGAGGGTGTGAGTGGCTCCAATTGTTCTCTGTCTTCTTGTAAACGATTCGGACATTGATGTGGTTGTGGGAAGCGGCAATAATGGGAGCGCCCGGCGAGGGGGATGCGGCACCGCGGCGCAGAGAGGCGGCGTGGCATAAGTAGGTTCGGGTTCCTTGGGGCCAGGCCCATTCCGCCGCCGGTGGGCCATTTGAATATGCATGCGAATCTGAAGGGCTCGGTGAGGGTGCAGGCTGGGCGGATGGGCCTGGCCGGCTGCCCGCCGCGCATCTCGAAGACCCGTCGCCACGAGCTTCCGAAAGGACCACTGCACGCCACGAGGCGCTCGGGAAGCGATCTGGGGGCATCAATAAGGCCGCGGTTTCCAGGAGCGGCAGGATGGCGCAGCCAGTTGGCCGACTTCGACTGAGCGGCCCCTCTCAAAATGGAACACTGGCTCGTGGGCCGTCTTTCATAAAGAGAGGAAGGTTTTCGGCGGTGCGCGGCATTCCCCTTTCCGGGCCGCTTCGTGCTGTGGTGATCCGCACGCTCGCGAATCGCCATTGCTTCCGTGGGCGGGACTCAAACGGGCAAGCGTTTTTCTTCGTGTGGGCGATTGGTCGTGCGCCGCTGGTTCGGGATCTGCAGCAGCGATGGATCGGTTGGGCGGCCGCCATGCGGTTGAGGTATCAAGTGCGCGCTCCGCGCCAGCGGACATCAGCTCAAGTCGAAAGCCAGTTCTGCGCTTTGGAATTCTGAACTGGGGGCGCTCGGGGTGTGGTCCCCCAATTGGCGGCATTCGGCGGCCCTGCGTGGCCCAAGGGGCATCAGGAAGACTCAGATCGTGGTGGCCATGGACTTGGGATGACACTCACGTGTGTTGCGCACGTTAGCGAATTTGTTGCCCATTCCAACGCGCCGAATTACAGCCATTTTGCAGCGGGGTGGTACGTGTAATCAAATTGATGCATGCTTGACTTTCTGGCGACTCGGACGTGGGGGACTGGGTGTCGAGCTGCGCGGGGCTGCCCCCTGCCAGCCCCAAGCGTCTGCCAGCTGGGCCACAGGCGCATTTTGGAGCGAGGTTCGAATCGCCGCGCGGCCCTTGCGCATCCCTGGCGTTGTTCCAAACTCAATCCCATCTGCAACTGCGCCCTTATCGATATCTCGACATTTGGGCGCCAAAGACAGCTTCAGTGTCGTGCTGGGACGCGAGTTTTGACAGCATTCTTGGAAGGAATTTTGTTACCTGTTTGTTGTCCAATTCGCTTGTCGCTATTTATTCCAACGGGAACTTTTGGCCATGGCACGTGTGCGTTTCTTCGCGCTTGAGCGACCCACCGGGATGCCACTGGCCAACCAGTCAGCCTGTCGGGCAGCTTCATGCCATGATAAGGCCTTTGTTCTTGACGCCTCATAGCGATCGCCAGTGGGCCGTTAGGCAAAGGGTGGGTCTCTGCTGTACGCTCGCCGTTACAGTATACGGCATACGGTATGGAAGGGCGTGAGCAAGCCACCATTGTATGAGAAAACGTGTAAGAGCAGTCGGATGAAAGACAGAAAAAGTCTCTGATTGAGCGCTTGCAAACCCTGGTCCTGTAACACGCATCCAGTCTGGCAGTCTTTGTAGGGAAAGCCGCTCAGACAGGGACCAGATATGAACGGGCACCCAGCTGACATGCCCACCCATGCACACGAAAAGACCCGTGTGTCCTGCGAATCTGAATGCACCAATGGAAAGGGGTTACAGACGGGGTTTGTACCTTTCCAGACCTGGCGACCCTCGCTAGCTCACTGAATACTTTTGCAGCTTACCCACTAATAGTCGTATTAGCACTGTTGGAGTGGATGGAATTCTCAACTAATTCCCAGGGGATGGAGTTGCATGAGGAAACTGATGAATCGAAATTGGCACAAGCGGAGGCCTGTCGACTTTGGGTTCGTCCATGCTGGAAGCATGAAGAGGACAGAACTGTGTTCCATTCCGGATGCTATTGTGGCCCAGAGGTCTTTGCGCAGCCGCCATTAGTACTGTGGTACTGCAAAATATTGAACCCTTCCGCATAGTAACTTAACGCTTGGTCATTTTTTGCGGAGAAAATAATACAAATAGTAGCGCAAAACTTGGCCTTTCTGTGCGAAGCAGCGTAAAAAAATAGAAATAACGCCGTGGAAAACAAAATGCGGAGCAAAAAGCATAACGGTGGAATTTTCTGATGCGGAAGGGTTGAATATTTCAAAGTACTGTTAATGCGTCCCCAGAAATCTCCTGTACTTCTCTTGCTACCCAACCTGGCACGCGTCAGTGAGTGGGAAAGCTGTGGCGGGCGTGGGTATGTGTCGTGCTCGATTGCGGTTTGGCAATGCGTGGTGCGAACCGCACATGTGGGTTTGTTGAGGCGCTGACTGCTGTCAGCCATCAGTGCACAGTACAGCGCCCATCAAGGGATATTGACGCATTATACACCTCCCCCCCCCCACCCCCCACCAGGTCCACTCAAGTCCCCTGTAGCTGAGTGCCCAAACCCCAGGCCACCGGACGCCACATCACAGGTCCTGCAGGCTATGGCAAACACAAATTCGCGGCAAAGCAGTTGTACCTGTCATGCACACGCCTATGGCAGGATCGCGCAGCCCGATTACTCGCATTGAAACCCACAGGAACACAGCTCCCACTCATCGGGCGATCTACAACTGCCCTGCCCAGCCCTCTGGTCACAATCCCCTGCCTACAGCTCGTGTTCTCCAGCCCCCCTTGATGGATCCACTAGGCCTATTAGCGATCCTCCCCTCCTCGGTTTGGTGAATTGGTAAAGACCCACGGCGAAGACGAGCCCAGCCACCAAGTACCACGTCGACATACCGCCCAGCGCCCGCGTGGAGGGGGGAACTGCGACAGCAAGGAACTCATCAGAAGGCCTGCACGTACAGGTGCCTGACAATGCCCTGAAAGCAGTGTATGGAGCGGCAACCTTCGCCTGGACGGTCGCTAGATAGCAACCACTAGGACTGCGACAAGCACATCTGTACCTTGTATACAAGGTACAATCTGACAGTACCCTGCGTCCAAATTCCGCCGCGGGGAGCACGGTTCGTGGTGCAGTGTTCATTTCATCCACTTAGGACAAGTCTGTGCGAATAGGGACCTCAGAACGGCACAGTGCCAGTCCAGATTTCATTACGCTGACGGCAGTGCACAGTGTACGCTCTGGCAGCAGCTCAGCAAATGTTGTGTTGATGGAAACGGCAATGGTGTGCAGAATTTAAGGAAAAGTTGCTACCATAAGTGCGCCGCCTGGTGGTGTGAGGCAGTGCTCATCACTGCAAAGTTTGTGGAGGCCTGCTGTATTTCATGCTGATTGAATAACAATTGCAACGGCCAAGCACTCCTGAATCCTTTCCCAATGCAAGAAATGCCCAAAACAGTATTCTTCCATTCGCTGTCCATGATCGTCGCCAAGCAGCTGTCATTCTTCGCTGCGCTGGCAGTTGCAATTGAACCGGATCTGCTGCATCTCCAACGCCAACACACCTGGCTTTTGCGACTCCACTTCCTCGTAGTGTCTGCTTTCAAAGCCATGGCTGCAACATCCGAACACAAGGTGGCTGATAATAGTCAAATGCAACAAGCAGCATCGACAAAGCAGTGCGCAGGTCACACACCCAAAGGAGGAACACCCCAATTCATAACAAACTGAGCGTAAACACGCTTTTGTTCCCAAATGCAATATTTTGGGAATAACAAAGAAGCAATGGAAAACTGAGAAACAAGGAAAAAGAAAACAACTAGAGATCAGGATCAAGCGAGCCAGCGTTCAAGCGACAACACTAAAACCTGTAGTGCCAGCAAAATTACAGTGGAGCCTACGCTCCATGCAGCCCACCTGCCATTGTTTGTGGAGTTGGGTTCAGCAGGCACGTCCCCAGGGACCTCCCCCACACTCCCCACTATGCGCCTGGGCGGCGCATCAAACCCGCCAGACTCAACCGGGCCCCGAGAGTTGCTGTAGCACTCGAGGGGGTGGCGCAGCACAAAGGACGCCTTTGTGAAGTTGAACCCCTCAAAACGCTCGGGTAGGTCAGCGTCGTTGCCAAGAGGGTCCTCAAGGATCAGTTCGGGGTTGAGCAGCGCCGTCAGTGTGTTGCTGGGCTCCATCAGGTCCACCCTCCCGGTCGCAAACTCCAGCAGGCCCACAAGCATCTGGTAGCAGTCGGCCACTTGGTAGCTAGAGTCCAGGCAGCCTGAGTCTCCATATGCCACCACGTGGCCCTCGTCGATCGACGCCAGTCCCAGGACAGGCTGTTCTTCTGAGCCTGCATACCTGAGCACAGGGCGTTCGGCCGCTGATGAGCTACACAGAAGAATGAACAGGTCATGCAATCGCAGGGCCCCAAAGGCGACTAGTGGCGACCGACGGTGGTGCAGACATGGGTTTGAAAGGGCCATCGTTTCTTTCCAAGCATCCCATTTTTGACCCTTTATGGGCGTGTTCTTGGTGCTCGTGCTGCCGCGGTGCACCTTTTGGGCTGCGCTTTGCAGCTGCCAAATAGTTCGATTCACGCCTGAGTGTGGGCGTGGGTGTCACCGCCAGCAAGGAGCAGGGGCCGTGCCTTCTTGTGGGTGGGGAAATGCGAGTCAAGAGTTAATGCTGCAGTCAGAGATTCAAACTGCAGCTGAGGTGCAACTCGCTTCGGCCGTCCTCTTCCCTCCTCACCTCGTCACCTGCTAAACAGGATACGACTGGTTCTACAAGGTGAAACTGCCTTTTCCCAATAGAAAGGAAAGCACATATAGGTGGACGATTATGAATGCAAGAATGTGTACCCACGTGTGTGTATCAGCAGGTGTGAACAACAAGAGCACCACAGAAGAGGTGAAGCACCAAGAGCATCACCAATGATGCAAAGTGCCGAGCACAAAAGCGATATCCAATTCATGTTGCAGCTGTGCAGCTGCCAAATCGACATGGGCAAGCAGCGCATCTGACCAGTTAGTACCATGGTCGCCACAGCCCACATGTGGCCTTAATGCACTAACTGTTAAACGGTTGCGCTCGTTTGTGTGCTGTCAACAATAGCACGGAGGCCATGGGCCAACACTTCAAGGATGCACAAACATACATGCCCCAACCGGTCAACACGACCAGCACCCATGGCCTCAACCATTGCACTTGGAATGCACCTGTGCCGCTGCTGACGAAAATTGGCATCTGGCGGCTGACCCTGGATCAGTCCGGTAGGCAGGAAGGCGACCTCACCTGTCACCTGATTTGTCGCTCAGCTTGAAGGAATGGACAAAGCCTCCTTCAGGGAACCTAGCAATGTTTGCACCCGATGCAAACCGTACAGTCTGCTTTGCAAGCTCGAAGTTGCCAGACAAGACCTTGTCGCCAAAGGCAATTCCAAAGTCCTCGAGCAGGACATTGAGGGCAGGGATATTGGCACCCCCTGTTGCAGGCGTCCAGTGTGTCCTGGTGTTGTCATCGTAGAATGTCATCTTGCTCAAGCTCTCCACGTTGTACCACTCTGCAAACACCACCACCCCAAGACCCTTCGCCCTGACGTCGTTGCTGAGTTTCGAAATCTCCTCGGGGTAGTATTCATCCTCAAGATCAACAAGCATCAGGGCTCCGTACTGTGCAAACACACACAGCACTTCAGGAAACTTTTTGGACAGCCTTTTGCACAACACTTCAGTGTGCCAACATTCCCTTCAATTTGATTAGGGACAGCAACAGAAGCGGGGGAGTATCCTGTGCACACCTGCCCTCAGTGTGGGCACACCTTCAACACATCTATCAATACACAATGAGGTGTGCTGCTCTCACAGCAATGAACCTGGCCCGTTGGGCCCCATGGACAAACATCTCTTGGGGTGATGAGAGCTCAACGACTGTGCCCTGTATGGCATCGTTGCTCCCAGGCATGAATGGACTGCAAGTTTGCTAACAGTTAGACCACACAGCACAGTTGGAAACCACCCTTATAGAACACTGTTGCCAATGTTGCAAATGAGAGAAGAGCTAGCTACACAACATAGCCAAGCATGTGGGCAGTGGAGAGCAACCTCAGTGTTGTTGAATAGGGCAGAGTACCAGCAACGCCACAGAGGCCTTCTTCGGACAGTCAAGATGCATACGAGGCTACAAACGATGACAAACTGAAGCAGCCACACACCTGTGAAGCATCAAAACAGGTGAATGGCGAGCCCAGGATTTCCACATAATATCCATGGTCCACCAGGTAGTTGAACATGTCATGGTAGTTTGTGTGCAGGTGGTCTCCATGCCAATCCAGTATGTCATTCTTGATATCCAGATTGTCCCTTGGGAGGTATTGGGGCGGGTATTTGATTGAATGGAACTGGTCCCATAGGACTCGGAGCTCCCTTCGTGGCGTAGGGGCGATTTTGGCAGTGAAGGGCACTCGAACAGTGGAGGAACGGCCCTGATTGTCAGCTCCGAGGCCAGCAGAAGAGACGTTAAAGATGACAGTCCCGCTGGCCTTGGAAAACAGAGATGCCGTCAGCAATGCAATTTGTCACGATTTTCAGAATGTGGTGCAGGAAAACGCATTCCAAATTTTACAGGACTGTTGTCCAGTGGCAATTCACTCACTGCTCAATCAGCGAATCCCATCCTCACACTGATGTGTCAACGGTGTGACACACGGATTGCCTCACAGATATCTTGGTGGATGTAAGCAACGGCTGTCGACTGCAGCTTGGTCTGCAAACGATCTTAAAAAGGAAACACCATGTGACACCCTTTCCCTGACCCACTCCCCTAAAAAATCAGAGATGCCACTGGGGCATTACCAGAGATCTTGTGTCCTGTTAGGAAGGGATGCAAATGTCTCAGACTGCAAGGCAACAGTCGTCAATGCCCACCTTGCCACTGTAGGCCTCTCCATTAGCTTTAACTCTAATGTAAATTGCTAGGTAGCCAGTCCATGGCCACAACACTGAGCTGTACTCAAAGTCCATGCTGATGAACTGTCCACCAGCATCCGCCGGTTCAAATCGCGGGGGTGCGTCCAGGTGCCCAACAACACCCAGGCCATTCAGGATAGTGGCATTGATCATCACCTGGAGTAAGTCAAGCACCACATCAGGCAGACTTCATTTTTGTGATAAATGACCTATATCAACTGATAGGCACAAAGGCAGTACGTTGAGAAACTCAAGTAAGATGCAATCAACAAGGATACAACCAATGAGAGTGCGCAACATGTCCCATAGCTCATATACAAACAGGAGGGAAGCGCATAGATGAGCCTGAGGGTATCTGTGGCAGGGACATTCAAGTGACGGCACATGTAAGAATAAAAACAACTGTGTATGCGCATCAATGTGCAATTCGACATTGCAAAGTTTCATGTGCCTGCCAACAGGGAAGGCACACTGTCGTTCCAGTTATCAATGCACTCAATTGGTTTACGGACTGTGAAATCTGCCTGCAGAGTCACATGGTCACAATCCTCAATGGCGATGCAGGGCACAACCAAAGCAAAGAGACAATGGCGGCAGCAGCCAGTTTCAGGTATGAAACACAGACAGTCTCATTCAGCCTTGACAAGACATCTCAATCCCACAAAGTGGACTCTGATCCATGTGCCAGCTGATTGTTCACATGGACAGTGTTTTGGTGGCAGCCAAGGTTGGTATCAAAGGCAATGGATGCCCTTGGGCATTGCTTGCACAGGATATTGGCACTACCCAGTCCAGTTTTGCTATACCATGATCAACAACAAACACAACAAGAATGCCCAGCCAGTGGCGCGACACAAACGAAATCCTTGCCACTTTAGCTAACACAAAGGGATACACGTTTGGCAGTGGCATCCACCAACATTTGCCATTCCCCGCCATGTGAACCATCAATTATCACACATGTCAAACCTACAGCCATCACTGCCCTTCCGCAAAGCGACATCAAACAAGCCGCTTTGGCAGGAAACTCTCTCTACTCACTGGCATAGCATGGGCATAGAGGGGCTGTATGCAGAATGGCCACATGTAGGGGCAGTCCATAAGGTTCAACACACCCGGGATGAGCGATGCCTGGGGTGTGTAGGCCTGCAGGAAAGCCATGGACTTGGCCAGGGTGAGCCGCCCCGCCCCCTGCTCATAGATGTTCAAGTCAGGCAGCCTCACCGCCCCATGCACAAGGGCCTGCTTCATGGAGGCCGGGTTCAGCACCTCTGTGCGTCGTTCGGGCGGGATGGTGCTTGCCAACAGGCACACAGCTCCGCAAGCCACAGGGGAGGCGACACTGGTGCCTGAAGCAGCCAATCGAAACCCTCAGAATCGACAAATGCCAGTGCCACGTGGAAGCCCATGTTGAGCACCATGTTCAAACAGGGAAGAGTGCCCAGGTCCATTGAAGAATCCATGAGCGACTTGCAGAGTGGTGAGTGGTACATTGGGTGAAAAGTGAATCCAAATTAAGCAAACTTGGCAGGATCTGGCTTGTGCCATGCAAGGTGTATGGTTCCATAAAGACAAAGATCAATTTGGCACATGGCTGACTGTCCATGGGAGGAAAAATCTGGGAAAAAAGCAATGTAGAAAAATCAAATCAGGTGTAAGTACCAAAAGGAGAAAAGGATAGAATAATGGTGACTACAGAGACACCCATTGTGCATTAAAATCACAATAAACAGGCCTTCCTCTTATGCAGGGCTACCTGACAGACTTCTGCATCCTGTTGTCATTCTTGAGCCACGCACATCCTGGGCGTAGGCCATGATGTCTGGTTTGATCCTACCATAGCCAAGCGGCAGCTCCCAGTTGGACATGCCCCTTGAGGAGAAGCTGGCGATTCTGTTCTTGAAGCTGATTCCTCCAACCCCAATGACGTCATTTTGGTCAGCTGGATTGTTCAGCGTCCCGTACAGTGGCCCATCGTTGCCAATCGCCGAAATCATGATGATTCCATTTGCGGTGACTTCCCACACCTGTGCATCATGCCATGCTCTTGTTTGTATATGCGCATATTCACGTTGTTAGAAACATAACTAAGCCCTTGCACCTGACAAGCGATTATGGGCACTGCAACACTTTGTTCATGTCTAATGCAGCGCCCACACCATGTTCTTTAAGCTGCTTGTTGCAATGACGAGTGGAGGGCACACCAGCAGCTCTTAGGGCCATTCAGGAACAAGAATTCGTCATGGATCAATATTGCCGTGAGCAGTGCATGTCTTGATTCAACAGTGAATGGGCAATAACAAGTCAAGTTTTGAAGAATGTAATGTATGCTATGTCAGGGCCAGATAGGCTGCCCTGCACCGCCTTGACCATGCCTGGGCAATGATCCCCAGGGTGAGGGTCCTGGGATGTGGATCTCCCATCTGCAAAGTTGGAGCCCCTGCCCCATGGCCTACCACATCTCCATGCCAGCAAGAGTGTGGGCACGTTAGCACTTTTGGCACCACAGGATGATGAACACATAACATTTGTAATATCAGCAACTCCATGGAATTTGGCCAACAACAATGACAACAGCCCTCAGTCCCACCTCTGCACGACAGAAGTGGCAGAGAATGGCAAACGTGACTTCTTCTGCAACAGTGGCATTTTCGTACTGAGACCTGACAACTAATCTGAACTTCATAACATTCTGCGCCAATAGCAAAACACAGCACACCTTGTCCACAAACGGCCTGTCCAGGTGGTCTGGTCCCCCGATGCTCAAGTTGACCACCTCCATCTCTGTCACCATCGCGTAATTAAAGGCATCGAGAAACCAGGATGTGTAAGACACCTGGTCGTTGGTGAAGACACGAAAAGTGTACAGATCCACATCAGGTGCCAAGCCTGGACAACTATCATATGAACTAGCAATGACTCCAGCAACGAAGGAGCCATGGCCCAGGCCATCGTCCAGGGTAGGCTCATGTGTCCAGTTTGTCCTCTCTTTGATGTTCCTTATGTGGGGGTGATCTTTCCGCACGCCAGTGTCGAACACACCCACCTTCACCCCCTGACCAGTGTGTCCTTTGGCAAATATCTTGTTTGCCTGCGGGAAGACATCGGAATTGAAACAAGGGGGCCCCAAGCATTTGTTGCAGCGAATAGCAGATCGCATTTGAATTACAAATGAAAGAGCACTGAAGCTGTTCATCTGTATCATCCCCATCAAGCATCCTTTAGTCCTTTCTCACTGTCACCAATGCAGCCAATGAGGCTTGGCACTGGTGGGGACCTGCTCTTTCAGGGTACTGGTGCTGAAAGCAGAGCAACAATGCAGCTTGTGACCTTGCATATATCTATGGAGTGAGCTCATGCAGGGCATACAATGATGAAATGAAGAACATCAGCATCCATTTCAAAGAAAATCCTCAGAATGAACTGTATATCATAGCATAAACTGCCATATGATGTTGCCTGTTAGTTGCGACATGTCTGCAGAGGAACGCATCTCTGCGATTTAAAGTTTTGCTGTGTGTGGCGTGAATACTGCTGTTTGAGCAAAGCCGCATAAACACACACCGAGAGAAGATGAGACAAGGACCAATGCAGAACTATCAGGATTCAGACTTCGTGCGATCTCCTATCAGAAATCATTAAAAAAAGCCTGCACCATATCTGTAACATATGGTTCAGGTGCCAGGGCCACTCAAAATGCACACCTTACATTTTCTGTTTTGGCATGATAGTTGTGGCAGTAGAGAACGAGGTACACTGCCTGCAGCGGGCAATGTGTGGGAGATACCCAAACTGGTGAGCGCTCTCTTGAAAAGTGGCGATCGACAGGGGAAGAGAAGGGTCTGACTCAAGTGATACTGTGCCATGCTTGTTTGGTTTTACCATTGCAGCGACATGTTCAGCTGCCTGTTCCCTCTGCCTCGGGTCTCCATACACTGAGGGATGGACACGAATGTCGAAACAGCCTTCTAAACAGTAAACAGCAAAATGAAAGAACATCTATGCTGTACATTCCCACATCAAACAAACATCCTGTGCAGGTTCTATGCTATTATCTTTGCTACACCTTTCACTTGCTCTCGTGCTGATGCACACCTCAAACAATCCTGTGAGAGAGTGCGATCTCTCCATGAGCAACAGCTTTCGGCGGCTCTCAGAGAAGAAATTCGCAGAATAGGATTCGTGCCCATCCTCCTCGTCTCTGTCCAGTCCGATGGTGGGCCTTGTCTGAAGCCTGCAGTGCACAGTGCGATTTCAATAGGAATGGCCAGAAGTGCTGTGTCCATAAGTCACTTCCAGAAGATCGTGACCTGAAGCAGGGCAACAATAACCAGTTGGGCTTCTGAGATGAGTGACAGAACATCCACAGTGTCGTGCACTCTGTTTTGCTCAGTAGACTTGACTGTTCTTCGGGTGCACAGCATTTGCACAAGCAATTCGGCGCCTGGGAATGACTTGTCCTTGTCAACAACTGGAACCAATGTCAGTGCGCCTTGGGTTGCCCATCATCGGTCTTTGGCTCAAGTTTCATTCAAGTTCTGGTTATGAGTCCAAAGCTGCCCAGATGGTAGTGTCTAGATCACCATATATGATAGTCCATGCTGCAATTTGCACACTGGCTTGGGTAAGCAATGCTAAGGAGTAAACCCAAATCACAGTCATCATTTAGGCAACAGGCTGGACAAATGCAACCAGGAAACTGGTTAAGCACCAGCCCTCTACTGCGTTCACCTCCCAGGAAACTTCCTGACAGCGTTGTCTTCGCAAACGCCATGGTATGCCCCATAACCAATGCCATCTTCCCACTCAGGTTTGCTCTCCCAGGCAAGTGATCGACTAATTTGGAAGTCAGGGTGGATGTCCTTCACAAATGGCAGGCCCTCAAGGCGAGCCTGCAATGCAGCCAGCAGATTGTGGGAAAGGCTGAGGCATAAACTCCATCAGCAAATCCTGCAAGTGCACTGGATTGTGCTTCAGGGCTGCTCCAAACAGGATGGGACAATGCAAACAAAGAGTATTCTGGCAAATCGCAGCAAGGAGTACAAAATGAGCAAACCAGGTGTGCCAGCACCTGTGCAGTTGCAAGCACGAAGTAATCACCGTTGCTGTCTTGGTAGCTGCCACAGTAAGGCTGTGGGCAACAATGCATGTTGGGAACTTGTTGTGAACTTTGCCCAACATCACCCCTAGGGTGCAACACCATTGCTTCATCACATTTTGACAAACACAATCAAGTCGATCTTCAAGTTCTACCACAATTGGTGCATCGATGAGCATGGGATGGGTGGTAGCGCACATGCAACATGGAAGCTGGGGATCTGACACATTTTGCAACGCATGACTTGACACTGTGCTGAATGCAAGGGATATAAATTCTGCTCAGCGCAGTTGGGGATCCATGGTCAACACGAGCAATCCATGGTGCCAGTCTGGATAGTGGTGCCAGGAAGGTGGGGTGCCAGGAAAGGAGAGCTTGCTGGTGTAGATGTTTCTTATTGTCAATGTGCTCATGATTGCTCCATGTTGCACGTCCATCCCCAGGCACTCAGACACACAAACAGTCTTCAAACCATCTTTCTAGTGTGTACAAGAGTCTCAAGCGAACTTCACAGGACTTCCCCCAGTGCGCTGTCTCTATGGCAGCAGCGTTTTGTCAACTTTGAGTACACTCACTCAACAGTGTGACTCTCCCTCTTGTGTCAATACCACTCATGGTGATGGTGCTGAACAGGTGGAATGGTCCCAACAGGTTCGCCCAAAACGGGCATCCTTGCGAACACCTGTCTTCACAACCGCTTGGCCTATACTGGCAAATCTGAGATAACGTATGAAGCAACGACAGCATCACATATGCAGCATATCGGACGCATAGCCCAACTCCAGACTTGTTTGCTTCCGTTCTTTCGCTCTGACCACCCTCTGCAAAATCTCCAGATGGGGGCCCAGCAAAGAAATGAACAAATGAACGAACTCGGGACAGCCACGCTGCGGTTCTGCCCATGGCCTTCCACTGCCCCCTAGGTGCAAGTTTATCACTGCGCAGGGAACCGCAACACCAGGAATTCTGGCCACCTTCAGAGCCTCGTAGTCGCCTGGCTCCGCACGTATCAGCCCGAAGTCCGTCGGGTGCTCCGCCGCCTTGTTGCGCCTCTCGATCCACTCCCACGCCACGCCCTCGTCTCCCAGGCCCTGCGCCAACTCCCTGCGGTGCGCCGCGGCGTGGCGGTACTCGTGGAACCTCACAATGTACTGCGCCTCCACCGGCGACCAGGACGCCGGTGCGTGTCCCCCGCCTACCGCCTTCCCAGGTCGCCCTCCAACAGCGCCGCAGGATTGGGATCGTGACCACCCCTGAAGAAGAATTGCAGCGCGGAGGCGCCTCAATCAGCGGCCAAGAGAGCTCGCAGCTGGAAGGGCTGGGTCCCAGTCCAGGCATCCGATTAAATTCCAAGGTACTGGTTATGTGGAATCGAAGAATGGGGTGCGTGCCTGTGTGGGGCAGAAGGTGCGGGGAACGCTGCAAGTGGCTTCCTCGCGACCGAAGGCCGCCGCGACTGTGGTCAGGATGGCGAGGGCGGCCAGCCAGCAGCGACGCATCAGGGCGAGGGGCGCGCACGGCGCCCGCGGCGCGTCCTTCGCACGCGTCCCAGCGCCAAGACCGGAGGCACGTGCCTGGGCAGTGGGAGTAGTTCCTTTCCGGCGGGGTGATTCAGTTGGCAGCAGAGGCGGTGTGTGCGATTCGGTACTGTGCTGGGCGGTACGGCACAGGTGAGGTGTGACATTGGAATGAGTCAGGGATTTTGTGGCCGCACCTTGCGTGTTCCACAGCCAGGGGCAATTTTCAGCCCAGGTGGGTGCCAGCCCCCCAGATCGCCTCTTTTTTCCTTTCTTTGCGATTTCCGTCGCTTGCAATCCATGAAATTAATATGCAGAAAAGAACGTTTCGAATGTGCTTTTGTTTTTTTATTGAAACGATGCGAATTTTCGACGGATGCGCAATTGCTCCCACATGTGACATGCACAAACGACATTTCCATGTGCCATATCCATGTGAGTGGTCACTGTCAATCCTATTAATCTGGCCTGGGAAAGTCAGAAAGCCCAGACTACAACTACTTCACAAAAAAGCACAGTGCACACATGGGCATTACACACGGCGCCAGAGTTTTTCTGGCGAGTCTGGACACGGTTTTCACCGGAAAAGGGATGGCTGTTCGGGATACACCACAACCTCTCGCGGATGCTCTTTGTTGCACGTGACTGTTCCCTGTCAGATGTGGCAGTTTGGCTGTTTGGGCCGGCATCAATGGGCACATGTCCACAGCGCAGTGCAGCGAACAGGGCATGCCGTACTCTGGCGGTCCGAGGACAGCGCGCTGAGTCGCACAGAAGACAGCGATCGGCGGCAGATTCTGGCTGGCGATCAGCCTTCCAGTTGCCAACACTTGAATAGACGATCCGCAGAAGGAACGAAGGGAAGGTTGCGTCGGGAGAAAAGGCGGCGCGGAACGCAAGGGAGGGGCGGGACATGGATTGTTGTGGGGCGCTCATCCGCACGACAGCGCATTGACGATCTTCCGCACCTGGCAGCGCCCCATGCCCCCATGGGCTATTCGGTCGGGGCGGCAGTCGCATTGCCCGAGCGGGCGTCATCGGGGAGCCGCACAGCGGCCAAGCGCAACGGCCTCGGGGAATCGCGACGTGCCGGGCAGACTCGAGGGGGTATTAGCGGTGCTCTGCTGTGGTGAATGGCACAGGACCAGGCCTGGTTTGGCTTTCGAGTCTGCTGCGCTCTGCGGAGGGGCAATACAGGCTCCAGAGCTGTCGCAGCACTGTTGGCAATATGTACTGATCTCAAGCACTGTCAGGCCATCGCAACAACACATGACGCTAATGGGGAATCCTGAACATAGCGTCCTTGCGGCGCTAAGCTCGACTCCAACCGCTCCAGAGCGAAAACAGTGTACCCCTTGTGTTGGACGCGTTAACCCTGAAGGCGAATTCGAGCACCGCCCAAACGACGCAGCCTGCGTGAAACTGCGGCCAATTGGTCCGTCGCGTGCGTCCGACGCTCCGCGCACCACCCAACCAGCCTCTTCGATGTCCTGGTCGCGAAGACCTCCGCCGGGGCGAACACGTGGCCCAAGCGGCTTGCGCAAGGGGCCGGCCATTTCTCCGCCGCGTTCTTGCGCACTGGCGGCTGCAAAAAAATATCTTGTGGGCGAAATTGTCCCAAAAACTTGCGCTGAATAGAGATCATGGCCTTGCGCGCCCTGCGGGCGCCGCCCAGATCTCTTGTGGTGCCAGATCGATGCCCCAAACGACACCAGTACACCACCGCCCGATTCTGGATTCTGCTTCGCTTTTATCGCCGGGGCGCCTTTCCTCCGCCCGTCCTCCCACCGCCTTGCTCCCCTGCGCCACCGGCCAGCCAGCGCCGCCCCCCGCCCCTCCTCCCTCGCAGCCCCGAGGGCCCAGCCTGCGCGACGCCATGGTGCAGGCTCTGCAGACACAGATGGCCCAAGCGCCGGCCACCAAGAAAATCACCCCCAAAATCAAATACGGCAAGGCGCCCAAGCCAGTCAAGCCGCCGGCCAAGGTGGCCAAGAAGGTGGCCAAGCCGGCGCCCAAGCCGGTCAAGAAGGTCGTGGTGAAGAAGAAGGTCGTGAAGAAGGTGGTGGCCAAGCCCAAGCCCGTGTACAAGGCGCCCCCAAGGAAGGCATCCAAGGGCGGAAAGGGCTGGTTTGGGGATGCCGGTGGCGCCGGCGACCTGTCCCAGTGGTATGGTGAGTGCCCGGTCCCTAGCCGCCGCGATCGCCTCCAATGCACGGCTGCCCATGGCCCTTGCTCCCCGTCGATTCGGACGGAGGGGAGCCCCGCCACTCCATGACGGCGTCGCGAATGCGGCGCTCCATAGGGAGGGCATGCCGCGATCCCCCCGGGTCCCCCGGATCGCGCCTCCCCCCCGGCCCCGGCTCCGCTGACTTTCCGACCCCGCGCAGGCTCCACCAGGAAGCTGTACCTGCCCGCCGGCCTCTTCGCCCGGTCGGAGGTGGAGCCCTACCTGAACGGCACCCTCGCCGGAGAGTAAGCCACCCCGCACCGTGCCGCCTCCGCGCCCCGCCCCCCTCCCCCTCTCTCCCTCCCCCTCTCCCCCCTCCCCGCCCCAACCCCGCCCTTTCTCCCACCCGATTCCCGACCCCCAATCCTTTCCCAATTCCCACCATGGCGCCCTGTGCGTATCGCTCCAACCGGCCATCAATAGGTCGTCGACGCAAATTAATCGCTTCCTCCCCCCCCCTTGCCCCGCAGCTACGGCTACGACCCCCTGGGCATCGGCCAGTCGGTGGCCAAGGTGGCGGAGTACCGTGAGTACGAGATCCTGCACGGCCGGTGGGCCATGCTGGGCGCCGCGGGGATGATCATCCCCGAGGGCCTGGCCGCCAACGGCGCGGACATCCGAGGCGCTGCCTGGTACGAGACCGGCGCGGAGATGTTGACGGGATCGGGCAAGCTGGACTACTTCGCCGTGCCGTGGGCGGTCGTGGCCAACCCGCTGCCGCTGCTGTTCGTGATCGGCATCCAGGTGGGGCTGATGGGTGCCGCCGAGAACTACCGGCGGCAGGGTAGGGGGCCATCTGGCTACACCGTGGGACGCGGCAAGTACGACGCCAAAGAGCTGGAAGGCCTGGACCCCATTTACCCCGGCGGGCCGTTTGACCAGTTCGGGCTGGCGTCCGACCCCGAAGTCTTCCAGGAGCTGAAGGTCAAGGAGATTAAGAACGGGAGGCTCGCGATGATCGCCACCCTGGTAGGCGCTCTGGCTTGAGGATCTCCGTTGCATCTGGAAGAAATTTGGACGGCCCATGGACGAAATGAATGCGGGGGTGCACGGAGGTTGGGATGTAGTTAGGCTTTGATGGCCCCAAGAGACTTGAGACGTTGACCCCACCGCGTGGCATTGTTGGAGTGGCGGACCCTACTGAAAGGCCTTTGCCATTAAGAGAGGTCCATCCGGTGTCCTGCGCTGCCTATCGTTGTCACCTGGCAATGCAGCTGTGCTTTGGGTGAACAACAGAACGAGACTTCGAAACTGGCATGGCAGTGCCACATGCCCCCCGTGTCCTGAGTCCCTTGGGTCCCTTGGGTGACAGGACGTACTTGTTGTGGGCATGATGGCTGCCTGAGCGCTAGAGCTCGAGGACAGGCCTGCGACTCGTGTGCGACTGCAGGCACTTTGCGATCACGCTCCTCGTGACTGGTGATCAGCATCGCTGACAGCACTTTCGTGTTCCTTGTGCAGGGTTTCGCCGTCCAGGCCGCCGTCACCGGCGAGGGACCCTACGCCAACTGGTCAAAACATGTTGCGGACCCCTTTGGCTACAACCTGTTGACTGTGCTGGGTAGCGAGGACCGGGTGCCCACTTTGTAGGCAGGGAAGAAAATTCGACTTTTAAATATTTGGCGATCGGGTGCTCTGGAGAATGTACAATCATTCGCTTCTGGTGTAAGAGAATGTGTGATAGGCCAAGTTTCGAAGACGCCGCAGTCCACCTAATAGGTCGTTGGACGTGACGCCAGTCCCAACTTGCCTTTGACGGGTTGGAAAACCGTCCGTGGCTGTGGAGTTTACTTGCCCATGTTACTGGCCCATGTTACTGATTGTGAAGGCTTGCTTTTTCCACCTCAATCGGTCTCTGGAATGGAGAGATAGCTAGCTCCGGTCGCTTCCATGTCCTGGTGCATGCTCCCATGTCGCCTGGAATGGGGTAGTGGAGGTGGCTGCATGCGGTCCCAGTTCCACAAAAGCGGAAACTTTCATGTCCCTGTCCTGTGCACACGTCGATCGCAGACAATATGGGTCCGCCCAGGACCAGTGGCGTCCCGGCGGCGGTTGCTCAAAGCCACTGTGCACCACAAAAAGGCAGTCCCTCTCTGAGCCGAGTGCACACCACAGAACACCCTCTTGAGCATTCGTTTGCAAGCAGTTTCTTAAAGCCACCCGCTTCGACTGCTCAGCATTTGGGCTGATGACACGGCAACTTCATCCAGGTGTGTCCTTACCTGCATCTTCGCTGTCAACTGCTGGTGCGATCTTAAGGCCAAATTTCTACCCTTCAAAGTCCTTCCTTGGGCCACACAATCACTCTCGAGGCAGACATACCGGGAGCCACTGGCCGTGGCCTGCTCAAGGTGTGAGAGGATGCGTCACAGGCGCTCACGGTACACCAGCCTCGAGCCAAAACGCGCACAGTACCCTGGGCCGAAATAATATTACTGCGTGCACCAAATCGGTAACTGCTTGCACCAAGTCACGTGCACACCATGTCCTAACCTCAGTTTTAGGGTTAGGTTTAGCTTTAGGGTGGATTTTAGGGTAAGGTTTAGATTTAGGGCAGGTATAGTTTTAGGGTTTAGGGTTTAGGTTTTAGGTTAGGTCAGTTTCGACAAAGTTGGACATGATGTGCACTTGACTTGGAGCAAGCAGTCACCGATTTGGTGCAGCCAGCAATTTTATGCCCCCTGGACCCCCACCAGGCCCGAAACCTCGCCGCACCCCTGGTGCACCAGCAACAGACGACAAAAAGGCTGTAATAATGCGCTGGCCTCCGCTGCGCCAAGAACAACACACGCACATACACACTACGCCGTAATGTACTGTCCACCCCCTCGCCAACAACCATGCTGGCCCAGACACTGCGCTGCTGGTCCCGTTCCAGCGCGCGCCCCATGTACCTCCCGCAGCGCTGGGCCGCAGCTCGCAAGGGGGGGCTGTTCCAGCAGGGCGCGCCCCGCACCAGGGTGCCTGTGCTGAGCGCCGCGTGCCCCCAAGGCTGGCCCCGGCTCTCGGGGGTGGCCGTGTTCGCGGTGTCCGCCCTGCTGGTGTGGATCTGGGCGGACCTGCCCTCGGGCGGGACGCCATGGACGCAGACAGGGGAGGAGATTGACGTCGTGGGTGGGTGCGTTCGGTGCGAGGGTGCGCGACGGTCGGGAATCGTTAGCTTTGGGGACGTCTGGCCCTTGGGAATGGAATTGAATGTGGGCGGCTTGCCGAAGATTCTCTGTCGTGATGGGGAAGCCCGTCGGGCAATCTGGCACCCCAGTCCAAGAAGAGAACTTGCGAATGTCCTTCTGATGGCTTCGGAGGCCCTGCTGGAGTTTGTAGGCAAAGCGGGGTATCTCATATCTTGTGAGCGGCGGGTTTATTGCCAATTGCACGAGGTCTGCGACCTGATCGTACAAAGCCGACGTTGATAGCATTGTGTTGACGCTGCGAGCTTGTTGGGGAAGCTGCAAGACCTTGTATTCGTTGGGCTTTGGGGTATGGGGCACGTCTACCGCCAAAGAGCTTACAACACAGTCAGCAAAAAGCCCACGACCTCAGCAACGGACTATTCGGATGATATGTTCGATGAGAACATTCTGGCAGTCAACCGTCTTCCCCATGAATCTTGCCAGGATGTATTGGAGCCGCATCACCTTCTGTTGGTGTGGGAAAGTGCCTCAGAGAATTCTTGCCCGGGAGGTGGTGCCCATTGCATGGCATGTTCTTTGCGTTGCCCAAGACGATCTTCGGTCACTGAAAATTCGATGCAAATTGTGATCCATGCAAAATGCCACGACTCATGTGTGTGTGGGCATGTGGTGTGCCCAGGAGTGGCGGTCAAGCCCACGTGTGTTAGCAAGCGGGCTGTAGAGTCGCTGAACACCTACCTGCGGCCCAGGCGCATCATAATCGTCACAACCAGCGCGGAGGCTTGTACTGTGTTTGTGACGTTTGCAAAGAATGTGCAATGTGTGGAAGAGGGGTCGATTCTTCCAGGAGTGTCCAAGGAGACAGTCGGGGAGTATTTGGAAGCTAGGTACGAAGCACAGGCTGCTGGGGTGCAGCTCCACTGCCAGTATTGCAATTTACCCTCATTCTTTGACACGGTTACTTTATCCATTTGTGTTTTTGCCAGAAGGGAGCAGCAAGGCAGTGATACATGTGGCAGCTGGCTCTGGTGGACCACTGTCCAAACGAAAATGGCCTTGGTTGCCTGCAGGGCCGATTTTCCATTTGTGGAATTGCAGCTGTGATCTTTGCTGTTTGCTGGTTGCTGCAAAGGAGCTGTGATTGTGCATGCCATTTTCGCACAGTTAGAAAGTAATAAGGATTCCCAATTTTTTTGCAGGGCTCATTGCAGTCCATCCTCACCTTCTGTCTCTTGTTTGTCATGCCTGGCAGCTGATGGCTGTCGTGAAGCTGCCCAAGTCGCCCAGTTCCCCAGAATTTGATCACGGCAGAAAAGACATTCTGCTGTACAAGTGGCACCCCTCCCTGAATATCTGTTTTGGAAACCACTCATTAAATAGCAATGAAGATGATGCTGAAGCGCAGACGCTTTGTTATGCACTGCCTATAAGGGAATGCCTGCAGGTGAACTGTTCTTGCAGGCTTTCAACTTCATGTTTCTGTATATTGCAGATACAAAAGCGTGGATGAAAACAGTGAGTTCCATGGGCGGCTGCTGGCTGGGTGGTACCTGCAGCAGTTCCTCAAGCTGGGAGCTGCCGAGTATATGCCGGTAGAGCCTGAGCTCAGCCAGTACTTCCTTGTTTGGGACTTGGACATGATGCTGCTTCGACCGCTCTCATTGTTCTATATCCCAGGCGCATCCCGAAAGGTGCACCATGTGCAACGGCAGACTGTTGTTAATGTTGGGGGCAACAAGCTGCCGGGATACGAGCCTTCATACAAACGCCTGACAGGTGCGAAGGGGTGCCGTGAGCATCACGATTTTTGTGGCAATCCACTGGCATGAACTTGCTCTTGCCACACAGAGATGTTTGCGCGTTGGTGTAAAATGGACTTGCATGCTCACTCCAGGCATAGCTCGAATACAGGAGCAATAATCCAGGGATTGGGACACTGGGGCATGTGCCTTGCTCATTGTGGCACTCCATTCTGGGTGGACTGAAGGGGGCAATTCTCCTGGCGTTAGACCTGGCTCAGCTGTGCTCTTATGTGAAATTGTGCTGTCCTCCTAACTACTGAGGATTCAACCCTGTTGTGCCTATGCTTCTGATATCAAACAAAACACCATCAACATCACCTCATTGTGCATGGGTGCGCATCAACTGCAAAGGCAACGTCTGAAGGCCAGGTGGGACTAACTCCAACTCCGCTGCTGGAGCAGGACAAGATCTGGAATACGCTCCAGATGGGACATCGTTCGTGACGCACTGGCTGGTGGTGTACAAGCCATACATGGCCGAATTCCTCATATCCATCGGTGGGGGCAACTTCACCGACAACCCAGCCAATGCGCTGCACTTGCAGATGGGCGAGGCCTCCACGCGATGGGTGTGGAGGATCCTGGACTCGATCGATCCCAAGTTCGTTGAAACCGGGTTCTCGGAGTACGCAAGTTACGTGAGCTGGGTGAAGCAGAACTATCCGGAATCCCAACACGTCCTGAAGAGGCGAACCTGGCGAAGGAATCCTCTCGGCGGCAAGCTCGCCATAATTGCGGGCATGTACTTCCGCAGCGATGGGCTCTGCTGCCCCATGGAGTGGGCTGTGCGCCTCATGAGGTTCTTCAACTACCAGTACGTGGGGTTTGAGATCGGCCACTATCACGTGTGCGGCTATACGGACGAGCGACACGACAAGGGCTATGGCGTGTAGATTCGAAGCAGGACTGGATAGTGGCGGCTGGCACAAATCGCCAAAGGCTCGTTTGAAATCAAACGATGTCGTCGTGATATTAGGCGTTTTGCATGGCGCACATAGAGTTTCAGAATGATGGTTGTCCGTCAACCACAGTTCAGAAGTTGTTGTGTGGGTAACTTCATTCCATGAACTTGTGAAGGTGAAGCTGGCTACAATGGATATAACGGGCATAGCGGATTGGCCTGGCGAAGTTGCACACATGCAGCAGCCCCGTCAACACGTCCCAACAATGGGAAGGGGGTGGGTAAGTAGTAGCAAGGTGTAGGTAGTTGATAGACTGACGTGTTTGATATCGGCAGTCCCAGCAGTGGGGCAGAGAAGGCCTGGAGGAGAATAGGTGGAATTGACGAAAAATGTGTCTTGCGGACAAGATTTGGCGTTGCAGCTGGACAGGAGACCTGAAGTGGCCAGGAGGGTTGACAGGACATAAGCGCTACAAGCAAGTGTTGTTCGTGACGCAAGCGTTGTATCGAACGCAGTGGACCCACTGCCACTCTTCAAAGACTGTGCACTGTGTGATCGCACCTGCCCGGCACACAACATGCGCTCAAGTCGCAAGAATTCCACGAATGGCTGCTGTTGCGCGGATCCATTTGGTCAGTTGAGTGCGAACGTGATGCTAGTTGTTACACAAGAGCGTCTGAGCTTCGGCTTGCACTCTGTTACGTTGCATTTGAGGCCAATAGGCGATTCTTTTTATACCTTTTTTAAGTTCACAAGGTCGGAATCCCACGCGTGCATGCACGGGGTCCTCTGGTTCACCCGGCGTCGGCTTTTTGTTGGAAGTTCACACCATCGTCACATCCATTGTGAGTACAGACAATGCCTTTCAACACCTGCAGGGAATGGATGAGAACGATGGACTCGGCAATACTCACAACCGCAACAATCGGGAAGAAGAATCGAAATTTCTCGCGCCCTCTTCAAACCTACGAGCAACGGCGTTCTTGGGAAACCCCCACTCCTTCACCGGGAAGGGCCACATAGCGCCGGAACAGTGTGTCGGAGGAATAGGGCTGCCAACGCCGCTCAGGCAGCAGCCCAACGACCAGTGCGCCGGGGTTGTCGCCATCGCCAATTTCCGGAGAACCCCGTCGTCCTGGCGATCCATCGGGCCCATGCAGACGAATGGGCAGCATTCATCACTTGGTGTCAAAAGCAACGAGCGAGGCGCTCTGAACCAGGCCAACACACATACGCTCTCACACATGCAACTCTGTTGCCTTATGAAGTTGCACCACTGCCGGCAAAACGGCGTAGCAACAAGCCGCCGCGCTTATGATCTGCTGTCTTGTACAGATGCACCGCAACTGCAACGCCAGTTGCGCGGTCCCCCACAAGTAATACGATGTGTCATGAAGCGGACCTGGAGCCTATAATTGGGAATCTTCACCACTGCCTACATTGCAATATTACACTTTCCCTGCCTGTGCTGTCGACCGCCTGCTCCTAACGCTGCTTTCTGCAACAAAACCACCTAATTCCTGCCCTGCATATCTAGCACTCGAACAATGACCCCGTGACGAGCCTCGGCTGTAACGCTCTCCGCCGCCGCACCCGCACGCACCGCCCCCCCGGGTCCGTCCAGCGACGCGTCACATCACCGCGCCCCAATAAAATGCATTACAATGTCAACTGCCCTAGCCCTTGCTCCACCCCAACATTCTTCCTTCCATCGTTTCCCAAGCCACAGGTGTCTCAGCGGCCCCGCTCCGATGCTATAAGTACTGCGACACCCACTCGTAGTTCGCGTCGAACTGGCTCGTGAACGCCAGCAGGTTCTTCAGCGTGGCCTTGGGGTTGCCGGTCTCGGGCTCCCCCAGCCACATGGACGCCGACCGCAGGTGCTGGTCCGTGATGGACGTCTCCTGCCGCAGCAGCCCCCTGGGCGCCTCCACCTTCTTCAAAAAATCGAACACCACCTGCCCGAAGCGGTTCTCCCCCCCCGGCGCCCCCGGCCATCCCTTCACCCCCTTCAAATCCTCCCACGGCTTCCCGCATATCGCCTTGAGCTCCTCCTCCGCCATCAGCACCCCGCGATCGATCTCGTCCTGCAGGTCCTTTATCGCCCCGTCCAAAAAGGGCCCCGCCTTGGCCAGGCCAGGCAGCTCGTCGGCAAGGTACCGCCCGGGGTCATAGTCCTCCTGGGGCTCGTGGTTGTGCACCACGACCACCACGAAGTCCAGCAGCGTCCGCAGGTTGAGATTGTCCGCCCGCACGCCCGAATCGCACTTCAGCAGGGAGGCCAGGCGGACGGACATGAACTGCGTGGGTGAGGGGGACCTCAGGTCCCTGGCGCCTGAGGGCGAGGGCGTGCGCCGCTCGTTGCCGCCGGTGATCTTGTAGTTCTTGAGGGTTAGGAGGGACTCCACGCGCACTCCGCCAGCATTGCCTCTGTGCGTGCCCCTATTGAGTTTGTTGCCCACCTGCGCACCACCAGAGCATGAGATGTCAGTTCCGCATGGCCAAGGTGACAGACTGTTGTTCCCTGCAGGCAACGCAACACATAGCAAACGACTGCACCTCGCAGAGCACCCGCCGTACCACCCAAAAGGTCCATCTTCTGGTTGTCGATGGCGTCCTTGCCAATGCTCATCGAAGCACCGAAGTTCAGGGCATTGTACGGCAGCAGAGTACTAATGTGCAGAACTTCACAATAGGATAATGCTGGCCATCCATTAGCTTTAAACACACTATAGGACAAGTGAGAGAATCTGCGCAGCAACATGTCATGCAAGCAACACGTGCCTCAACCACTCAGTCGATGAGGAGCAGGTGCCATCACTGGAACACTGACACCACCTAAAATCCCAACCGCCAACCTTCTCTGAACATTCGTCACTGTAGATATACAGCATGTTAGTATCTACAAGAAGATGAAGGCCTTGAGGACATCTCAGGACGGCTGGCCAAAGTATCATGACCAAGTGAGCATCAACTCGTGGATTGTGGACTACTGGTTGCTGGTACTCAGTTCGATGGAAAGGAGGCAATTGACACAATTGGAAATTCCTCTCGCAATGTCTCCAAGAGGCTTTCTTCCCTAAGCGAACGGAAAAAAACTTCATGCCAAATGCAGTTCTTAATCATGGCATTCCACAAATATCATGGGCCAATCCCACAACAGCTAAGTCAATGGCAGAGGGTGCAGGCGGCGTACCATGAGGACACACTCGAATACCCGCCTCAGGCGGTTGCTTTCCCGAACTTGTTGGCAGGCAACCTTCACCGTGTGCAGCGCCAGTAAGGTCTCCTGGTACAGCGGCTCCCACTGCTCCAAAAACATCAGCACCCTGCACTTGGCCTTCAGCCGCGGCACTGTGGACATCGCCATGAGCGTCCTTTCCGGCTTGGACAGGTATTCTCGCGCACCCTGGAACTCTTTCATCGCTGCAATCTCATCTTCAGTGGGAGCGATCTGGACACAGAACAATGCCTGACATTCATCGGCAATTCTGAATTCTCTGCAGCCAAACAGCAGGAATCATATTGTGTGACGATCGCTGCCCCTGGAAAGGCAGCATATGTCAACAATACAGCTACCCAACAATGTTCCCACTTTCCATAATGTCACCAATCTGGGCCACACCATCCTGCTCCACGTGACTGACAACCACCACAAGTTTCCCTGCTGGCCCAACATGAGGTGCAGCCTTCACTCCACACATACCAAAAACAGAGCTAAAGACCCAACCTATCTACAGAAGGCGGTGTGCTAATCAACTGCACATTGTCCAGTTGCAAACACGGCAAAACATATGCACAACATTTTTCTTCCCAATTGGACCCCTTCCTAGGTTCTAAAAGGGAACAGTATTCGGCTAGTATCCTGTATGTGTTGCCTTCTCCACTTTGTACCCAAGAATGCCATGTTGACCCAAACACCCTGGTTAACAACCGCTCCAGAACCTGTACGCGCACTTGAAAACTAAGTATTCAAGTGCAAAGTTCATAACAATTCAATGCAGCAGATTCGATGGTGCATGCTGGCAATACCAAACAAACTACCAGTACCATGAACAGCAATCTAAGACGACACAATAAACGTGCTCTCCTTCTGAAAGAGTGTTAGAAGAGCAACACGCTTCTCAACACGCTCACCTGCTGCATGAGGCTCATTTCATCATATGTCAGGCCATTGGCCTGCAACACGGCATGCAGCATCCCTGGAACGCCACCCTCAAAGGACGAAAACCGTGTCATCATGATAGACACATTGTTCGCCCTCGTTGTTGGTATCACTTGGGCACAGCCCTTCTTTTTTAGGGAAGGCGCCTCAGCTGTGTTCCGCGACGTCTGTGGTGTTGTGCTTGCCGGAGGGGGTTGCTGGTCGGCTGCGAAGAAGTCCTCGAGAAGGAAATCCATCCCATCGGGCAGTTGTCGATCAGATGGGAGCTCACTCCACACTGTACCACTCTGCTTTGGGGTCTTTGTCCAGTAGAAGGAACGGAGCTTCCTCAAGCCCAGGCCCTGTCCATAACCCCATGGCATGTTGGAGCATTGAGCCAGTGGTCACACACAGCACAGAAGCAAAGGTGCACAGGCTCCAAAAGGATATCTCTGCACACCCACCTGCCATAACCCCAGTAGGAGACTGCAGCAGGACAAACTTATGGATCACAGTTTGCAGTGAACATGTCTGCAGGTTGCTCATATGTTCAAGAGACACGTTAGAGTCTCAACAACTTGGCAGAAAGAAACGTGGAGCTACCAGCAACCATGTCCTGACGAAGCAAAGCCATGACACACAAACAAACAAGTCACTCAACACCACAATGAGCTACTCAGCACCAGGTCAGAGCCTTGCGCTTGAGTGTTGGTGCTACCACTTCTGATGTCAAACACTACTGATACATGTTCTATGTGTTATTGGCTGTGTTTGTTGACAGACACAGCACTGATGCACAGCTGATGTGCAGTGCACAGCCAGGGTCAGTAGCTACCAGCCACAGGCACAGGGGCACAATCACACAGCGGGAACTCTGTGGCCAGCAATGGCCCAGCACGCACTGTGAATGTCGATGTTCCACACTTCGTCTGCAAGTTGCAGGGGGGTTGTTCTGCCCTGCAAAAGTAGGCCTAAACAGGAGACCCACACATTGGAACTGCACAGTAAAACGTTCAGCACCCACCTTCTTCAGCTTGGGTGGTGGCACCTGTGCTGCTTTCTTCCCTGGTGGCGGTGGGGGGGGCGGTGGCCCACTCGATGAGCTCCCAGGTGGAGGAGGTGGTGGGGGAGGTGGCGCCGGAGGCAGCCGCATCCTGCCCCCAGAAGAGTTCCTCCTTCCTAGCCGAGGAGGGGGTGGAGGTGGTGGTGGTGGTGGTGCCGGCGGAGGTTTGCCATGCATGCGTCCTGAGGGCCCTGCCTCACCAGCTTCATCCCCATCAGCAGAGTTCGTTCTGGATGGGGCGGGTCCCTCTGAAGTACAGGGTGTCTCTGGGGCGCACTCAGAGCCCGGAGGGCGAAACGACAAGTCTATCGTGCTTGTCGATGGGCCCTCACCCAGCTTCTGCTGTCCGGTGGTGCCCTCTGCCCAAGCCTCCAGGGACAGCCTTGGGTGCAGCACCTCATCTGGGCCCACACAGGCATCGCATGTCTGGATACCGATCTCCATCGATGGCGTCGGTGAACGCAGGTTGGCAGTCCCGCTGCCCTCCTCCCTGTCAGGCTGCCTGCTGTGTGAGGATGGGTTTGGAGTCGAAAAGACTCTCCGGGGCTCTCGAGCTTCTGTGACAAAGGTCGAGTTGTCACAAACCATACATCAAAATATGTACCAAACCACATTGAGCAACAAGGTGCTGTTTGGGCCCATGGCGCAGGACTTGCAGTGACACAAATAGGCTTTCTGTTCCAGAACTTGCGAAAGTCTACTAGAAAGTACAGCATCCTTAGTCAATTTGTTTCAGGAGCAGCCAAGGAATGCCCAAATTGACAACGTCAAGATGGTCAGCGACAATTTCAATTTTTACACGTTAAAAAGCAATGCCCGCATTGTTTCACAGCAGTTAGGCAAACAGCTCTGCAAAGCGATGGCACCAATGGTTTCAGGAATTCCAACATCAAAATATTGCCTTGCCAACGCGCTCATTGGGGACACAATCTCTTGACTGACAGTCTTGCCATCAGCCAGTCTATTTGCCCACCTGCACTCATGATCCCTATGTGCCTGTTTCACTGGTGCACAGAGGGCAGAAGCCTTGAGGCCCATTCCCTCGTTACATCAAAAATGAACAAAAAGCAACAAAACCCTATCATAGGAATCTAGCAACAACGACACTCTATGAGGGCTCACCTGGCTTCGTCTGATGTTGCCACACTTTTCGCATGTTTGCAAGATCCAGCACATCTGTACCCGATGGCAACCTACAGACAGCAGTGAGCCTAAGGTGCAGGACATTGACATGCAGGAGCCGCTACATGAGTACAAAACTTTAGTGGTCGCTGGCAATAGAAGGCATAGCCAAAGTGCAAAGTTGAGACGGCAACAGTGGAAACACTGCATACAGAAGCACTGTAATTCCTGCTTGTCCACACCACAAGTGAACTAAATGTAAGTTGCGCTTCTGCACCTAGTGGTGCTATGCAGACAGCGATGGTGTGGATGAGCTGGAAGACACAGTTCTCCACACACATGCCAGTGTGCAAAGAGCTGTTGGGCAGCAGCTTCAGTTCGATCAGAATATACACAAGCAATTATCCAACATGGCCACCAGCAACTGACCGGAAGGCAGTTGACGATCAAATGCACAATCAGATCCTGCAGGACATGCATGCCAAGGCGGCATACAAGTGGCACAACAGTGTTGGCCACTGTAGCAGCTTGTAAGGGCACACCGGCAGCAACACTCTAAGCCAGGCTGCTCAGAATGCTTTCTTGCAGCATGGGCTCCACTAGTCCTAAGCAATAGGCACCCTTTGCCCATTTTGCACAGGGACTTTGGTGGCCCACTATTGTCACTGATCCAGATGGACTGGGTGTCTTCTGCAAACAGTGCTTAGATTGCTCATTACACCATCGTTGCTCAGAAGCTTCTGTGATGAAATGCCTGGCTTGCATAAGTTCAATACTGGATCTGAAATGGGTACTCACACGTCGGCCACTGGTATGTTTGTCTCTGCGAGGGACAGCTCCATGTACAGCTCCTTCTGTTCAGTGACCCTGTTCGTTGCCCTCTTGTCCAAGTCAAGGCTGGGGGACTGTATCTTCACGATGCCTTGGTCCATGAACGTTGTGTGGAATGCAAAAGCCACCATAGGTGGCTCTGTTGCTGCAATGTAGTCCTTCACATACCACAGTCCCAGCACCACGTCACCCGCCACACTCACACCAATCTTGAACTCGATCTTGTCACCCTGAAATACAGATGCACAGGAGAATTAAAGGTCGATACAGCAGATACGGCGGAAACAAATATGACAGCACACACTTGTGGGGCACCTAAAACAAACAAAATGGACAAAATGAAAAGATGGTTGAAAAACTCGCCATTTGTGGAAAACACACCTCGGACCACACTGTTTTTGTATGCATGGGGTCTCAAAACCTCAACATCCGCACCACATCAGTTGTGAGCAGCCTGGTACATATAAGCAGCAGCACATTCGCCAGAATGACAGAGGAAATGATAAGCAGCAGCTATCTGGGACACATGTCAATTTTTGTCACATAATGTACATGCACATGGAAGAGCAGTGTTTTTGAACTGCGTCGAACACAATGTGAGACACAAAAGTACAACAGTTGAAACCTATTCGAGATGAGCACCAATGTGTCTAGATATTTCAGCACACCCCTTCTACCACACCGTATTGGTTGCTCTTCCTGTGAAAACCTCAACACCCCTCTGATAGACCATCAAGACTGGCGTCAACATTGCCCTCATCCTCTCGTCAAACCCAGTGATGCTCTTCAGGCCCCTGCATGTCAAAGAACACAAGATGCGTGCTATTTTCAGCTTCCAGACGGCTCAGATTGGCCCTGTCAGGTGATCGCATTCTAGGTTGCACACGCATTGATAAAGTTCCCACTAAGTATGGGTTGTGATGCCTGTTAGTGCAGAGACCTCCATGGTCAGAGTGTTGACAGCAACAGCTGGCTGCCATCGTGACATGTTGGTGCATTTCAACTTGCCCCCCTTAATAGAAATAAGCAATTAAAACATGGTTGTGCAAATAATCTCCTCCTGTGAAGAGCAGGACTGTAGGTTGTACATTCAGCTTCATGCAACTAATCTTCTGAATTTAAGATCGCACTTCACGATCTTTTCAGGTGTCCCACATCTTTCTGCTAAAACAGTGGCACCTAAACTCAAAATTGCGCTGCCATACTGTAGTCTATTGGAATGAAAGCAGGATGTTGACTCAAAGGAACACCTGATTCATCAGGGACCAGCACTTGTGCTTGTCGACAGAGTCCAGTTCATATACGGCTGTGATCTGCCATCTCCCTAACAAGTAAGCCTGGATGCACTGCACCGTCAGCTACGTTCAAACCATCTCTGAACTCTTCGCTAGCCAGGCCAAGCCAACTGAAGCACACACATCCAGATTACACACTTACAAACAATGACAGCCACCTAACAGTGCCCAAGAAACAAGGCAGGCACCCAGTGTCCACAAGCCTACAGCAAAGCAAACACACCCTGCAAGTCCTCGCAGGCCTCCAAAATCGACCTTCGTCACATGCAGAGCGTGCTTCTGTGGCGGCGGCAATGAAGGTGCATACAGGACAGTGACCATGTACTTGTCATAAAGCCTTTGCGCAGAGCCCAGCCTGTTGACAACAATAGGGCACAAGTGGATCAATCCAAAAGCAAGGCCCTGACCTCTGCACAATCCTTTCCAGGCAGTTGAAATCAGCAGCTGTTCGAGGTACCCATCATCGCAAAGTGCACGCCCCTGATCATTGATACATGTTTGAAAAATCGGTGGGCACCACAATCTCACAATCACTGACATGAGCACTTAGTCATCTACCCCAGAGAGCAGGACTATGTCCCATTCAAGCACCTGGAGAGAAAGTGCAGCAATCACTAATGAAGAAATTAAGGAATCAGGTTGCCTTGCAAGAACATGAAGAAGAGGAAGCCCTAGCCTGCCTTATGGAGGCAACGCAATACAGCAGCACTAATGCTGGACTTCCACACTCTTTCTTGAAGGTGGCTTGATTCACTTTCTCCTAGTGTAGATCAATTCAACAACAGGAATCAAACACAGCCATTGAGAATCACTCCAAAGGGTCCCCAACTGCTTACCCTCCTGTACTGCTTCAACATACTGTAACCACATGCATGCGCTCACCTGGCTGGATTCTGGCTGTTGTCACTCTCGAGCAAATTCTTTGACCTGAGCCCATCTGAATGCAACAGAGAAACAAGGTACATTGTCAAAATGGCCTTCATATGCTGCTGCCTGTCCATGCACGTACGTTGCACACTGACATCACTTTGAGCTTCTTGCTGAGGAGCACAAACAAAATTACATCGACGCTGCAAGCATCTTTCTGAAAGTAGCAGCTCTTTGTTGAAAATGCGGTGTCTTTCAGTACTTTTCCCCCCTGGTTTAGGGTACACTAACGAAAGGGCCCACAGTTTCGACCAGGAACCTACCACAAATTAAAACAAGAACAAGCAGACATTCGTGCTTGCAACTGCGCCCCACAGAATTCGTTGCTTTCTTGTTGCGGTATGCTGTATTCCAATAAATGGCAACAAGGATTCGCCAACTAGTGGCAAACAACATTCATGCTACCTTTGGTTATTCTGAACAGAGTCCTTTGTTCAGGTTGAAGTGACAGCATCCGTGCCGCCGCGCTCGAGATGTCATCGGCGTCCCCAGCGTACACAAGGAAGCATCCTGCCATAAACCGCAGGTTCTCCATGCTTCCAGGGTTGCCATGGTGGTGCAAAAGCTGCAGGCAGCATGCACAAGGACTGCTAAATAGGGGACATCTGTCACAAGCTCCTCAACAGAATCGCTTCACTGAATAAAGCAGAACCTGTGTAGCAGTAGCTAAATTTGAACACAAGGACCACCACCAATATTCACGCAAAGAGTGCAATTGTACCTCGACACTGAGACCAGCAATCCAAAACAGTCAAACCTGGCATCAAACCCAGAAAACCCAAAATGGGCTCACCTGGAATCTCTGGAAGTTGCCAGACAGTCCAATCCCATTTTGTGGGCATTTGCCAGTTTTGATAAGCCTGCCCAGACACTTTCAAAGAGGAGAAGTCCAAGACAGACAGCCAAAGCAGCCCCCAGCAGTAGCCACCGTTTGCTCTGCATGCCAAGCTGGTTTTGGAGCAATCTTCTTTGTGTTGAGTCTATCAATGTGACTATGGCGAAGGGTGTGAAAGAAAATTCACCCTCAAGCACAGGGTGAAATTGCGCCATAGTCTGTGCTTTTTTGTGTTCTGTGCCCAGTGTGCAGCCCTGCCTGTGCTTGTGGGTAGCAAGCAGCAACAGGAAGAACCATCCAGTGCCGTGTTGCAAGCACTGACTTGGATCGCACAGACTTTCTCAACTGACATCAAAACAACAAGGACAACTTAAAATTTGGCACCCCATTGTCATCTGACTTTTACTGTCAGCAAAAGCTGACAATTCTGGGCCACCCACCACTATGTTCTTCTCTGAAGTCTTCAGCCAATTGTGCACAGATGAGCACACGGAAAAGATGATGTCCAGGGGGTAGACTCCCAGTCCCAGGGGCCTCTCGTGCCAGTACGCCGGCAGCTCTATCACGTTTCCTTCAAACAATTCGTGAATCGACTGGTCTGAACTTGGTCCCAGGTTCACCACCAGTGAATGGCCGAGGCCCCCTTCAGTGGTACCCAGAAATTCCGCTGCAGCACGCAGCTGTTCAATGTGCCTGCCCACGCACAGCGATCGTCCTCAGCAACGCACGCTGCCGATGACTGACCAGCAACTGCAAGCTTCTGCACTCGTTCTCACAGCAGCAGCATGTGCCACAGGCGCTAGAGACCTGGGAATGCCAAATGGGCGCCACAGCCTTCGCTCCAACACAGCTTTGGCGGCAACCCCACACAAAAGGCACCTTTGCAGCAAGCTCTGATCACGATGGGACGCCGCCCAAACCCGCAGACAGCCCCCGCCTCACCAGGCGTCTGCCGCCGCAGCAAAATAAACCGCAAAGGACACCGCGGTTCCGCCGATTAAACACAGACAACACACGCCGCAAAGAAGCAAAAAAGCCGAGAAGTTGTCATAGGAAAGAGGCCCGTCACCCCCGCCCCGCCCAAGTCCAGCCCGCACGCTTCCCGCCCCTCCTCGCGGCGCAGCGTCCGACCAGACCTTCCGTCGTCCGATGCGGCCCCGGGTGCCCCGGGGCGGGGCGACCTCGGGCTCAGCTCGCCGGGCGGCCAATCCGGGCCGCCGCGCCCGGCAGCAGCGCCGGGGCTCCGCGCCGTCTCTCTGCAAGGCAGCACAACCCACCTGTCGGAATACTGCCCTCCTGGCCCGCGGCCCTCACCGCCGCCCGCGGGCTTCCGACGCTTTCTGTCCTCGTCTAGCCACCACCAACAGAACAGCAAGCCAACGAATGAGGACCTTCTCTCGACACACCGCCCATGGCGACCGGGGGCCCCGCCATCGCCCGACGGCCGGTCGCTCAGGGCGGGATTGGGTTCAGGACGCGCATGCCGGAGTGCGCAGTACCTATCGAAAGTGCGTAGATCCGCTCGGTCAGCCGCACGACGCCGCCTCCCGCCGCCTGGCCGCCCTTCGGCCGTCGCCACCACGGGCGCATCCTCGCCTCCCTCGCCTCCCCGCGCCGCCCTCAGCAACCTTGCGCCACCCGCCACCGATCGCGGCGTCAGGACTCTCCGGCAGGCGTCAGCACGGCGGGGGATGTCTGTGTGTTGGTGGGGGGGAGGGATCCAGGGGGTGAGGGGGGGGCGCACCAGTGCGGGTCCTCCACAGCCTTCACGGACAGCAGCCTGAGGGTGGCGCCCCCCGAGCGCACCATCCACCAGGACGGCCCCGATGCCCGGCTTCCGGTGTGGCCGGCGCACGCCGGCGGGCCTGTCGCGCCTTTTCCTCGTGTGCCGCCCCTCGAACGCTCCGACGATCCGTCAGCCTCGAATCCCGATGAGACGGGTGGGGCCACTTGGGCGCACGGCCAGGGTGGCGGACGTGGCGGCCGGCGGTGGGTGTCGTGGGGGCCTTTTCGGGGGACGGTCATCCGGCGCTGGGCAAAGTACTATAAAATATTAAACCCTTCCGTACAGTAACGTAACGCTGGGCCTTTTTTGGGGGGAGAAAATAACATAAATAGTAACGCAAATGTTGGCCTTTCTCTGCGGAGCAACGTAAAAAATATTTGAGTAACGCTCTGGAAAACAAAATGCAGAGCAAAAAGCGCAACGGTGAGAATTTCTGATGCGGAAGGGTTGAATATTTTACAGTACTGTGCGTGGGTCTGGAAATATTTCGAGAACGTGGGCAGACGTAGGGAAGTAACCATGCGCGGCTGCGGGCGGACTGGCGCGCCTGCAGAACTCGAGCCGGTGAACTTCCTGCCCATGGGTCCTGGTCTCCTGGGAAAAGGAAATGCCCTGAGAAATGGGAGCGGGCGCATTCGCAAGACGCCAACCAGCCGCAATGCGATGTGCTTGGAAAGGCGCACTGAGCCTCGCTTCTTGAGGAACCCGACGGGGTGAACCAACAGCCAGCGTCAGCGGGCGTAGATGGCGTACCGCTGCTGCGGTTTGCCTTGTTGAAGTGGTGAGGAGAGGATGCTCCCCTAAAAGGCTCACACCTGTCGGGTTTTCAATGAGCACAACGTGGCTCCGCTGTTCCGTCAGTCGCGCGCCCTGAATGTCAAGCAAGAGCGAGGGCGGGACATTGCAGCGCCGCCATGAATTTTGCGTCGTGCGACCCTGCGAGCCGCGACAGCGGCGCAGGTTCTCCGGAAAGGAACGCTTCGAAGGGCAACAGCTGTGCACGCATGGATAAGCATCGCTGCCAACATCGCATACCGATACTTCTGCGCGCGATACGGGCAGCGTTTTCGTATCTCTTTAGCCGACGCGTGCAGGCTGCCAGCACTGGCCTGCAACGTGTGCCCTGTACGTTGCACGAGCAATGGTCTCCGCCGCGATCTCGGAAAGCCACGCTGCGCGACGTGTCCACGCTTGAACCGCGACACAGAGCGCACTGTCGTGTTCTAGCTTAGAACGATGTATTGGGGTAGCGAGGGGAAGCGCACGTGACGTAATACCTGGATGCGCACTTCATCAGGAGGGTCAGACCAGCAGGGTCACGTCAAATGCACCGCTGCCGTCAAGGTTTGTGTCTATTCTGTGGCTGGAGACCGCCCACCGTTCAGAGGCAAATGGCATGCAGACCTTTCTTTGTGAGCACTGCGTGTGATTGTTTATGCAAATGAGAGATGGAATGGGCAGGCGGACCTCGGAAAGGAGAACGCAGGGTATAGGTTGAGATGCCCCGTGAGCGGGGGCACTGGGTGCTACTGGCGCGACTACATGCATAAGTTATTCAACTGAAGTGTTGCACGCACACCGATCCCAGCGCGTCGTCATCGCATGATGCGCTGCATTGTTGTGCCGGGTGACAGAGCTTTATTGCACTAGCCATATGAGACAATGGTGCGCGTTTCTTTATATACACGGTATATACGGACATGACGCATCCGGTACCTGTCTGTAGCTCGCAGTTGCACCTGCCCTGTTAAGGGTATTGCTCATGAGGGCATAAGGTGTGCTTGTCCACAGCCAATGCTGCGCCACTGGCATTTTAGCCGGTGATTTTCACAACCTTGTCCAACTTTCAACCAGCTCTCCTCAGTGATGTACTGCCGCACGGCGCCGGTTTGAAAGAGGTGTTTTGGAAAGGGCGCACGTGAGCTGGGAGCCTGGCTGTTGCCACTGAAAATCACGCCTGGAACACAAACTCATCGTAACCGGTGCGGAATGTTCAGTTTTGCTTTATCCCCCATTTACGGAAAACGAATTACGATTGTGCGCGGGTATTCAAGAGCAATCCGCGGGCGCGTGGCTAATGACAATGAGTTGTGCGACGCTTTATGGAGCGCCTGGATCGTTGCGCTCCACGGAGCCTCGCGCAGCTCGTATGAATGCGCCATGCGCCGACGATATGGGACCATGAATAATCGATTCCGAACATGTTATCTGCTTGGTTTCCATGCCCATCATCGCCTACCAGGTGCACCGGCTGTGTTTTGTCATTTCACTACAAACTCAATCCATGGATTTTGACGATGATGATGCGCCGACGACCTCCCACTCACCAGGACGATTCGCCCAATAGTGTTGCTCGATGTGTCTGTCACGGAGCAAACAAATCTGATGGAATTATTCCCACCATCGCCTTCTGTGTGCAAGGGAACCGTTGTCGTGTTTGGGCAAAAAGTGATCGAACAGGTTGTCTCAAGTGAGGAAACTTGCAAGACGCGTTTGAAGTCGCCAGGATTCCATCAGGATTGAACCGTTATATACATTGACACCAGAAGCACTCAAGTGCAAAGCTTGCACTCAGGTTCAAAGCTTTCAACGATCGAGGGAGATGTTCTGGAAGAAGCAAAGGTTGTTTGGGGTGAAGGTAAATAGGCCCCTACATGGCATGAGTTGATTTGGGGGCAATTGCATGGAACCGACTGCATAGAACTGGACTTTGCGGAGCTGGGACTTGTCTCCCTCAACGTCAACGTGACACTAAAGGACAAAGCAGTCTTGCCGTCTACATTATAGCTCTTTTGAAGCAGCCTTGGCCTTTACGCGCCGGCGCTTCTAGTGGCAGTCCGTTGTGGAATATTTGCTGCAAGTGCACTTGCCACATACTGGTAAAAATTCGACCATTTTACACGGTGTACAATTTGACAAAATCGTGATAATATCATGTACAAATCGGGTGCTTCAGAGCACGATTTTACACGATTGCTATAATCGTGTATTCTTCAACCCTGTGTAGTACACGAAAGTGGTCCACCTTACCACCATGGACAGCACGACAAAACACACGGTTTTACACGATTTCAACAGTGTACCAGCGGCAAATGTGTATTTTGTGATTAATATACGATCAATACACGATGTTCACACGACTTTTACACTATTTTGACATGCGCAACACAGTACACGAATTTCTGTACTGTCTACTTTGGCCGAGTTTTTACCAGTGACAGTTCGACAATGATATGCGACAGACTGCGCAGTCTGCCGCATGCATGCGAGGAATCATCGCTAATGAGCAAGCCAGCATGGCGCATGGGATTTTGATTTGGCATCATATATTTCGAATCGTGTTCCTCTATGTTTTGCGCCACTGTGCCCAGCGAAATCCATAGGACAACGCGCATTGCAATTCGAATTTCGCCGTTGAAGATGTACCACCAGATCCATTACAGAAAGAAACAAGAAGGTGGCATCGAAATCAGCATGCAAATACCATGGCAACTATAACAACGGCGCAGTGTCGCCACCAGGCAAAATTTATCACATGGTGGTATTTCCGCTGGTGTCAACGCGTGCAAGGGCCAACGGCGCTGGTTGTTGCTGCAATGCCAGTGCAACTAATATCCCCTCATTTTGCTGCCACACCGATATTACGAGGAATCCATCATTCAAGAAGTATTGCACATGAAGGCAAGGAGGTGGGCTTCCCGTTTTGCCCGAGAAGGGCAGTGTCCAGGATTGTCTTCATTGTGGGGATGCACGAGGTTCCTTCGGACATCGTTGCAGGGCCTGGCCGCCCACCCCCTCCCCCCTTAAGTCACACCGCCGCATCCAAAACGTCACACTGTGAAGTCCTTTTATGGAACCCGGACAGCGATGGGTACAAAGCCCCTTGCGGCCTGCGCTGTTCGAGGGAGCTCGCGCTTGAGCCCGCCATGGCGGACGACGACGACTTCAGCTTTCCGACGCTGTCCCCGCCGGCCAAGGTGACCCTCCAGGCCGACAGCCACCGCCCCCCGCCTCCGCATCTTGGGGGCGATGGCCGCCCGTGCTGCCGATCCCTGACCAGATCCTGAGCAAGGCATCGCTGCCCGTGGCAGGTGCCGCTCACGGCTGCCTCGACCGTGGTGGATCGCTCCAACGGCAAGCAAGCTGCGGCGCCGGTGCCGGTCAACCAGGTGCGTGGCTGCCGCATGTTCCGAGGGATGGTGCCGGGCCTCGGCGCGAGCCGGTTGCCGCTGTCACTGGTGGCGAGTCCAAGGGGGCGGCGATCGAGGCGCGGGTATTGAGCCGCGGGCCCGGAAGCCACGCTGGGCGCCGCATGGTGGTCGTTTACCGGCTCGTGATGGCGTTTGTTTTGGCGTGAAGCAGGTCTCCGCGAGCAGGCGTCCGAATGTTGGAAGGCCCGGCAAGGTCAGCTGGCTGGCCTGTCAAGGAATGGGCTTGTTTCCTGCGGGCGGTGCAAATGTGTTGATGTGTTTGTCGCAGCAGCGGCGGCAGACCTGGTGCAGGTAAAGTCCGATGCTGAAGCCCTGGCGCCCGTTCGGCGTGGCAGAATGCTGCAGGGGACTGAAAGAACGGCATTTGGGCGTGAGAACACCCCGGGGCGTTGATGACCATTGCGCTGCGGCGGTGTTGCAAGTGCACCGAAGAGTGGCGGAGAATTTGCCTGTGGGACGTTTGGTGTCCGGAGCAACGACTAAACAAGAAAAGGATGCACAAATGGAGATTTGCACAAGTGTTGGTGCAAAGAACACCCTGCATCATAATGCTGGTAATTGGTCGGACGAAGCGTTTTGGTTACCTTTGTCCAGTGGCCAGGTGTGAAGGCCCTGACGTTGATGCTGCTGCAGGTGCCACTGGAGAAGGGCTACAGTCAGGTGGAATGGATGATGAAGAGTCGACGGCAGCCCAACCTGACAGGTGGGGAAATTCCGCAGGCTGGGTTTTCAAAATGGCCGAACAAGGCCCTAGTGTCTTGCAGCAGCAGGTTCGACTTGGAGAGGATTCCCTGTGGACAGTTTTGCACGCACTGCAGTTGGCAAGGGCGAATGTTCTGCCAGTGGCACAAAAAATCCAATCTGTTGCTTTCTGTCTTGACAAGCAACGAATCAGGCGTCCTCCTTTGAGAGGAGAAAGAGAATTCTCTGCAGGCAAGAAAGAGGGAGCCTATGCTGTTTGCATTACGCAAACTTATTATTCTGCTCCAGGTGTTGAGGGTTTTCAGAGACACCTCACTATGGAGGACGTCAGGAAACACAATACAGAGGAAGACGCCTGGGTGGTGGTGAAGCGGAAGGCAAGCCTTGTTGTCCTTTGTGGTTCTTTCGTTGGCAGGCTTGCATTTGTTTGCAGTTCTCTAATGGCGAACGAGTTTCAGGCCTAGTGCCTGGAATGGCGTTGCCTGGCAATTCCAGCAACCATGTTCGCTGCAGTATGTTGGCGTGTGATACACAATGGAAGAAGGCATTGTAAGGTTATCTTGTCCACACAAAGGCCCATGAGATCGTTCTCTTGTTTCTTGTGAGTAGGGAGGGAATCAGCCGCTGCCCCTTATAGGTGGCTAAGGGCATGTACGCTGCTGGCCATCTAATCTTTGCAGTTTCTCAAGTACCATGGCTCACGTGGACAGCCTGCAGAATGGAGGAATGTGCGATTCTTCGAATCTGCCCTCTGGTATCTGTCGTCTGGCTGGGTGTAGGACGATGAAAACAGCCTGAAACAAGCCTTGCGGTGAACTGTGCCCTTCATCGCCTTGAAGGGCAGTGCTGCTTGCCTGGTGGACAAGTCGTATCTGAATTACTGATATGGCAAGTGGAAAACATTGGAGGCAGTGTGTTTGTCACATAGTCAGCAACTGGAAACAGAAAATTGAGGACATGTATTCCTGTGACGAACCTTGCAAGAGACAACCTGCTTGAAAGCTTTTGCCAAACTGTGCAGCAACTGCCATTGAAGCTGCAGGGCACAGAGCACGTTCTGAGTAGCATTGTTCGAGATGTTCATTGTCTGGACAAAAAGAATTCGTTAAACCCCAGAAAAGGTGCTGAGTCCCACTGCAACAATGAGCCGCGTGACCCGCGCATCCGAGCCTGGTGGCTTGACGGGATTCGAGCTGGATGCATTTGCGTGTGCGTAGGTGTACAATATCAGTCCCTACTTGAGGTTTCACCCTGGCGGCGTGGCCATCCTCCGCACCGTTTTTGGGAAGGACGCATCCGCCATGTTCGCCAAGTACCACCCATGGGTGAACATCGATGCCCTGCTGCAGAACTGTTGGGTTGGTGTACTGGATGCGCCGACCAATAAAGAGGGTGCGCCAGTGGGTGGTTAGGAGTTGCCTACGTCAATCTGTGTCGCATGATGGAAGCCGAGCTCACCATGGATGGAAGCGGAGTTGCAGTGCTTGCTGGTGCATGAGACCTTGTTGGGATTTCGCCACAGGGAGCTCATGATGCGGTGTCTGTCGTCAAAGAGTTATTTCCCTGGCCGTGTTGGCGTGCGGGAGCAGAAGCACGAGTTGTGCTAGGCTTCCGGAAGGCGCCAGGCTGTCGATGCCATTCCTTGCACGAGGGAGGCTTGGCTCTCCACGGTTGCGTATGCGCGGCAAAGGGGAGAAAGCCGTGGCGGGCAGTGTGTTCACAATTGGACGCAACAATGGGCCTTGGGCTGGGGAGAGGGCGTTGCAAGTGAGCAAATGGGCCAGCCGGAATAAGAGATGTCGAGAAGGCCTCGCGTGCGCACAGATTGCAGCTGCATTTGCCATGGCGGGTGTGGCACGCATAGCTTGGGGGCGCTGGTCGCACCTCACCAGCACAGCATAAATGTTCAGTCGTGCAATCGCCTGCACCGCCTTGTCAACGTGCGACTCGCCTAGAGGATGCAAGGCGTTGAGATTGACAACCGTGGGAATGGCATGGCTGGGCGAACGGTTTCGCCAGCGTGTCGAGGGGTGCATTGTTTCTGCACACGGACACACAGTTGGTGGCAGGGGCGAAGCTAGTGCATGGCGATTGCGGCCTAAACGTGGCATTTCACGAATGCTTCCGCAGCTGTAACGACAGTTTGAAGCCGGACCTGAACTGGCAGGGGTTCAGCAGCGTGTGCGGGAAGCACTACTAGCGCTTGTGCATATCATGCCAAACGCTGACGGAGGGCGTTTCGCGCGTTCCCACCGTGGGCCCTGAACTCCTTTCCGGTTACAGTTACCTCCAGGAGAGAAAAGCGGCCCCACACCTACAAGGCGCCGGCAGGCGCGCGTCTGTAGCAGCGGACTTGGAACACTGCACCAGCAGTACACATGCTCTGCATCAGGTGGAGTATGTGCGCTTCTGCTGCACTGGCGTCGTCTTCAGCCATGTGCCCTTTGGCGTCCCGCGGGCTCCAAGCCACCTGACAGAAAGCTCGCCACAGTGTCCTCGATCGGAAAAGGGGTATCCATGTGCCCCTGCGCTACCACATATCTAAGTGCTGTGTTCATTGCCACGGTTGCGATTAGATTGCCACGCAAGGTTATCAGTACGGCATTCCTACTCAAGAGGGGAAGCCCATTCAAAGGCATCTTCGGGATAAATACGGACATTGGCCAGGCGTGTCCTTGCACACAGTGCCCTGTTTGATACGCTCAGTGTATCAAACCATGCATTGCACTGCCGAGGAAGTGACAAAACACATGACTTCGTGTTGCTTTGCACAGTGTGCAAGGGACACCGGTTCCGTTCTTCATGTCTGCCATCGATTGCAAGCGCACATAGATGCACCTCTGGGCATGGCGAGTTGCTCGCCCCACAGGACCAATATGAACTCTGCGGACGCCACAAAACCTTGCACCAGGCCACGGGCCTGTCAGCTGAGCTCAGCAGGTCGCCAGGCTGCATGCAGACCCTAGCATTTGTGCAGATCCTTCATCCGTATAATCACCAGTGCAGGGTGTTTCTGTTGGTCGCCAGCAAAGTGCTCAAACACTGGAAACACCTCAGACACACCACAAGGAAGAAACCATATCCTGGCTATAATAACGGCAACCATACTGACAACGACACTCAAGGCATCGCATCCACACAGTTCCTCTCGAATCCCACTGCTACCCCCCGTCTATGGGACACAGATCACTGGTCATGCGGTCTCCAGCCAATCTGGCTTTCGCCGACCGCATGGCTGGACGTCTCAATAATACACACCGCGGCTGCTCCCCACCTTGCGTCCCGTTGGACACCAATCCTGCCCTCGTGTCCATCTGTTGTACAATCCCAGTGGCTGTCCCTCTCGCCCCTCCCTTCGGTAGTTCCAAACAATGCGCTGTTGCAGGCCAATAACCTGTCTTCAACTGACTCCACGCCATCTTCGGACAAATCACTGATAATCCTCTAAAGAGAGGGGCACCGATCGCTCCTGCGTTCCTGCACACAAATCTGTTTGCGAGCATCAGTTCTTCAATATCCGCCACTACGTCCACCGCGTCCACCACGTCGACCACTGAAGCCGCCACGAGTGCCCACGGGAGTCAAGTTCGCGCCAGAGCGGCCAGGCCCACCACCACTCCTGAAACCTCCCCTGAACGGCGGTCGCCCACCTGCGGCCCAAAACAGCACTGGCTTGTTAAATTTGTTCATTGCTACAACTGCCAACTGCTGAATTCGAAGATTGCTCAATCACAAGGGAAGTGCTGCATACCCTTGTGGGCTATTCTGCCTGTCGATAAAAGCAAACGCTAGGTCCTTCTAAGGGAAGGCACTACTTTGAAATTTGTATGCTTAGCGTCCATGTGACGTTAAGTACCCTATAACCCCCCACCCACCCACACCACCCCCCTTCTTCCCCTTCTTCAGCGTCAATCTTTATTCGATCCCCAGATGACTCACCAACACCACCTAACGATGGCACACAAATTCAAACTAATTTCAAGGAAAACAGGATCCAAAATTGTAGCGATTGCAGTGATTTGAAAATTTCGATGCCAAAAGCTATGACAGGCAATGGGAGCAGCCCCAGGGCTTGCAAATTGATCCATTCTAGGGACTTCCTCAAAGATGGAAAGTTTGAGGGAGGTTTTGCGACAAGTCGCAAGCTATCTACCGCCGATCAGCGGCACTTTTGTGTGCCTTTCCACCATGTTCTGAATTTAGTGCAATTACATGATTTCTTAGCGTCAACGATTGGAGACACCCCCATCCCCACCCCCTAAACGTCAATTTGACGTTAAGTGTACAAAATTCAACATAGTGTCGTCCCTAACTGCGTTAAACAGTACTGATAATACTTTACAAAATCAATGGCCGGACACTCCGATGGACAACGAGTATCGAGCGAACACTGTGCCAACCGAATGCATTTTTGGGATGAGCATTTGCGCTATGGAGAAAGTCAACTGAACATAGCAGCGGCTGGTTTCTTAGGACAAGGAACTCAGCTGACCTCAGCTGTTCTCACCACCTGAGTACACAAAATGTTCCACAATGGAATGTAAGCAGGAACACAGAAGCACAGGTGTAGCACAACATAGAGAAGAAAGAAGCGCTATCCACAGAAAAGAAGTCCTGGTTGCAGCACAGCAGCGGTACAGCTGCTCACAGAGACAGCATCGCCTGACAGGGAATCTGCAGCTCTCTGCAACGCTGTGACACAGGTAATCCACAGGCACTTTGGCAGCCATACAGCAGCACACGTTACAGTGCAGCCACACCAGTCACAGGACAGCAATGCTCAGCGACAGTAATTGAGCTTCTCGGCTTTTTGTTTCTTAATCAACATTCTCTCCATGTATTTATTTCATTGTGCATGCCCTATCTTCTTGGGCTGTGGGAAACGGACACGCAATCTATGGCAAACACCGCTGATGGCTGTGCGTCCATAAGCGCCTTGAGGTTGCAGGGGCAGCGTTTGTTACACCTCGGCAAAAAGTGACCAAACGTCATCGCATGTCATCAAACTGCAACGCCAACTTGACAAGATGCAAGGGAATCAGATTGGTATGAGCAATCAAATGGACTTCCTACCCATATCAAACGAATTCTGGGCCATCTGTCGCAGTTGAGGAGGGACATCTTGGTGTGCCTCGTCCATCACTTTGACGATTTCCTTGGAGATGCCACCGTCCTTGCGAGTGAACAGCGAGTATGCTGTTCCCAGAGCGCCAGCACGTCCTGTCCTGCCGATTCGATGGACATAGTCCTCTGCTGTGTTGGGCATATCAAAATTGATGACGACCATGACGTCCTTGATATCTTTGGGCAACGAGAGACACAACAGTGTGTCAGTCACAGCATTGGGGAACATTTAACTCCGTACCAAATATTAATGAATTTGGTACCCAACTCCCGCCGTTCCAAATAAAATTGAAACCAGCACCCAACAGTATTGAATCTGGTGCCAAACTGCCAACGTACCAAATAAAATTGAAGCTAGTACCAACACATATTGAATCTGGTACTAAATTCGTGCCGAAATGTTGAATGGTGTAACAAAAATGTTGAACCAGAACCAATTAGTCATCAAATCGCTGCCAGACATACAGGGCTCATAAAAACCCTAAACCAAGTGCAAGCCCAGTGCTGGTTGCAGGGCTGGTCGTAGGCTGTCATTCGATGACTAATTGGTACTGGATTCAACATATTTTGGCACAACATTCAACATTTTTGGTACTGGCGCGAATTTGGTACCAGATTCAATATGCGTCGGTACTAGTTTCAATTTTATTTAGTACATTGGCGGTTTGGTACCAGATTCAATATTGTTTGGTACAGAATTAAAATATACGCGTTGGGGCGTTTGGGGGATCAATGCATTTTGTGATTAATTGTTAAACACCATTTTGTTCCCACACAATACATAGCGTATGTTTCATTCACATCTTCTCCTAATCATTTCGCCACATCAACAAGTGCACAGGCAACAAACTGCTGCAAGGACCAAGAGTTCTACACAGACTTGCTGTGATACATGAAACCGGCTGGTCATAGTTTGAATTCGTGACTTCGAAACTCTCATATCTACAACTGCACCAGGCGGTTACCCCTTCAAAAGTCTTCCAATTCGTTTGGCTACATTCTGGAGCTCCGACCAACACCTAGTCCGCATTTTTCTTCGTTCAATGAGGTGTGACAGCGGTCGCAAGCCTAAACACCCATCCACAGGCACAAAGCACATTTCTGCAACCAGTGCGAGTATCGGTATGATCGGCAATCGCTGCTCAGCGCACAATACAAAGATCTGTTTTTTCACAACGTCGCGAGTGCAAGCTTGTTTGCCCGTATGTTTTCGACTCTGCACATGCCTTCATATGAAGGTTCCTTAACATCTGCCTTTTCTGTCAGGAACGCAGCAGAGATGAAACATCGCTCTCCCAAGAACAGCGAAAGAGAGCAACCCTTGTAATAAAAATGACACCAAATTTCTCTGATATTGCCAAAGGGTTTCCTTTGCATGGTTCCACAAGGCTACCAAGGATGTGTCGCCGCAAAGTGCGCAAATATCAGGTGCTCGACACATATTGACCCTCCCTACTGTGTCTGCCAGCGGCCATGGCTGACTGCCCCGTCCACCAACAGTGCTTCACTGCGGCCAACAATGAAGCCTTGGCGCTGGGCACCAAGCAGGTATTCCTGCTATTCCGGCCCTTGCAGGGTGACTCTGAAAGTAAGTAGTGCAACAAAGTAACAATAACTAGGGAAATTCCAATACATTGTAATACACAGAAGTTTAGCTCCTGGCCTTTGCCAAGTATGTGAAGCACCACGCCCATAAACTGCTTCCAAATGCCCAGTGCCCTGTCACCAACACCAAGAGCCATTCACATCAGCGTGAGCTAGCACTGTCATACCTAGTCCACGAGCAGCAACGTCTGTGGCCAGCATGATTGGATTCCTCCCCTCCTTGAATTCCTAAAATGCAAGAAACAAGCTCAACCGGAACTGCATTACCTTCACTTTCATGTTCCAAACATTTCAGAAGACGAGTGCTCTCAGCATCAACTGGGCACCAATATATCTGAAGATCAGCATGAGACACTGTTCTCGCGCATACAAGGCCACAGTGGGAATTGTTTACTCCACCAAAATTTGTTGAAAGATAGCACGAGCGCCACAATTGATCTGCCTTAAGCCATAAACATCACTGGAGGTAGGAGCTTAACTTATTCTGTTGCAAGGTATATTGTAGTGGGAAATATAGAGCAAAAGACGATGAGGGAGTTGGCTGTTTGGCGTGCTTGGGACAGTGGACTGGTTAACTCCATTTTCCAATCCTTGCTTTCCCTCTTCTGTTCAGTTTTTATCTTTCTCAAGCAACAACAAAGGAACATTCATAAATCCAACGATGACAGGCAGCACGTTTGCCTGCAGTACGGACTATCACCTTGTCGGATCATCGGCTCACAGTGTCTGTGCTTGAGGTCTGGTTCATTTCATTCCCCCAGATACAATTAAACCATGGCCCTGACTGGTGCCATTCTCATCGAGAAGCATCTGTTCCCCATGGAGTTTCAGCTGTCCCTTGACAAATATTTGCATGGGGACATTGATTCTCCAAAAAGCAACAAGACACAGTGCGGCGCTGGCCTTTCCCGCCATCTCCAGACTTTTAAAGTAGCTGGTTCTAGTTCTCCAAGGGAAGTTTGGACTGGAAATCGGTGATGCCAGCACCGTCCCCAACACCATCTTATGTGCCTGGCCAAGGGCTTCACATTGAATGCAGTGCGACTGAACTGCTGATGGTGGATCTATTAGCAAGCACATGCAATCCCTTGTGTAACACTTTTGAGAGCATCATGATAGACAAAGTCTTTGGGCTTTGTAGGCAACGACGATCGCAGAATGATCTGGTCAGCAATCATCCAGTGTCCTAACATCGTGAAACCAAACAGCATTGACAAAATGCTGTTCCCTGAAAAAGTGTATGGGGCACCTTGACATGCTTTGTCAACCACAAACAATATAAGTACGACTGCCATATATCAACAAAACTGAAAACTGGAGGAAAGACAAAAAAGCTGCTTGATCTACGATATTCAACAAATGACCAGCTAGAGTAGTGAGGGCTGGACATGCGCTGGCTTTCTCCACCAGCTTTGTATGCACCTCTAACATAACATCAAATGGTTTGGACTACAAATTCGTTGGGTTGAAGACTATCTGTTTCAAGTTTGTGGCCTAATCAAACCACCTGCATACACGCGGCTGCGTGCACACTGCGCTTACCGCCAGGACCCACTCCCGCTCGTTTTGGCGCTTGTTGCCATGAATGCTGAGAGCCTGCCAGCCATCTGACCTGAGGTTGTGCGTCAGCTGAAAACAGCAGAAGGGAGGAGTGATGTGGCAACAGGAAACAGGCACATGAAAAAGCACAACTGAAGCGGACACAATGATTCTGCATCTGGCAATCGAACCTCTTGGGACTTGCAGGGCATTAGCCTGGAGGGTACGATCCTTTTCATTAAATCTGGAAAGAATGACAAGCACCATACTTGTACTGTGGGGGTACCTATATAGCACCCACCCTTGACATGGCCAAACACAGGGCACTGTTTGGGGGCCAGGCGCTGAACAACTAACTCCATTTAATGCATTCAGTCATGATTACACCATCACCGAGACTTTCCGTCAGGGTTTGCGCAGTTGAAGACTGGAATACCCTTTGCCATAATGGCATAATATTGAAGCCCAGTGTTGATGGTTGTATTAGAGAGATACAGTCAAGCACTTGTGCAAACGATTTGCACATGATATGCCAACGACTGGCGAAGTACAAATAAATGAACACGCCAGTCCAATGCAAACCTCCAATATGGTGTCTGTCACAAGCCATCAAGTCATGATTAGCATTGTATTGCCCGCTTATGCTGAATGCATTCTACCCCCCAGTGTCACACTATATCAGGGGCCCATATTGGCTGTGTGACCACATCCTTGGCGTTCAAGTGACAGTGGAGCCGCATGGGTGCTTTGTGGTGTTGTGGCTGTACTGCGGCGACCTTGTTCTTGATATTGCCACTCCTCGGTTCCAATTTTGAACAAAATGCAACAGTTTGACAGGGTGCCTCGAATTCCCACAACATTTAATGACTATCGCAATGTGCTACCAACTTGCAATGTCACTGCACACTGCATTGCGGGAACGGTCACGTAGCACCACCAGTCAGCTTGATCGTAACCATGTTTGGATCTGCTCCCCAACTCTGTGACGACCAAAGAATGCTGGAGATCAGCCAGACACCTATGTTAGGTACTTTTGAGTGTCCAATATACTGGTTTGAGACCCCATTGTACATCAGAGCTGCATTATGTACTAAACAAGTGGTGCCAAACCAAAAAACGGGGCACTATTGGGGGTGCACTGTGTAGGTACCCTTATTGTACCTAACAGGCAGCAGCAGGCGCAATTCCCTCCACACTGCTTGTTTGAGATTGGATATCATATCCCTTTCACCAAGAAGACAACAGAGTATGCAGGGCAAGACCTGTGCCGGCCAGCATGTAGCCTTGTGACACTGATAATGTCCAAATCTTGTGCACAAATCAGACAAGCTGATGCATGCATGTAGAATGAACATGTGTGATGTGACAACCTGGGGATCCTAATAGAACCCTTCAACCCACCCCTTTGTAAGAAACGACACGCATTGGCTACCAATTTGTGCACAGCTACCTTCAGCAGAACTACACGTATGGGCACTGTTGTGACTACAATACCTACAGAGGAGGCACTCACCTCGTCACATCCGACCTTGGTTTTGCAGAATATCAAAATTCTTCTGTTGCCATCCTGTTCCTTCTCTAGAAGCTCAGTCAGCTTCCCATACTTTTCAATCTCTTGCAGCAACTCAATATTTTGGGTTATACTGTGGTTTGCTTTGAGATCTTGGCAGCCAATGGTCACCTGCAAGCAGAATGAAACCTTTGAGTCTTGATACTTGCTGCCGCATTTGGATGCTGAAGCGCCAAAGAAATGAATGCTGACTAATTGGTCGATTGACATGTGTTGAAACACGTCCGAAACTGTTTGCTGAATTACACAGGGGCCAGAAGGGAGAACACATGCAAAAGTTACAAATACATATAACAAAATAGACATGAAGTACAGAAATAAAACAAAGCAACTGGTAACCTGCCTTCGGAGACATGCGGTGCTGGTATAATGTGCTTTGGCAGCGCAAACAGCAACATCGCTCACCAGACCCCATTGTTCATAGCGCCAATGAATTGTACTGCATGAAAAAATTGTGCAACAGGATAAAGCAATGAGCAAAACAAGCCTATGTTATGTGGCACTGAATTGGTTGCCGTCTCTTGGTAGAGTGAACTGCTGGGGTGAGTATTGTGGGCACCTATGCGGTAGTGCACCCAGCAACTGAATCCGAGCACAAGCACACTGCCAGCATTCAGTGGGCACCCCATATGGAGGAACAATCTTAACACACTTGTCACCACCATGAACATTGCTGGAGAAAACTGTTGAAGGAACAGTCAAGAACTATCTGGGGAACAGCGCTCCAGTGAGCCAAGGAGAGGTGATCCACGCCAATGCTACTACATTTGGCTCGATGCATGGTCAAACACCATCTTATCAGTATCATGAGCCTTTGTATCCCATTACTGTCTTCCTCTCATACAGTCAGTGAGGTAGCCAAGGTTTGGTTGTATGTGTCTCGTTTGAATCGGAACCTGCCTTCTGCTCAGAGCATCAACAAGGCACTTTGTTCTGCACTCAATGCACCTAAGGATTGGGTTGGGCCCTTTTGGCACTCCTCTTGTCCTTAGTCCTCACTAGCACATACTGCCACCACAACAGTGTGGAGGCACTTTCTTTCCTGCATGTTGCCCATTCGTTGCGCATGCTGCAATAATGAAGCTATTTGGGAATACAACATCCTGTTCTTCATTGTCCTTCCACTAACCTTGGCAGGGTTTCTTAGAAACGCCTCCGCAAGCTCATGGACCTGTCTTGGCCATGTTGCAGACCAAAGGAGGGTCTGGCGATCTGGTCGGATCTGAATGCAGAACCAACCATGAGAGGGTTTAACCACACTGCACTCACCTATAAATGTTTATTCCAGATACGAGATGCATGTTCACTGCTGAGCTGGCATTTGGCTCAACAAATAGGAACTGCCACTCCACGACTGTGCATCAAAGGTTTTGAGCAACCCACACAGAAGCTGGTTCTCTACCATGCATCTGCACTAGTTCAGCTCCAAAATACAAGTGGAAAACCAAGCCATCTACGAGCAGACCTGGATCAACTCTGGGAGGTGCCCATCTTAGGACCGCACTGCTGTGCAGATTCCTACAACACCCAACACCACATTCACACAGCACCAAATGCCATGCTCACAGTGTGCATGGCACTCCCAAGCAAGGTCCTCACCTGGCTAACTATTTGGCGGATCTGGGGCTCGAAGCCCATATCGAGCATTCGATCTGCCTCATCCAGCACCAGGTATGTCACCCTCCTCATATTGGTATACTCGCCATTTATCATGTCCAAGAGCCTCCCAGGGGTCGCAATCACTATCTCAACGCCCTGCCTCAGTGTGCCAATCTGTGGCTGCCTCTGGGCTCCACCATACACACAGACTGCCTTGACACACTCCTGTGGGTCTTCAGATGTCCCAAATTTCCTGGCTTCTTCCATGATCTGGATGGCCAGCTCTCTTGTTGGTGCCACCACCAAGACAATGGGCCCTTCGCCAGGCCCTGGCACAGAAATCATCATATTGTCACACACCATGATGAGACATGATGATGACTCGTGTTGACAAGAGATATTCGCATTATGTGCCTATATCACTACATGCAGTATTTCTATCAGTGAGATAACAATGAGTCATATTGCCTTTATGTCACAAGACAATACCAATAGCCATTATCACTATTAGTATCTTTGTTTGTCTTCATCGTGAGCATTACTACACAATTAGCAAAGGTGCTAGTTTCATCGTAATGCTGCTAGTATCATATCTCTTATAGTATGATACTGCACATCATATCAGTGGTGACAGGACAATTGCTGCTTAAGTGACAACCAAATTCACCACACGATGGGCGTTCCCATCTTGAACGTGGCGATGTCTATGAAATCAGCAGACAAGGCAAGAGGCCCTGTGACAGTCTCTTCCATTCATAGATGGGCTGCCATTGTAGTGCTTGGTCTCCAGGGCTATTGCCCAGGCAGATGATTTCAGCAGGGGGCTGACCAAGAAGGCAGTTGGAAACAGATTAGCTGAAACCTGCATGATGCTTGTTTTGGAAGACCCAAGCGATCGCTACCAGCACACAAGCACAGGCACCATGGGATCCCAGGAGTTCTGGGCCTTGGGATCGGTTTCGGCTTCATGCCCACATGCAGGTTCCAGATGCATCCCAACACTGGACATATTTTGGAGTTAGAGCACATGCACCCGATGGAAGCACGACATTTGCTTACTTGTGAAGGGGTGCTCCACTGCATGTTCTGTCTCTTGGGGACTTAAAACTACAAGCGGACTCATACTCACACAAACAGTTGTTGCTGTTCCTCATAAGCTGACACAACAAATTAACACTATAATCCATTGGGCCTACATTCTGAGCAGTATTACCAAGGCAGAAGCAGGTGAAAAATGACACAAATCTTCAGTAGAAGCTGGCACTATGCATTCATACCAAGGTATGGCTGCGCCAAGATATGCACAATCCCTGGCAACAGGAACGCCAGCGTTTTTCCAGATCCAGTCTCTGCGATTCCCACGATGTCGCGACCCTGTAGCGCCAGGGGCCATCCCATGGCCTGGATGGGGGTGGGGTCGTTGAATCCGGCGTTTTGGACTGCCTGATTCACATGTGCTGCAAACACAGAGCCAGCGCCTGAGCCATGCACTAGCAAGGACAGGATGTGCCAAAATTGTGAACACAGGTGCTGACTGCAACAATCGCCAATAAGTGCCCCAGCACATGCAGCTCATCCAAGACAAGGCAGAGCTGAGAAGGCAGCACGTGAAGGAGAGGAGAATCTTTGACCACTAAAACGATTCAAACAGAAGAAAACAACGTGAAAGTAGGCACAAACCTAAATTGGCTTTAGAAGATTTGCTTGTCATTGCAGAGGCATTAGGCCAGCAGCAAGCAAATGGACCAGTCCTCCACAGGGAATGGGACAGAAAGATCCTTGCACAGAGAATGCATCGGTGATCACCACAATGCCAATACTCCAAAATGGATGAAGCATGGAGCTGTCCCAACTGCCCTATGCACTATGGCACACTGTTGTGATCAACTAACTGGTCCCCACTCCCTTGGGTTCAGATCCTTGGGCAATGTGATGCTCAAAGTACAAACAATCATGATCAATCAGCAAAGACTTCAGAGAGAACAAGGATCTGTACCTGGCCAGACAGCACCAGCAAAACTGGTGATAGGTGGGGGCAGGTTCTCCCCCTGCACATGAATCTCCCGCCCTTCAAGGTACTGCCGCACGTCGTCCTCCCCCAAGCCCTCGGCCACGACCGTGTCCGCATAAAAATCCTTCTTGAACTCAGCCACGTTCGAGTAGTCCTGGCTCTGCAGCTGCATCTGGTTCAAATCGAAGTAGCCCCCAGAGCCCCCATACCCTTCATACCCCTCATACCCTCCCTGCGGACCTCCATTATACCCATTGTAACCCCCGTTCCCGCCGCCATAACCCCCATTGTTGTACCCGTCCCGGCCCTGCCCACCATCATACCCTTCCCTGCCCCCGCCAGGGCCCCCAACCCCCCTGCCGCCTCTGTAACCTCCACCGCCACCCCTCCCATTGTACCCCCCTCCACCCCCTCCATTGTAACCCCCTCCACCCCCTCCATTATACCCCCCTCCACCCCCACCATTATACCCTCCTCCACCGCCCCTGTAAGATCCCTGGCCACCATAGCCCCTTCCCTGGCCACCATACTCCCCCCCCTGCCCACCATAGCCCCCCTGTCCACCATAGCCCCCCTGTCCGCCAAATCGGCCGCCGCCACCGCGGCGCCCCCTGGGGCCCCCTCTGGGCCCTCCGCCGCGCCTACCGCCGCCCCCGCGGGGACGACCGCCCGTGTCACCGTACCCGCCGCCGTTGGCGTACCCGCGACCGTGTCCATGGCCGCCGCCGGCACCGTAGCCGCCCTGGCCTCCATCCGGCCCGCCACCGCCGTCGTGGCCGTAGCCCGGGTTGTCGCCCATCGCGCCCGGGGGCGAGAGATCAAGCCGGAGGGGACGCCGGGCGGTGCGCGCCTGATCTGGAGATGGGATTTGAGATTTGTCAGACGGGCGGGCGACCTGGGGGAGGGGGGAGGGGTTTCGAGGCCGCGGGGGCTGGCCTTCGGTGCCGAAGGCGACGCCCAGCGACAGAAAACGACGGGGCAGCCCAGCGCCCAGCTCGCCCTCCCAGATGTGCCCGATGGGGCTGGCACTTGGGTGGGCGGTGTCCCGGACACCCCAGCGTTCTAATTAGGAGTAGGGTGGGTGCGCGCCAGTCGCACTGGAGCAGGGTGTTTGCGGGTGCTTTGCTGGCCGTCTTCGAGGGGTCCGACGGTGGCGATTGTGAGGGATGCCGAGGGAGGACCCGCGGGCCGGGCTGCGGCAGGACGTGGTGGCCAAGCTGGAGGCCTGCGTGGGCGCCTGCGCCGTCGCGTGCAGGGAGGTGGCCGACGCGAGGGTCGGGCAGGTTGAGATGATGTGGTCTTTCGGGCAGTAGTGGTGGTCTTTCGGAGAGGTTTAATGCCGTCGATCGGCGCATTGCGGATTGGCGCCAGTGCGCACCCCGATCTGGAAGTTCTGGGGCGGGATCTGAATGGGAGCGTTGGGTCTGTGCGCGTTTGGCATTCCGAGGCTGGCTGTGGAGGTGCGTGGCGTAGCTGGGCTGACGGGAGACTTGTGGTGTGGGCAGGCTGCGGACGGCCTCATCGAGAAGGAATCCTTGATCGAAGAGACGCGGCAGGTGCGGACACGTGGGGGGGTGGGGTTGGGAACTGGCGGTTCAAGCCGCTGCTCCCTGCCGCCGGGCGGTCTATTCCTAGTGTTCTGTCTCGTTCCCCGCACTGTGGGCAGTGGTAGCTCCGAAATGGTCCACGCACGTGGCGGATGTGATAATCTCCGTCGTTCCGTCGCAGATTGTCTCGCACGTGCGCCAGAAGCTCAGAAACGCTCAGAAGGGATTGGGAGCCGTTCGCACCAGGTGGGCCCAGGAGGCAGCTGAGGCACATGTCTAGACGACTGATTGTTTCAGTCAGCAAGTTTATCCCTGTCTGGATATGGCGCCAAGGCGCACAGTGCTCGTTGCCTGCTTTTGGTCGACATCGGACGAGGAGACTTCCGTGTGACTTGTTTTACAGCGTTGATGCGCTGCTCGAGGGAAAGCGAGAGCTGGCAAAATGCACCCAAGCAATGGAAGAAGGCCGCTCCAAACAATGAGCCACGGCAGCTGCCGTCCCAGTCCCCAACAATCGCGAGAGCCTGCAAGCGATCGAGCAGCATTCGTCCTAAATTTTCTCCACGGCAGGCGCTTGCTGGCCACACAATGAATTCCAGCTGCTCGTTGCCGCAGCTTTCGTGCATTAGGCAGTCGCAGTGACCTCTTCCTCTATGCGCTGCTGTTGGCAATTACCCACAGCAGCGGCTATCGTTCTTAGTTTGGGACCAGGGCTCAGGAAGCCTTGATGCAATCTATGATCAGTATTGGTGGTCATTATTCTTTGCCCTGCTATGGAAGACCAATTGTGAAAGCCGTTCTGTTTGTCAAAAAGTGGCAAAGCACAGCCTTGGCTCTTGCGAGACAATGTCAGGCATATGGCTGCACACAGAATGTGGTCCCAGTGGCAAAAGAGCGCCAGTCGGGGTCCCAGTGGAGATATGGATTGAGAGGAATGCAGCCTATGTTCGTTGCAGGTCAGCTACAATCGTTGGTGTGGTAGAAGCACCCATAGGGCTGTCCTGTAGGTGTGCAGTCCATATTACTGGAGCTAACTAGCATCTAAGCCTGATCCACGTTTTGCATGTGTGATTTGATCTTCGATGGCTGCATTTATCCACCGACATGCAAGAGCACTGTTCATGTGCCTTGTCTGGCGATGTCAGGTGCTCATCCCAGAAGCCAATAGTGGTCTTGACTAAAGATATTTACCTTTTTTTGCTGGCCCTAAAGGACTGCCACCAGCTGTCCCAGGAAAGGCAATTAGTTCCCGCAGATCCCATGGAGGCATGAGAGGGCAAAGGACAGTTGGCAGCCCATCTACAGGAAGACGATGACAGACACATGTGTATAGTCATGCAGATGGGGCCTAATGTTGGTCAGTAGGTGTGCTGGAAACATGAGCGCAATGGGAAGTATGTAACTGAGAGTGGTGAGGTTGGTGGTGTAGAGAGAATCTGCGGTAGCTAGCTCGATGTTTGTATGCACAGAGGCTGATGGAAATCGTTTTCAACAGAAGTTTGCTTAATACCACCATGCAAGATCGTCTTGTTTTGGCAAAACTCTGTCGTCAAAGGATGCACTGCAGTTGAAGTGGCTGCCTTGACATTTAGCTTGTAAAACATCTTAGCCCACCTGTTCCTGTTGCTATTAAAGCAGTGCCACTTTACTTTCCCTCGGCTTCTGCCAGAGTAGTCATTGCCTACTAGACAATGTGATCGCCAAACAATCTGGGGTGTTGTACCAAGAGCGCCCTTCATATTGGGGATGAGTCCTACGACATGAGAACGAAACAGCGTCCGCAAATGGATGAGACGGCCATGCCACAACATCCCTGGGTTTCGTGTACGCCCCGCTGGTTCCTCGCGTTGCAATCCAACGTCAATCGGCGTATTTCTCCGTACTTTCTCTTTGGCCTTCCTGTGGCACAATCCTGGTGCGCTCTCCTCGCGCCCCTGTGTTGGGTTTTCAAAGGGGCTGGCGTGCTCCAAATTTCCCACCTTCCCCTCGCAACAATTGACATTGTGCGCGCGGGAGCAGCCCGTTACGTCCTTGACTCAATCAGTGCCGTTTCGACGGGCACCGATACCTCGCGTAGCATCGTCTACGACCGAGCCGTACAATAGTGTGCCTTAACCCACACCTGCCCGCGCCCCATCACCAGAGGCACGCCCTCCAGGCGACGGTTCCGAAGGGCACCCGCCTTCCCCCCTCGAGCCCACCGCCCCCGGCCCCCCCCCCCCCTCCCCCTTTCCCTTCGACTCCCCACAAGCTCCCCCCAGAGCGGCAGGCGCCCTCCCCGCGGGCCAGCCCCGGGGGGAGGGCCCCGGGCGCCATCCACATGTCCCAGTCCACAGCCCAGCACCCTCCGCTGGTGCGCGCGTCGGCGGCGCTGTACTACGCGGCGGCGTCCTTCACCGTCATGTTCGTCAACAAGGTGGGGGTGCCGCGCCGGGATCCGATCTACTGAGGCGGCCAGAGAGCGATTGATCGGTCGCATGCCTCGGCTATTCGCATGTGCGGCATGATCTGCTGTCTGCGTGCGCGGCTGAACTGGGCGGCGTCTGGGCCCTGTGCGCCCTGGCGGGGCGAAGGGAAGGGCCCGGCACCGGTTGTGGCTAATTGTCCGGACGTTCGTCTTCCTCGCCAGCGCTTTTTGGGCAAGGAATATTGCCGCGAGCGAATGGGCCCCATGGCGCTGCGCTGGGCCTTAATCGGCGCTGCTCAGCTCGTGAGGGCGTCGATCCAGACGGATGAGGCGCGTGCATTTCTGTCGCTTCTGTTGCGAGACTGCGGCGCGGCTGCCCACTCTCTTCCTGAGGGAAGCAACGGATGGGGCTGCCATGGGTGAACACCCCGCAGATGTTTGGCATGAATTCGCAGACGGGTTTCGGGGGCACCGCCGTTAGGCAGTCGTCCGTAGTCTAGGCGCGATCGCAGACAGGTGACTTTGAAACCAGCCGCGCCCCCCCCCGCCTGTCCGCTGTAAGGACAGTTCAGTTCCCACTCCCTGCAGTGTGGGGCAGTCGCAGCTGTTCCTCCTGCTTCAAACCATGCCCACCTGTTGAGAATGCCAGTACAAACCATTCCGGGCATTCGAACTGAAAAGACTGGGGACGTCATGGTGGTGGGGTAAGATCTGTTAAAACGAGAAATGGGTTGTACACAAGGCAACCCCTCCTGAGCAATTGTGCATTAGACTCGTCTCCCTCCTGTGGAAACATGCTTTAGAGTCCCAGCGCAAATGGAGTAGCGCACAATGCAAGGACCACGAAGAGCAAGCAAAAGTGATGTTGGGGTTTGTGGGCATTCCTCAGTGTTCTTCCAGGTGCACAGGTCAGCCGTGCTGCAGTTGTTGGTTCACAGCCAGCTGTGGCACAGCAGGGGTGGCTGTTTCGAACGGGCGGCTCTCGCCGTTGGAGTCCTATGACGGTGCTGAGGCCAGTTGCTGCTGTTGCAGGCACTATTCACAAGTCTTGGGTTCCAGTACCCCATTACTGTGGCGTTTCTACAGATGTCATTCATGTCGCCAATATGTTATCTTGTAGCCAAACCGAACCTTAGTTGGAAGATCGCCGCTGGCATTGGACCTCTGGCCGTCGTAAATGTGCTTAACGTGGTTGCCGGTCTCATAGGTGAGCTCCTTCATCCAATCTGTGCCCATGAAACCCTTGTGTTTATTAGTGTCAGTCCTGTGTTTTAATACCCTTTTAAAACGTGACAAAATCACTCAGCTTTTGCCTGCATGCGATCTGGGGTGTGTCTGATAGACTTCACATTCTTACGTTCCACATGGCGCAACATGTTGCGAAGTCACATGATTGTGACGCTCATCAGTATGCTAAGGAAGACACCATGGTTACACGGTGTCTGAAAGCGTCCAACTAGCACACTGGACTTTGGCAAATGGTGCTTGTTGCTGAACCATGGTTGTGCATGACTGCGATACAGGCACAGGTGGCCTCAATGTGCCCATGTTTATTGTACTGCGCCGCTTCACTTTGTTATTGACGTTAGGATTTGAACGTTGGTTATACAAGAAGAAGCACACCTCCACAACCCTTGGTGAGTGACTATCTGTGCTCCTTCCACTTGCCCCTTCAGAACAATACAGTTTCATGACATCTAGGCAGGCGTGTTAACATTTCCTGACTTCTTCTGCATCACCGTGCAGCTGCAGGTGTGCCACAAAGCTGTGGCTAACTGTCGCTACTCTTTGTGTGTGTTTGACATCATTCAAGGACCTGTCAATAGGCAATCTGTGCAGGTTTCTATCGCCAGTCAGCTTGCAACTTGTGAACATGCATGCGTGAAGATCACCAAAGGGCATTTTGAGGTTTGTGACTGCTGGAGCGCAACAGGCACTGTCAACCTTGCTGAAGCACTGTGTGTTGGGAACTTAATCAAATGATGGATGGAAATTGAGTGGACATTTGTTAAGTTGTTGCTGGAACACTATGTCTGAGTGGGAGAGCTGTGGTGCTTGCAAATGGCAGTTACTGTTGGCATAATGATTTCGGGAGCCTTGATTGCTGCCACAACCGACCTCCACATGAACACCAGGGGCTATGTGGCAGTGTTTGTGAATGACATCTTCACAGCCCTCTACCTGGTGCTCATCAAGAACATGAAGGCAGCGAAGGAGCTCTCAACCACAGGTGAGTGCTGTAGCCCAGCCTGCCAAGAAAAAGCTACAGACAGCCTGAATGCTGGGCAGTCCCAGCCAACATGGCTGTGATATAGGGCTTCAAGTGGCTTGGATATTGCCTGGTTGCTCTGTGCTTGAATCCTTTCCCCATCTTTCCATCCTGGCTTGCTGTGCTGGCCAGCTGTGTAAACACACCCATATCTTGGTGAGAGCCTGGCCTGGTATGCATGGACTAGGCAGAGGTTTGGAGCTCAGGGTTTGAAGTCCAGAACAATGTGGGAATCTGTGCTGTTGGGGTTGGCCATGAAACAAATCACGGCCACTGGCCTGACCTCCTGAATTCCTTGGCCTGGTTTTGCCTTACCAACGCAAAGCTGAGCCGCTGCTCATTGCAAACGACGGCAGACCTACCTGTGGCCTGACCTACTACCTTTCCACCACACTTGGCAGTCTTCAGCATCCTTGCCATTACCTGGCGCACAACCTTGTATGCCATCTCGTACTGTGTGGGGGTAGTGATGTGTCATGTTTTGATAACAGTACTCATTGCAAACCTGAAAAAAATCTGTGCAGATTGCATCCAGGGCTTTTCCTGGGGCTGATGTGATCTGACAAGTTGTTTGTGCAAATATGCCTCAGGCCTCCTGTTCTACAACAGTAGCCTATGCTTGCCTCTGCTGGCTGTTGCTTTGGTGGCGTCTGGAGAACTGTCCACACTGGGAGCATACCCTCGGTTGGGGGATGCAGCCTTTAAGGTGTGTTGCAGCTGACCTGCTGTCTGCCATGGTTTGGCAGGAAGCTGGATCAGGAAGCGAGCCAGTTTGACAGAAGTGGAATGGACTGGGTAGGAGAAAGGCTGGATGGGTTGCAAGTTGAGAGCCAAGTTTTAACTAGACCTGCTGGCAAGCACAACAAGTTTAATAACGAATTCGGCCTGCAATACCTTAATTCCTCTGTTGCTGAAGAGATTTGACTGCTGTCATCACACCATTGTGTCCAACACCACAATCCAGTCCCCTGTTCATGAGAAATGTTGAACACCCTCCGACTGTGGGTATGGAGGACACTCCCAATGTATCAGATGCATATCCAAATTTATGGGTTGGTTGCCACACCTTCCATGGTATCATGCTGCAGTATTCAGTGTGCGGTAGTGCGCTTGTTTCAATTGTTTCAATGCAGATGGGCATCAGAGAGCATGCTGGATTTGTACGTTCCATCCTTTCCCATTGCTGAACCTCCACTGTGTTGTCGCCACGTGTGTTGCAGGTGGTCCTAGCGTTGAGCACTGTCCTGGGGCTGAGTGTGAACCACTCTCAATTTCTGTGCACGCGTTTGAATGAACCCATCATGACAACTGTTGCTGGCCAAATGAAGAACATTGTGTCAACGATCGTTGGCACATTTGCCTTCGGTGACTTTACCTTTGCCTTCTTGAACGTCACAGGTGTTGTGGTCAGCATGACTGGTGAGTCATAATGCCCAGGAGCTGCCGTTTCTTCGCGCCATTGCTGTGGTGGAGTAACAGGCTATAAGCCCAACCCAGAATTGACTGCCCATGAACATGCACTGACACCACTGTACAGGTGCTGGGACTGGATACATCAGTATCATGATGGCAGTGCTCTGTTGAAAGGAGGCCCCCTTATTACAATAGCGCCAGTGAGCCTTGGCACACAATACGTGATGGCATTAGATTCATACAGCAAAGCTTCACCAAGCCATGGACGCCGCACCCAGGCTTGTTATTTACGCCGTAAACACAGATCGTAATAACTTTTTACGCGAAAAATAACTTTAACGTTTTTACATGCAGAAAGGCGTAAAAATACGTCAATACACGCCCGTATACATAAAGACAGTACATATAGACTTACGGAGTCCGGGAAGTGGCGGCCAGATGCGCTGGAGTGGGCAGAAAACGAACTTCTGTTCGATGACGTTGTTGCGCTTGCTGAGGGCAAGGTGGACGCTGTATGCTCCAGGGGGCAGAGGACGGTTCATTGGCGCGACTTTTAGCGTGTAACCTAAGTGTCCCAACGAGCCGTTAGAACGTCAGAGCAGCCGTAAAAATAGCCGCTTTTGCAAATTTGCGTTTTTACGCATAAAAACGTGAACGTAAAGAACAAGCCCGGCCGTACCTCTGCACAGCAGACCAGGGGGACCACTGGATGTTGTTGTTGACAAGCGGAGGACAGGAAACTCTTCACGTGCATTGCAGATGAGACTGCATTGGTTGTTAGCAATGAATTTCAGCGCGTTGGATCACGTTTTGTCTGGACTGACGCGAAACTGGCGATGCTGTGATGCACCACCACCGCCACCTGTAGATGTGGAGAATTCCGTCCTCAACGTCTCGTCATCTGTGTCGTTAAACATGCAAGCACTGGAGTTTGCGCAACTGTACAGCAGGAGTGCACAGTGGGGCTTCTTTCACCTGCAATTGTTCTTTCACACATGCACGCAGGCTTGCCGCGAGCTAGTCATTTGCCAAAGAGAAACCGTGACGGTGATGGAGCTATATCAATACTGAATGTGGAGACGTATCTTCCTGCTTCAGTGTCCTTTTGGGCAGAGGAAACGTTTGTGGCAGGAATCCATCCACTGCTGGCGGGCCATGTGTTTCTGTTCCGTCTGAACATCGTGTCCTGCAATCGACGTGCAGGTGCCCTTTGGTATGCCTTCCACTCTGCTCTGATGTCTCAACAGAAACAAGATGTGCTGCCCAAGGTCAGCCAAGAGACGAACGGGTACAAGAATGCCAAGCTCAAGAACTACGCCGGCCTGGCAACTGGGAACGGCAAATACGAGGCGATTCCATCCAAATAGTAGTAGTCGCTGCTCGTTGCGGGCGAACGCCAAGTGGAAAAACAGACAGTAGCAAGTAGCGACCAATGGTTGACAGCATCAGCAGGAAGCGTTGGGTGTGCAGGTGTAGCCCTCTGGAGGTTCTTCGTGTACAGGGGGGTGGTGTTCTTCATTCAAGCATGGCAGCGAGGGCGGCGGCTGGGCAATTGAGTGGATTCTGAAACCCCTTTCAAGCGTGGTGATAGGACTTTGTGGCTCTTGGATCGGGACGGCAGAACTAAATGCTAGATGTTGGCGCGGTGTGCCGCAGCTGGGCAAGGGAGGCCCAGTTTGCTGATTTCCGACGTGTGTTGATCCAGCCGTTGCCATTCGCTTTCGGACTTGCTGCCCCAGCAGACCCTCCAGGCAGTTTGTCACCATCCCCTAGGCTCTCTTGGCGGCTGGTCTGTTGGCCATGTTGTGCAATACAGGTATAGGCTATTTGGGGATACTCATTGAGCGTTACCTGGGGTGCTGCAGTCAGGGTATTGGTGTGTTGTTTGTTCGGCCTTCAGAGTCGCATGGAAGCCCACATCTCTCTGGACGATGGCTCTGCAAACCCACCGAGACCGTGGCATCCTGTACAAGAACATGCCAAAGGGACGGGTGTGCAGGAGAGCGAGGGCGATAGCAAGGAAGGCACCGGAGCCAAGCTTGTTGAAGGTGCAATTGTTGGTCGCGGGAAGGTGGCTTGCTGAGCCCATTCTATTGATTATTACTTAGACGTAGATGCTTTGTACATGTGGACTAAAATTAACGTTTGCCTTTGCGATCAGTAAAATGAATTTGAGGTGGTGGGCCAGGGCGACACGACTTGAATGGCACACCCAGGTGATCCAACATTGGTGCAAGTCAACCACCATCTCGCTCCAAAGCAAGACAGCAGTGGAAACACTCTCGCCGTAGCTGTCCATCCACGGTTGACCGGCCAGTAGCTTCTTTGCAAATATAGATGCCAAGCTTGCCTTGTGCACACCAAAGATTCCCCCTGACAGCCACGTCCAAGCGCCCATGCTGGCAGCTTCTGCTGGCACACGGGATTGGAGTTTGGTAAGGAACGCATCTTGACAAGCCCTGCTGTTATCGCCAGATTTGAGGCAAGCTGACCTTGTTGGCGCTGCCGGTGCTTTCCTCGCTGGCTTTTGTAGCGTGGTTTCACACGGCGGCTGGACACTTCTGCAACGTTTCCTGTGGTATGGAAAAGGGTGTCACAAGTGTTCTTGCTCGGGAAGGGTGGGCGTCCGTTGCATGCCCCGTTGTTGAAAGGAGTCATCCGTCCAGCACCAAACCATCAACACCAGAGCCGGAAAATCACAGAATAAGCAGTCAGAGGGCACGGCCTGCTGTTGGGTGTCCTCACACCAAACAAATGTCGAATGCCGCCGCCGGTGCACTGCAGACACTGCACCCATCTGTGGACGACCTTTGGCAGATAGCTAACAAGCAACGGGAGACAAACGCCGAGTGGAATCCCGACAGAAATGCCTGATTTCTGTGCCTTGCTGGATCTGGATAACAAGTCCACAGGCAAGGCCCACCGACACACCTTGGTGGCCAAATCAAATGGTTGCCGTCTGTTTGACTGCTGAAAGGCGTTGTGTCTTCTAGTCTTCCTCTTCCCCCTCGTTGTCAGCGATATTGAAGTACCGCAGTTCGTACACGCTGCGCAACCAAATACAAAACAGAGTTAGCTACAGGACCCAGAGAGCGAATGCCCGCCAGTGAAGGTTGCAAGAACGGCAGAGGACTTTAGGCCGCAAACTTCTGCTGCGTCAGTGCACATTCAAACCACAGTCACCACGGGTTCGTGGCATACTCCAATAGATGAAAGGGCAGTGACTCGTGAAATGAACGTGAAGGCGTTTCATGCCATCACAAAACAATCAACATGATCACAGACTAGGGCGATCAAAGTAAAATGTAGAGACATCACCCCAGCGGTTTCTGTGATGAAGCGCACTGCAAGAGCTGACAACGGCTGCTGCGCTGATATACTAATCCTTGCGGATGACCTGCAGCTATCCTTGATTTGCTGTTGCAGCTCGTTTCACTACAACATGTACACTGCAGTGGCTGCTGTAAATCAGTGAATGGCCCATATATATCTTTTGTGCACTAGGGAGTGAAACCTGAACCCTCAATGGTGGTGCAAGAGCCTGGGGCATGCAGAAATGGTGTTCGCAGTTTGCAGCAACAGACACTGGTCTCCACTCCATTCAATTTTCTCCTAGTCTTTTTCCAGTGTCGGCCCCTTCCAGGGTGTGAGATGCCAGACTGTGGATGTGATTTCTCACCACAGGTGAAGCCACTGTTTCGCACCACCCAATATGACATAGCATCGTGTGACACCTCAAGAGTGAACTTCAGGATTACCATGTATTCGGTGTATTTGGTGACACTGCACATGCCATTCTGTGTTCAACTTCCATTTGCAATCTCAACCGCCATTCACTAACAACAACAGCTCTTCATCACTTCCCCACTCTAAACATGATGCAGAATGAATCCGCCCAGCCTTATCATTTTTGCAAAGAGTAGGCCCATAAACACCATCACGACAGAATGTTCCTGAAAAGTGCACAGGGAGGGAGATGGTGGGCTGGATCACATTGCAGGAGGCCATTTCAGGGGTGACATTCGACCCCTGGATTCACCCTTGCTGATTCATGCAGCACAGCATGATGTCTCTCACCAGGGCAGCAGCACAGATCATGGCATCCAATCATGGGGAACCGCCAACAGTTTACTAACCTTCTGTCCTTGTTGGAGGCGATTACACGCAGCCAGTCCCGGACGTTGTGCTTCTTCAGGTACTTTTTTGTCAAATATTTCAAGTAGCGTTTTGACATGTGAATGTCAGCTGTGACTGTGACTTTGAACTTGTCCCGTGACACGGTCACTTGATCAGCCAGTTGGCCTGTGCCAAAACACACACTGCCTTCTCAACGAGGAGGGAAGGGATGGTGGAAATCCGTTGCGATTACATTTGTCAAGAACATGGCAAGGGAAGCCCTGTCAACAAGCTGGCGATATCGGAGAAAGGGATGGTGTGTGGAAAAATGAACAACCAAACAGGGAACGCAAAGGGTTGGAGTGTTCTAACCACATTATCAGGTCTGTGCATGCTGCTAGCAGCCAGTCCACTATCTGAGCTTTTGCATTCATTGTGAGGATGCCTTCACACACTTTGGTAGAAAGCCAACAGGGCTTGAGGGAGGCACCACTGCCCTGATCACTGCCCTGATCCTTCTCACACATTTCCATTGTGGCAAATGGATCAAAAGTCCTTTTGTGTTGTAGCAGCAGCCTTTTGTCAGACAGTGGTAAAAAGGCCGTGGAAACATGGGCACAAGGGGAGCTCCGCACCAGGAACATGCAGGTGACATGCAGGTTACTGTTTTTGCCAAGCATTGTGGGGTCCTTGTAGAGCGCCAACCAACACTGATACTATCTGATGTTTGGAACCCTGTGGAGAGACATGAAATCGCCAGTGTGTCACTGCTTGCTTTGCTGCAGCTGACGCATTCAATCTGCACCAAGATCGGTGGCCGGAAGCCTGGCGCTTCAGTCATGCTGCAGGCTGCCATGCAAGTATCACCTCTGCAACGTGCTTCCAAGCGCAGCTTTGGCTGTGCGTACTGGCCAGTGAGTGCTGTGAGCAGGACTTGTCACGCAACCCATTCCCAGACACGAAACCACTGTGACCCACCTGTCTTTCCGTTGACCTTGATCTTTTCCAAGAGAAATTTCTCAAAGGAGACGATATCCATGATCTTGTCGCTCACCGGCTTCGAGCAGTCAACGACGAAGCTTAGGCCCTTCTTCTTGCCCTTTGCGGCGACAGCCCCGCGCCCCTTTCCCTTCCCTTTGTTCGACATCTGCGAACCGTCGGACGCTACGGATCAGCGTGGATAATACTGCAGGGGCGTTCTGCGACGTCACAAGCGCGGATTGCCACCTGACAGGACAATGGATCAGCGCCAACCACCCCAATCGCGTTTGTTGGCCCCGCCGTTCGCAGCTTTGACGGGCAAAGACGGCCGGAGTTCGACTTTTCGAAGGAAACAATGCGAGCCATGCACCTCCAGAGCAAGAATTTGCGACGATATTTCCACATTGGGGAGACGATGCATGAATCTCCATGCGCCACAGGAGCACGCGCGGCATGGATGGTGAGCCAAAAGTGCACAGGTAGCGGCGTGCTGGGCAAAGGCAACCTCGTCTGGACGTTAGGGCGGGGTGCGTGCCTTTGAATTGTTGCGCTGTGGCGAGGCGCGCGAGCTCTCCAAGTCCAACGCAGTCCGCGGCGCAGCACGCAGGAACTACAGCAGGCGGCTGCACCGCGCTTTTGCCCCCGCGAAATTGCGGGGCAGGTGGAGGGTGGCAAAAAATCCAAAGGTGCGCAACGGACATCCGGTTATCCACCAGGAGTCCCATTTTCACCCGTTTAGGCACACGACAGGGCAGCGCACGCGCACAAACGGCCGCCCCTCCCCCTCAGCCACTGTTGGAGCCTACCCCACGCGCGGCTGCGGGGCACCAGCGCAGTGCGCCATGGGCGACGACTATTACCGATCCTCCAGGTCCAACAACCCAATGCCGGTGCGTTGTCCCCCGGTGGGAAAACGTCCGCCCGCCGTCGACCGCCCCCCCGGTGCGCCGCGCCCCACGCAGCCATCTTCCTCTCAGCCCCTCCCCGCCCCGCCCCCCCCATCTTTCCCCGCGGCCTCCGGATGCGGGCGCCCGTCGCGCCGCTCGGGCGCGATCGCCGAGAATCGCCCCCCGCCGCCGCCGCTTTCGTGATCGAGACGTGTCGCCTGCCGCCGGACATGCGACCACCATGTCGGCCCGCCTCTGGCCGTGCCAAGTGCCCTGCCTCTTGCTGATCGTTCCCATTTTCTTCTCTCTTTTTTCCTTTCGATTCTCATTGTCCGACGCTCTTGCCGGCACCCCTACTCCGATCCCCCACCTACCCCTCTCCCCTCTCCCCACGGCCTCCGCGTCTGCTGGGTCCGGGTATAACGCGGCCACGTCCGCCCCGCTCTGCCCCTCGCAGGTTTTCTGCGGCAACTTCGAGTACGACGCCCAGGCGCGGGACATCGAGAAGCTGTTCGACAAATATGGCCCGATCGAACGGATAGACATGAAAACCGGTGAGCTGCTCCACGCCGCGCCGGGACCCACTCCCCCTCGGCGGCCGTCTACGGGCCCGCCGGTCGGGGGCGACCTCGGCTACCCCCGGCGCACGGCGGACAACAAACTACACGAACTGCGCCCATGCCGGCGGGGCGAGACAGCCGGGGGCGCCGCCTTGTGCATCGCTAGACACGCCGAGAGCCTGGGGTCCTGACCGGAGTAGTATTCGCTGCGTGCGCCGGTTTGGGCGGCCACTATCGCTAAGGCCGCACAGGGCCACGCCCGACGCTGCTAGCCACGGGCGAAGGGCCGTCCCAACGCCAGCCGTAGCACTACGCCCCCCGTCCGCCGGCAACACATGCGCCTGCCCCTACGTGAGATGATAGGCCCACCCACGCCTGCCCTACGCGAGGTGAATCGCCCACCGTCAAACCCGGGCGCACACAATTGGTCCAACAGTTCCAGTGCAGGTGTGGCCATACCCCGGGCGGGCGGGCGGAAGTGCCGATTGAGATTATCACGTTAGAGCCTCTGGAGTTGTGGCATGGACCGTGGCCTGCCGTTGTCATGTTGGCTGCTGTGTGCTGTGCTGTTTGCGGTATCTGATTGTGCCCAGCACCTTCTCAACTGCAGTGCGTTTGTGATCCCAGCTGTAATGATGCCTGCCTCGTATGGGCCTTCCTCAGAAAAGGACAGGGTGCATCTGACAGGAGGGGGCTTTCTTCAAGTGTACCTGTTGACAATCAGCAGCACGCCTCTTATCTATGAGTCTACTGGATGCAGAACAGAAGGCTTGTCGGGAAAACTGCGATAGTTGTGTGGGTTGTGGATGTGCAGCCACAGGCCGAACCAGAGTGTGCCCCTAAGCCTATGTCATGCTCCCTTACTTTGCAGGTTTCGCCTTTGTGTACATGGAAGACAAACGCGACGCAGACGATGCCATCCGTGCCCTTGACAGGTCTGGTAATGTCTGGCCTGGATCGGTTGCAACTTGCTGGCCTGCTGCAATGAGTGTTGAGCGAGGGAAGGGTGTCACTTGTGTCGTACTGTTCACTCAGGCCTGCTATTGTGCAATGCTGCAGGCATGCTCTTTGGGGCGCGGCCCTTTTTTCTTGAAGTAGAACTAACTCCCATGTTGAGAATCGCAGAGGTTCCACTCGTTTCTGTGTTAGTGCGCATCAGAGGGGCATGGAACAAATTTTGTTGTCCATGCATTTGGAGGTAATTGTGTCCCCACATGTGCATTGTCTACCTGTTGATCCTGTCTCACCTTTGTCTATTCTGTTGATAACATTCGTCAGGGATGCCTGATGATAGAGGAGCTTGCACCTGAAAGGCAACCAAGGGTGGAAAGGGAGTGTGTTGCCACGTATTGGCAAATGTGATTAAGCAGTGTGTTGCAGATCGCGTGTCTCACAGCTGTATTTTTTGCGTGCAGGAAGGAGTTTGGGTACAAGAGAAGAAGGCTGAGGGTGGAATGGGCCAAGGTGGCATCTCACCCACGTACCCCTTCCTCGTTTCTTTGACGAAGTGCTTTTCTGTTGTGTGCGAAGAATGGAACCTCAGGAATGAAAATACAGTTTCACCGGCAGTACTCCTTTGTTGCCTAAAAACTCCTCTTCCTGTTCCTGACGATGATCGTTGGGTGTTCCACTGTTCGTTTGTTTGCCATCGGTTTGGCATGGTGGATCATGTCAGCGCCTGGAGAGGTGGAGCCTTTGCTTTTGCACTTGACTTTTCACTTATGGGCTTAAACTTTGAGTCTATGCACAAGTGTGTGTTGTTTCCTGGAATGTGCTCTGCACCATGGTTTATGATTCCACTGCTGTCTTATTTGAGGAGTGGCTTTTGTTGCACTCTGCTCTGTTGTGCTGGTCTTGTGTGTGCTGACTTGTATGCCATTCATAAAATGCCCCCGTCACCAGCAGCATCATGTTGCGTCCTCGTTTCTTGTTTGTGTTTCAAGTGAATGGCCGGTGACCATTGAGCCTGCTGAACCTGCAGGCCGATGGCTCGATCAAAGCCAGGGAGGATGTTCGTCGCAAGAATGCGCATCCCTCAGACACACTATTTGTGGTGAACTTCGATGTCCATCAGACACGCGAACAGGACATTGAGTACCACTTCGAGCCGTACGGTCGCCTTCTCCGTGTGCAGATCAAACGGAACTATGCCTTTGTGCAGTTTGAGACCGTAGAGCAGGCAGCAGAGGCCCTTAAGAGGACACATGGCACAGAGATGATGGGCAGGCCCCTCACAGTGGAGTTCGTGGCGAATGAGGATCCGTACATGATGCGACGGTCACCACCGCGGAAGGGGAGGTGAGGAGCTGGCATGAGAATGCGAAACCGTCGTGGTGCTGCAATCCTTGTGTGGGCTTTGGCTAGTATGCTGCTGCGCTACTGTTGCCTGAGAAAATTGTGTCGCAGGTTGCGGCTGATGTTGTTGATCAGCTTGCTTGGTGCTGCAGCACCATGTCGCATTATGTCTCTGTTCTGTGCTTATTAATCTACAGTGTGTCATCACAATGGAATATCCACTGAATGGGCCCGGCATTGCTTACCTCAAGTGGTACACGCAGCAGTAACAGAAGATGGGTGGTTTGAGAACTTGTCATGTCCTTGCTGCAGTCGTTGCGGGCATGCTAGCAGCGATCATTTCGCTTGGAAGGGGCTAGCAGATGCGCCCTACCACTCCTTGGAGGGTGCCATTTTGTTATTCCCATTGTGTCCAGGCGCCTGGAGGCAATGTATTTGCGGCCTGTAATATTGGTTGGTGTTCTTACCCTGTGGTTCCTCAAAGATGCGAGTGCCCTTCTGGATCTTACTTGTTTGCATCCTGAGAAAGGCAAGTGTTTGACTGGTTCCTTCTCAATGGCATTGCTACAGGGATCGTTCGTACTCGCCTGCCTACAAGCGTGGCAGATCCCGTAGCCGATCCCCAAGGAGGTCCCCAAGGCGGCGTTACAGATCGAGGAGTCGCTCATTTTCACGCTGAGGCTTGAAGGAGCTGGGTCAGAGGGAGGATGTGCTGAGGAGGTTGAAGGAAATGTGAGCTTGGGCCCCTCCTCTATTAAGGTGATCATTGCCTGATTGTGCACTGGCAGGTGGTGCAGTGGCAGGTCGGGGACCAGCAGGCGCAGACTGGGACCGGGCATGGATTGGGAATCATTTGGAAGCAAGTTAGAGTTGAGCGAAAAGGGTGTGAGCATCTTCTTGCGGATGGGTGGGGGGGATGGGAGGTGGGCGACGACAGGAGATCGAGGTGGCAACCGACAGTCAGGTGATTTGCTGCACTGCCCAGTGAGTGCTGCCCACAAGAGGGGAGAACGTGGCCGCTCTGGTGCAATGCCAGGCGTATGCACATGCTCAGCAGCATTGCCAAGAGTGGCAAGAGACGGACCGATGACAACTGACATTGGAGGTGCCTAGTGGCATGTATAAGGGGTGCATTGCATGTGGAGGTATTTGGGATATCTCGACGCCTTGCAGTCTAATCCTGCCAACATTCGACCTCCATGCAACCTCCCTACCTCTGCTGGACATTGCCGTTTTTGGCCGAGAATCTGATGAGATTCCAGGGAGAGAATTTGCGAGTCTCTCCCTTCTTCACATAGGCATCCCATGTCGCATGTGGTCGCAGTCAGCAAAATTGCCCCCATTCCGCTCCATGGTCCCTGCGCTGCCATCGCTGCACAGGTTCATTATCACCTGCTGAGCCTGAGCTGATCCAGTGACTGGGTCTGACACCCTTGGCATTGAAGCCGAAGGCCGTCCTTATGGCAAAGGGGAAACGTGTCAGCCATTGGGCACCCTCCCTATGATCAAGGAATCTGGTGCGTTCTTCATCCTCTGAGGAGGCACGCGAGATGCAGGCGCGCGGCGGATGGAAATAAGGCTAATGCAAATGATGGACAGCTGTGGAATCTCGGGTCGCAAGGCCCCCCACCAGGGCCAAGACTTGGGCCGCGGCGCGTTGCACAACCCCAGCACTCTCAAGCTCCCCCTTTGGGTGAAGATACTTCCATCGTCCCAGACAACCCCTAGCTGCTGCCCGACGCCCTTTGTATTGAAAACTTCATGGATCCCCACGGCGCCCACCCCGCACCCCACTCCGCATCACCCTGACGTGGCCCGAAAAGGACCCACCCCCGCGCGGCCTGGACCCCGTTCCCCAAAAGGGTCGTGCGCCCAAATGCGGGCCCCTTCCACATCATCCTTAATTTTCCCCACCCTTGTCCTTTTATGACATCGCGTGGCGTTATTTGGCACGCATGGCGCCGCGGTGGACACCCATCAGCTCCGCGCTGGACAGCGCCCGCTGCGGCCAGCACGGCTCCACTGCGCGACCCAGGCTTGGCGCGGCCACCCTCCCCCACCACCACCCCGCCCCCTCGCCCCCCGGGGGCCCCCTTAAATGGACCGCTCCTTCAGCGTGGATGACCTGGTGGGCGGGATCTGGAGGCTGGGCCAGGCCGGCGTGGGCCGCTCGGACTCCGAGGCCGCGTTCCAGGAGCTGCTGAAGGGCTTCCCGTCGACCAACAACCTGGCGGCACAGGCCAGCGGCGGGGTGGATTGCGGCCAGGACGGCGCGGTCGAGGAGGGCCAGAACGGCGAACGGGAGGCCGGCGAGAAGGCGGCGTCGATATCGGGGTTCGGCGCGGCGGGGCTGCCAGGTGGGTGCCGATCGGGCCGGGGGGAAGGATGGGAGGCGGGGGGGAGGGATTGGGCTGGCACGATCTGCTCAAGGGGTGGGGAGAGTGAGGCTGTGGCCGCTGCGGACGGACGTCCTGGCGGGTGCGAATCGAATTTGGCGAAAACAGGCGAGGCAGCGCCTAGATTTTGAACTTGGGCTGGTAAATTCAGAGTCCGCAGTAATGACCGTTGCACCGCGGCGCCGACGCTCGATTTTGTTGTATCCGCGCACCCTGGGGCTTCGGAGGTGGTTCGAGCGGCCGGGGTGCTGCGCGGGGGCGCCTGGCGAGCTGGTGGTGCTCGGGCGGGGACAGCGGCCATGCGGTCTGAGGTGGGGGGAGGAAATCAGCATAGCATGGTTCGTGGCCAGAGGAACGGTGCCGGGCGCTTGCGTGAGGAGGTTTTCTGCGATGGAATCTGGCGGGGCCGCGCGAACCCCGCCGGGGCGATTGCCAAGCAGGTGGGGGTCGGCGTGGGTAGGCAACAGTGGCTGATGAGGCCGCGAGGGAGTGGGGCTGACGGGCGCGGGGGCCGTTCGGTAGGGCGGCCGATCGCACGGTCGCGGCGGCCCTGTGGATGCAGTGGTGGGGAGGGGCCCCGGCCTGGGCGTGCGCTTGCCTGCCGCCGTCGCTCTGTTGGCGTATGTCCGGTGTCAAGCCGGCCAGCGGGGGGGTGAAAGGTCAAGGGGCCGTGAGCAGAATCCATGGCAGCGGCTCGCCCCTCCGCAGCGAGCCGCAGGGCGATAGAAGCTTGGAGTCGGTGGGCGACCGGCGATGGACGGAGGGAGGGGCCATGCTGACCGCTGCGTGGCCTCCTCGGACGCCGAGCTGGCAGAGGGGAGGCGTGCGCGTTGGCCAAGCACGCCGCGCCCGGCAGGGTCCGCGGGCGGTGTGAGAGTGGCCGCGACAGGGTCGCCGGGGGAAGTGGGAGGAGGCCGATCACGGCTGCTGCGCCTGCAGGGTGATCCTTGGACTCTTGAATGGCGTCCCCGCTTGCCGTCGTGGCACCTGATCCAGCTTACATGGCGCTGCCGCCGAGCCCGGTCGCGTCCAGTGATGCCATCCCTGTGGAGCCCTGGTTGTTGCTGGTCCCGAGCAGGGCGAGCATGAGGTGCCAGGCGGGCACAACATTGCCCGCGAAGTGAGCGCGTCATGATGACCATGGGTGTCCTAGTCCGGCGCATTTGTTACGCCCTTGTGCACTGTCTGCCTCTGCACTTCTTTGTGGCTCTGCCTCATGTGCCCCTCACGCGGTGAAAGCGACCCGGTTTCAGCATCAATGCTGTTGTTGGTTGTCTCCTGCAGCCAACCTGCAACGATCTGCCCAACTTTCCACTCTTGTGGCTGTTCACCTGCGTCCAAATTTTGTAACCTGCTGTCGCGACTGTTGGTCAGGCGGCATGTCCACCGGCTTTCCCACCACCTCCATTCCCCAGGTCGACCTGTCGTCCCTCCCACACGTCCTCCAGGCCAACGGCCTCCAGGCAGCCCTGTCTGCTGTGCCTGGCCTCCAAGGGGCCGCGCACCCCCTGGTGGCGGCCGCTGCTGGACTGTCTCCTGCGGCAGCAGCAGCCGCTGCGGCCTTGCAGCTCTCCCAGCTGAGCAACGCGGCTGTCGTGGCACAAGCTCCCCCAGCTGGCATGGACAGGGAGTCGCTGGAGAAGGCTGAACAGAGGAGAGCAAGGAGGTGGGGTGTTATAATATCTGGATCGTTGCTGCCTCTACCAGGCAAAACTGGGCCTTTCATCCGATGGGGGATGTTGGCTCTTCTGCATCTAATGTATATTTGAATCGCTGCACTCCACCCAATTGCAGCAGTTTCATTACTTGGGGCTGTAAATGAGCAATTCAGTTGTTGACTGTAAGTGCAGTGGGTCTGTTTGCCACGATGTTTGATGGTGATATGCATGTGGAAAGTGACAGACGGTGGATGCTGGCAACTGCTTTGGCAGAGAGTGTATCAGGCTCTACTTTTGTTGTTGTGTAAGTGTTGATGCCCTGTACTGGTCCTATCTTATTGGATCAGAACTGCATTTTGCAACGAAATTCTATCTCTGCTCTGCACTGGCAAGCCTAGGTGCAGTGTTGCATGCTCTATGTTGCCACACTTTTCTTTGTGTACCACAACCCTGGCAGTGACAGATTGACGTGTGTCGAAGCCCTTGTGCAACTTTGGTGCCCAAACAGTTGCTTGCATTCCTGTTTTGTTATTGATCTTTCGAGTAGAATGACATCCCCTTGCCCACAACATGTGATAGAATATCCAAGTCCCAGTGCTTGCCAATGGCTATCCATGCAGGGTGCCTGCATCCGTAAAAAAATACGCAGGCAGCCTGTGTGTTGTGAGACTGCATGATGCCACCCACCTACAGGCAGTAGGCAATGGGTGTGATGTCTGTTTCCACAGGACATTGCTCTTCTCTAGCAGAAATTCGCAGGCATCAATTTTCTCAAACGTGGCCTATCATTTTGCTTTCAACTGTTGTGCTATTTTGGGGTCTGCTATGTGTGCATCTGTGTACCTGTGGTGAGGTTGATTTGAAGGAGCTCAACAGTCGTTCACAATTGTTTTGCCATTGCCAGAATGTTGTCGAACCGCGAGTCAGCCAGAAGGTCTCGTCGACGGAAACAGGATCATCTTATGACTATGGAGGACCAGGTATGCAAATGGAACAAGTCTAGCAGGTCCAACCTGTACTCAGGGTGAGGAAGTCCAGGGCTTGGCATAACTTTGCTGATACCGGGGTGTTTGCTCTTTTGATGAATTTACTGAATTGTGTTGCAAGTGTTCATGCTGCAGGTATCGTATCCTTGGAGTCTGTCTGTTTGTTGTGCCTGCAAATAAACATGTGGGGGTGACTCCATCCCGGTTGCATTGAGAATGCATACAAGGTGTCATTCCTTATGACCGGGGTATTTGGGTGTACCACGTATTAGTTGAATGGTGGGCCGCTACCTGGCAGAATTCACAACGTTGATCAGGTTCACAGGACAGTTGTGGTGCCAGTGATGTGCGCTGTGTTGACTCTGAGTACATTTTACAGTCTTACAGTGCATACCAAGACTCATAGGAGTTAGGATGCAAGTCAGAAAACGTTCATGCATACCATGCACTCCAAATGCAGTTATAATCTTTGGCTAGTTGGAGCAGGGTGAATGTCTGGAAAGGTTGCTTGCTTGATAGAATTAAGATATCATAACAGAAAGAGAAATGTAATGCAAGGTTCACCTTACCTGCTGCTCATGGCAAGTCAAACGTTGCAATATGTTCCAAGCCGGTGTGCAGGTGACAGGGCAGGGTTTATGCCACATCCTGAAAAAGGAGCCCCAGTCCACAGCGATGCGGGCATAACGGGCCATTTTGCGTGCACAATCTCTCAAAATGTGCTTGAATGACAGGCATGGTGCGATCACATTCCGTGCTGACATAGCCAGTGTGTAGTGCTTCTGTTCAGTGGTTCACAAAGTTGCATGGCTTGTGGCAGATAAATATCCTCCTTGAAGACAAACGGAAATGGATGGAAACAAAGGAATCTCTTGAGCGGCGTTGTGAGCTGGCTGAGGAGGAGAGCAGGAAACTGAGGGAGGAGAACCAGAGATTGAGAGATGAGCTCAGAATACTCGATCTGGTGGTGAGCTGGGCGCACCCAATGGGCATGAATATCTCTGGAAATATTGTTGTCATTAAACACTGTCAGAATTTGCGCAGGGCCATCACCAGAGTGTTGTTTTGTATTGGGGATGATCTGGTGTCTCTCTCCAGTCTTGTGGCATGAGTCAGCCATGAATTCAGTGCATGACGTTACCTACAAAATTGCTGCAGTGGCTGCTCTAGAAAGAGAATTTGCTGTTCTTGCACACAGTCGGGAGCAATGCTTGTCTCAAAGCAGCACCCGCCACAGCGCCTTTGTAGTGTAGCACATTGCCATTGGCCAACCAATCAGGATCACAAAACTTGCTGTATGGCTGACTGAATGAAGTTGTAGACATCAACAAGAGACTACAACTGTGGTGCTTTGAAAAAAGCTAACTGCATGTGCACCCTGGAGACTACTTGTGGTTCGTTGATGCAAGTTTTGAGCCTGGCGATGTTCGCTTCAAACTAGTGGACCGGTTTGCCCAGTCACGGTGGGAGATGTCGAGTTATGGTGGCATTTCTCACCATTAGTAACATGCTTATCAGGAGAATATGCCTTTTCGACAGCACCAATGAAGCACGCCGGCCAAAGACTTTCTTGGTCGTTGAGCTCTCCAGCATGAGATTGTGTATCAAGTACTAGGTTGGGTGGTGCACAACATTTGCGGGACCCTTGGTACTATGGTGCTGAGTGGAGAACTGGAATAAGTACATTTGGAAGCGAGAGCTCATTGATATGAGCAGGGACCGCCATTTCCCACCAGACGGAAGCGCTGCAGCTTGCTTTACTGATGAAATTAATCAGTTTGACCATGGCGTGGCCAAGTCATCAACAGTGACACAATGCAAACAATGTGGATTTGTCAATGTTTTCATGGTGCTATGCCCCACAGAAAGGCGACTTGCTGAGCGGTTCCCTTGGCAAGGGCGCAAGGGCAGCTGACAGCGCCCATGAAGATCCTGCCGAGAAGCCTGCATTGAAGCGAAAGAGGGTCGAGGAGAATGTGCAGGAGGGCCAGAATACGGAGCAGTCTGACTGTCCCTTGGATCAGCCAGAGCAGGGTGCGGCTGCGCAGGAAGAGCCTAAGATTGAAAACGATTTTGGCGACGCAAAGGGGAATTAATAGCGCAGGAAGATCGATTTTTGGTGTCCTGGGGAGGGTAATTGGTCGAGCCGGGCAGTTGCCGGGCATTGGGGGAGGTGGCTTGCTTCGATCCGATAACCGGAAGCAGTTGGAGCTATTGCTGTTGTTGCAGCGGTTTTGTGATTGGTGGCGGCCAAGATTTTTGGGGTGGCAGACCGCGAAGGGCGTGGTTTGTAGGAACTAATGGATGGAGGCTATTTAATCGTCGTCAACAATTTGCGAGCGACGTGCAGCACACTGGGACGTCTGGCCGCCAAAGATGGAGGTGCAGGGGTCTTTCGCCAAGGCCGAAGAGAGGCTTGTCATGCGCGTTTCGCCTGCTCCCATTGGCGGTGCCGGCAGTGCTTGTGAGCACTAAACAGTGTCAAATGCGTTTTGGGGAATTTTAGCAAAGCGTTGGGGGCGCTAACAACCGACGGTGATTGGAATGTTAAGGGGGGGACGTTCCTTTTTGTGTGGCGGGAAGAGAAACAGCTCATGAAATTGTCAGCGAGTGCTGAAGTCCGCCTCTTTGTGGCGGTGTAGACGTGCAGTGCGGCGAGGTTGGACCTGGTACAGCACAGAGATCTTGTCAGCAGGGAGGCCATGCAGTGCATGGGGCTCGTCTACAGGCAACTGCCATGTTTGAGTGCCGGCGTGGGCGCCAGCCGCTTTGGTTGCTACTTGGTTGCGTAGCATGATCCCAGTTGCCAAGATGGCCACGTCCGCGGGATCACTTCGTGTTGCAATGCTGCCGCCAACGCCTGACAGGAGGACTAGGGCTCATAGAAGAAAACTGGGGATGCGGGAATGCGTGTTGTGGGGACCAGGGCGAGGAGGGAAGCGGTGGGTGGGAATAAGAGAGTGCATTGGGGTTGGGGAGGGTTTGCTAGATCAGAAAAGGGTCCATAGAAGCCAGGTTGCAGGCAAGTCGAGTTGTGTACGGGTTGTGCACTCCTTTAAAAATGACGCTATGCGCTTGCGCATTGTCACAGGCGCGTTGTCTCGCCCGGAGGCCGGCGGAGTGCAGGGACGCCGCCTTTGTGAGCCAGAGTGGTGGGCGTCCCTACACGTGCAGCCTGTCGAAATTCCGTTGCACCAGACAGCATCAGAGTCACCGCATGGGCGTCCCATGCCGCAAGTAGGAGCCCTGGCTCGCACATGACACTCTGGAACACTTGCCCAACGGTTGGGTTGTTGTGAAGTGTGCACAGCATGCCAGCAGTACAAAGCGACAGAAAGCAAGGATGTGGTTCCCACCATCGTGCGCCTCGAGTCAAGGACCTTTTGCTGCGTGAGAACCCACAAAGTGCATGGGTAATGCAGTGCTCGACCCTCGGGGGCTTTGTTGCCCGTGCCTATTCCCTCTGCCGCCATCGCGACAACTTATACCTCGACATTGGGACAAAGCATGTTCTGGCAGGACTGGCGGGGGGGCAACGCAACGAGCACAACCCACCTTGAAGCCTCCTTGCGATGCTTGTGGCCCATCAAGGCGTGGGTCTTGCGCCCAACTGTCCAAGTGTTGTGTTGTCACCGAGATTATGAAGGGTTTTGCCTTACCGGTCTCCTGAGCCCACCCAGTCATGTACTCCCCCATGACAAATATTTACAATTGCACCACAAACCAACGTATTGTGCCCGAGGTCCCCATCCTCACAGTTTGGCCTTCGCTTCGCTAGTACTTAACGCCACTCAGCGAGTGACTCACCCCATGAGTCAGCTCCCGTACTTCACTCCCTTCACTCCCTCTCCATCCCCCAACTAAACCGAACACCACTCTCCAGGGCGGGAGGGCCGGGTGCGAAAACAAGATAAGGAGGGGGACCGAGGGGGGAGGCTAAATGGTCCCCCCACTCAGCCTCGCCAAAGTCCGCCAAACCCGAGGGCGCCAAGGTTGGCGGCACCTCGTATTTTCGTGCTTTGACTGACCCACAGTACTAGGGTGGCCAAAAAATCCCAAGGGGCGGGGGCTGAGTAAGCCCCAGGTTCGAACTGCGCCTTTTGAACAACTGGCGCAACACCACCGTCGTCTCCCTTGGCAGAAACCCACTAACAAGATTGTTAATTTCATTTCCGCCGAGCCGGGCTCCTTGTCCCGCCCAAGTCCACACACACATTGGACCAATACGTTGCAAAGACAACAGTGTTGGTCCCAATACAACCCGAGGTACCCACAACTTGTGTGCCCAGTCGCTTTGCTAGTAGTTAAGCCAGGCCCATACAAGACTCATCCCTGAGTCAGTCCCACCACTCCTCGTTCCCTCGTACTTAACTCCCACACTTGCCCCAACACAGCCGAACATCACCCTAATAGGGAGGGCCGGGCGGGAAGCGAAATAAGATAGAGTGGGAACCGAGGGGTGAGCCTAAATAGTCTCCCCCGGTCGCGCCCGCCAAAGCCCGTCACTCCCAAGGGCGCCAAAAACCCCTGGCCCTCCTTGAATGCGACGAACTAGCCACTGACCCAAGGTACAGGGGAACAGAAACCCCGGGGGCCGCCAAAACAACTATACTTAAGCAGCACTGGTCCAACAGGAGCCAGCACACCCGCCCCTCGTGGCCTTGGGCGGAAACTCATTAACAAGATAGTTAATCCCATTTCGGTCAGTGGAGATGACAGTGCCAAGACGGGACGTTTCTCACCGGCGACACGAGCCTCCCATCCCACATGTGTTCGCCCTCAGGCTCCACCTGAGGGCGTTCCATGCGACTCTGGCGTTCGATCTCAACGGGGCCCTCTTGAGGACAGGGACATTCTGCCAGATATTCTTCGCCAGCGGGGTTGCGAGCAAGCCACCACGCTCATTTAGGAGTCGACGTTGACAACACAAACCGATCGCTTGTGGTGGTCACAAACCATTGTGGGACCGTGGGCTGTAGGTGGTCACCGGCACAGATGGACTTCTTGTTGCTATGTCTAGGTGGTGTCTAGGCGGTGAAGGAGACTCATCAGGCATCACGCGCTTCCATCAGTGTTATCTTGGCCTTGTCTTACAATTGGTGGTAGATAACGACCCAATGGGTGCCATTTTGACCTTGTCCTAAAGCACGACATCATGCCTGAAATGGCTTGGCGGTTCTGTGCTATTTAACCGGCCAGACGTTGAACCGACGTTGGACTCAGAGAGCTGCGCCCGTGCAAACGTCATTTAACCTCTTGATACGTAAACCCTGTGCGGCAAGGGTGACATTGAGTTGATGAACGCTGTCCAAGCACAGCTTACCCTGTGCAACATTCGAGCACTGTTCTGCTGCGATGGCGGCATCAGGTGAACATGACGCTGTACAAGTAAAAAAGTTCGCCCGGGCAAAATGTTCGCGCATTTCGCGTTCGAGCAACTGCGCGATTTTTTTTCGCCCGCGAACTTTTCAGCCTCCTCCCAAATGGGTCGGGCGCTTCCCGCGCTTTGGCCAGTTGGCCTTGCACGACGACTGCCACGTGCGGCGGTCTTCCGACGAGCAGCGACTGCCCCGAAGGAGTCCTGAGCTAGCCAGCAGATCGCTCGCGCCCGCGGTCATCAGCCAGCCGAATCTTGGCGGCGAGGAAGCGCCATCTCCCTGACCAAGTGGCTCCATTATCCTCCCAGTTTCTATTCCTGCAAAAGCCTAGCTCGAACCCTGTCCAGCGACTGCCCCGAAGGAGCCCTGAGTTGGCCGGCAGATCGCTCGCGCCAGATCGAACAGCAGAGATCGGCGTTACACCGACGGGAGGTACTAGCTCCCGACAGCATCTGGGCTGCCCTGGCCACGGACCCGTTAGGGTCGCGAAAGCGCTGTTGGACCAGCGAGTATCGGCCGACATTGACGGGAAGCACCAGCGCCTGAGAACGTCTCGCGTTGCCCCGGCGATGGACATGATCGAAATCGTCAAGCAGGTGGGAGGGATTGGGAGGCACAGGCAGGGCGTGGCGGGGTGTGCCGCTGCTGGTGTTCGCGAGCTTGCTGGCGGAAAACTCACATGAACGGGGGCGCCCTCGTTCATGGCATTTGCTGGAGCGCATGCGTCATGGGCCTGCCGGCATGTGGGCACGCATTGGAACGAAGACTTCCCATCGCCAGCGGTGCCAGGTCGCAGGTACAGGGCGCGACGCCATGCAGCATCACGGGGCTGGCCGCTCGTTCGGCAGCTTGTGCTATTCGTCTGCGGCAGCCGGAGGGTCAGGGCGGCGGCCGGGGGGCGGCGCAGCACAATAAGAAACGACGCCACCCCTGGGGAAGGTCAAGGGCGGCCCGGTTCCGCAATGTTCGGGTGATGCAATGTTCGGGTGATGCAAATGTTCGCGCGGCGAAAACTCTCGCGGGCGAAAAAAGTTCGCGGCGGAAAAAGTTCGCGCACCGACGAGTGCGCAAACTTTTTTCCGCGCGAACTACGCGAAATTTTGTCCGCGTGAACTTTTTTACTCATACAGTATATTCGTGCGAATGAAGGCGCAACATATCATGCCGAGCATGGCTCCCTCCTTCTGACAAAGAAAACAAGCAACAGCAAGGCGGCAACAGTGTTGGCAGCAATCCGGACGAGGCATGTTGGCCAGAAAAGCGAACTTCACAATAGTGCCACGCCACAGCGTCAAGTCATGCCAATGCATCCGCACAACACACACCCGGCAGCACACAAGCGACAACAAGCTGAGGTGGGACTCCTAGCCAACGCGGCCAGGCAACGTCCCAGAATGCTGCGTCTTCCAAGCGAGTTCGTACCTAACCCAAACCCATTCTGTCTCTCAGACAGTTTACCCGGGTGACTCAGCACATTCTATGCAGTTGAAGCAACGGAATCCGCCCGCTCCACTCAACCGACATCAGAAAGAATCAGCGAAATAAAATTGGCCCATCCGTTTCGTCCCAAATGAATCCCGTTCCAAATGAAAAGAAGCTCAACCCACACCCGCGAATACGAACCTGACCCAACGCGGAGACGCTCAAGTCGGCGCGCGCCACACAAGGCGGCAGTGGTCGACGCGGTCCATACCGGCGGCGATCACTTGCATCACCTCGCTCGCGTCAACTATAACTAGCGCTCCTCCAGAAATGCCTTCATCCTTCGGGCGACGTCAGCTACCGCGCTGTTCTGGACGTCGGTCTGCTCACCAGCAGCGACGATCTGGGGAGGAAACAAGCGTGGTGAACAATCTCACACCTGGTCAGCTGGCAACGACCAGGCCCAAAGTTCCAAAAATGAAGGCAATCCGGCAATAGAATGAAAAAAGTCAACACATGACGACAAACTGGCCCTGTGCGTTTACTGCTGGGTACAAGTGTCGAAACAGAGTCTGTTTGACTGGGTTGCGGTCCAAAGGGTCAGAAGCTCGCAAGTTTTGACCAATTGGTTACTCAATTGAATGCCAGTATGTTGCTGCTGGATGCCAGTCATGTCAAAAGTGAGCAAGATCAACAACCACAAGAAGATACCCACGGGGACTCGAAACACCGGCTGTGAAGTGTAGTGGCAGTGTCTTGTAACAAAGTGCACATTTGGAAAGCAGCGCTAATTGCTCGAGTGCCAGCTGTGACGATCGCGCACATCACATTTGCAGAGACTAAAACACGAGCAAGCACAGTGCCCTGCCAGGCACATGCGCTTCAAGCCCAGCACATGCCACAACAAAAATACAAAGACAAGAGAACTGAAACCAATAGCACAATTGATCTATGCTCTGACCCCCACTGCCGAGCACTTACCAGCCCTCTCCATGGTCGCATTGCTGATGCGATATACTCCACATAAGGACGGAGAACTTGCCTCATGCGAACAGAAACATCATCCAACTGCAGGCAACGCCATAAGCCTTGCTAAGACAACTGCTTGACAAGGTGGGATTGTGGTCTCCCATTCTATTTGTGAACAGGACAATCGTTCAGGACAACCAGCCCACCAACACAAAGTGACCAACAATCTGAATCGAATGGAGTGTGCAAAGAAGTCTTTGAAGGGTGTCGAACCAAAACACCATTAAATACAACAATACTGTGCAGCATGCAACAATCCGATAACACAATTCAATATTTGTAAGGATCCACAATTCCATCCACCGTTCCACTGCTGCAGCTGCTCCATTTCCAACACATCACACCGATCAGAGCACAGCCATAACCATGGAATATGGCATGATCAAGCAAAGGGTGTGCAGGAACACTGTGTGCTGAAATACAACTTTCCCTGCCTAGAAACTCTGCAGCAGTGGAGACAGCAGCTCTGTTTACCTCTTTGATTTCAAGCGCCACCATAGCCGCCTTAGTCCCAATAGCCATCCCTGTGACTGCCACAATTGTACCCCACATGAATGCCCTGCCAGGCGTCATGTTGGGGTACAAACGATAGCCGTTCACAGTTGGCGACTCAGCTGCTGCCTTTTGGATCGCCGCAGCCCGCTTCATCTCAAACACCGTTGGCTCCTTCCTCGGCGTCTTGGCCATCCGTTTCCCTTCCTCAATGTCGAAGACAGAAACGTCATTGACAGTCCATCTGCAGCACAGTTGCCCATTCTTCAAAAGTGGCTATGACACACCTTCCTGCACTTGGAAGCTTAGATCTGGCTGCCAAAAACGCAGACACCAAGGCACTACGGCCACCAGACAGGCTGCCAGCCAGGCGGAGGACCACACACAACCGTGCATCCTCACTCAATAACCATTGTCCGAACACAACGAAACACACCCCAAAATGGACACCCCTCCAGAGCAGGGTCTCATTGGAAACCATGCTGCAGATGTCGACCCATCCATGTGGCGCACAACAGGAACAGCACGACAGGCCCACTGGTGCGAAGCCGCGTGGCCCCCATCCACGGGCACGAGCACCCTCCCCAGCCCTCAGTTCGCTGGACACCCTTGCCAGCGCGGCGGAGCCAGCCGCGCGCCTGGGGCCTGGGGCCCTCACCTGCTGCCCCCGAAGCCGACGGAAGTCCCCAAGCCCCACTCCTTCATGGTCGGCAGGTTATTGCCTGCATAAATCCCACAGAGCTGATCAGTTGGCAATGCTGTTGCCACAGGGGCCCACCCGCCGTCGCGACCCATCCGAGGACCGCGAGGCCGTAGAACAGCCCCAGGGCCCGGCATTCGCGAGATCGGGTGGCTTTCGGCAACAGCTGGGCGGCCCCAGCACCACCCGGCGGAATTTCCGCCGCCAGCGCCGTCGGCACGTCGGCACGTCGGCCCGTCGGCGTTGGCGCCGGGCTGTGTAGCTTCGGGTACGAGAGCGGCAAGCGGTGGGGTTGGGGAAAAATGGGCCGCCGGAGCCGCGCCCTGCTCACGGCATCGGCCCCAGAGAGTGAGCTCGGGGAGGGCGGGTCCGGTGCACAAGACAGCGTTCGGCATCTCCCAAACGCTACCCCGCTGCCTCGTTCGCCCCCGACGGTCGCCACGCGTCCTCGCAGGACTAGCGGTAGCCAATCCAGGCGCTCAGCTCGTCGGGCGCACGCATGGCGGACATGAAAGCCGGGCACCCACGCTCCCCAAGGGCGCAACATCTCCTCGGGATCCCGAAAAACGCCAACGTCGTCCGAGAAATTCAACGTTAGCCGCCGCCTCAGGCCGGGTCCTCCCCGCGCGGCCCTGTCGGGCCTTCCCCGCGCCCCTCCCCCCCCCTCCCTCCCCGGACCGCACCGCCCTCACCCACCCGGGATTACCCCCTTCACGTGCTGGTACACGAACTCCGAGGCAGGCCGGCCCCTCCTCACGGTGGGCACGCTGGTGGACGCGGCGCCGTCCGCGGCGCTCGCCTCCAGGATGCCGTCCGCGGCCGACGCGGGCAGTTTGCCCTCCCGCACGAGCTTCTGCACGTGCCGCTCCAGCGCTGTCTTCTCCTCGGCGAGGAAGTGGGATCCCTCCATCGCGAACTGGCGCGCGCCCCAGCTGTCCATTGCGATGATTCCCCACGGGAGGCGGCAGGGGATGCGGAGCTGTTGGGAAGCAAGCTGCTCGCTGAGGGCAGGGCGGTCGGGGGGCGGGCGGTGGCTGGGTGCGGTTTGGAGGCGTTGACGTGGGCCGAAAGAGTCGAAAAGCGACCACGCGCTGGGAAGCGGGGGTTTCTATGGACGGAGCGGCCGCCCGGGTTGGAGGGGTTGGAGGGTGCCTGGGCGGGAATGGATCAGGACAGATCGGGGTAGATGTCGTTGAAGGGAACATTTTGCTGCAGATTCGGCGTGGCACGCGGCGCGGGACGAAGTCCTACCTGGCTTGGAAGAGGGGAGGACAGCGACCTGTGAACGTTCGGAGATTTGCATAATTTGACCAAAACATCGACATAAACTGCCAAGAGACCCAAACTGCTAATAACCAGCAAACAGGTTGTGAACTGTTCAAAACCTCCCTCAAGCGTTCAATCTTGAAGGGGGCTGTCCCAAGTGTCTTACTTGACTGGCACCGGGGCTGCCGCCATTGCCTGACATCGCTTCCAACTCCTCAATCTGCAGCCATCTATAGTCGCTGTAGTGTTGGCTGCATGCCTTCCTATAAGACATCTGCATGGTGTGGTTTGCCTTTTCTAAAAGGACTTAATAGGCGTGTGGTTGCTCTGTCATCCTGTGTAGACATAAGTATCGAGGCTGATGGGGTCAACTTGGCCAAGTCCAAATGATCCTAAGCGAGCCAAAATCGACATAATGCAGTCCCTAAGAATGGAAACAATGGGATGGGAATGCTCACTAACATTTTCCCTCAAAGCGAGTCGCAAATACAAGGTAGAAAAGACGGGCTGTGAGCGCCAGAACAAAGGTCTGTAAATGCACAAAAACGGGCTGTGGATGGGCATCAACTGATTGGACTGAAATGGCACAGGGTCCCATTATTACCCGTTAAATGGGAATGCAACAGAGAGTGGGAAGAAACTTCTGGACGCTGCAGATCTGCGTCGCAGTCTGCAGTGAGGAAAAAGTCCTCACAAATTTATGCTGTGATGGGTCAGCCTGTGGCTTGAAACTTGTTCCTGTTGTTACACTCTGACAACTTTCACAACCGCCCCAGTGAGTCCGCAGCCGCATGCCCGCTTCCTAGAGCTTTACCCTGTCCTCTGGCTTTTCTTTCTTCCTCCCGTAGACGTCCAAATCCCCAAACGAGCTCAACTCCACAAAATCGGGTCTTTTAAGGAACTCTTCGGGGTCAAATTTCGTTTTTCGTGCGTCCAAATAAAACTGTATCAGCGCCACCTGGAGCACAATATCCAAGTGTCCAATTAAACCGACACTTCTTGTGTCGATATCGCGAAGGTTCAAAGAAACAATGGCAGGGGATCATGCGCTGGTGTTTCCCAACAAACTGCAGTCAGAGACTATCACCACTGCAGCAAACCTTACACCGTCGTCATTTTCTGCTCTAGCTGCCAAACATCTCGTTTTCAAATTGTTGCAATTGAATCCAATTTTCGAGATTTATCTTTTTCAGGATTTCAACGTCGTTGTCTTTTTCTAACTGCTCAATTATGCACTATTTTGGCACTTCCAACGCAGATACTCGCAGAACAGGGCAGTTGTCAGCAAACCTGGCCAAAGAACTGACAGGACGACACAATCCAACAGAAACGTCAAGTGTGATGCGCAATTCAAGACACACCATTCTTTAGAGCTGCCATGCCCGTTGTCACAAACTCTGGAGTGCCTGCCACACCCACGTCGTTTCGAGATGTTCAAGCATATTCTGTGAACACGTAGTGCAGGTCCCGGTAGGCATTTTATTGGTGCAGGAGGCTCGTTTGTGCACGTGACCAATGCAATCAAAGAACGAGTCAGCCATACATACCTTGTACACCAGAAATCCCAACAGCAGGCAGCCTTCTTCCCCTGGCTCGAGAGGGTCACCCGAAAGCGAATTGTACAGCCTACATTCACGCAACACACAGCACCATCGTACCTCGATTCCATGAATTTACACCCCACACAGGATCTCAGGCCTCAACCTGGTATCCACAGTGTACGAGCAGATTATAACACACGAACAGGGGAATCAAAAATGGGCAATAAGCGCCAGCCCAGCAGAGAAGAAGATTTGACCAATGGTGAAACAATCAATCAGGCTTCCAAAAAAACAGTGGGTTCACGCCGAAGGTGCTGCAAATATAACCCGATGGGGAAGGTGGAGGCATCGGACAAAAGTGGATGAGAACCCGAGCTGTCACTCGCCAAAGGCCATTGCACGCATTTAAAAAGGGCCAAATCGTGCTTGCTGGCAACAAGTCGCGCCTTTTCTCTCCAACCACGCTCTCAGTCTCATTCTTCACCTGGGGCGTACATGCACTGATGGAACTGACAAAGGTCACTATGGCCTGTGTGTTTCTATATCGGAGGCCAGAAGCACCCATACACCTTTGTTTCCGTGCTCAAGGTTCGATGGTGGTCAACCCAACCACGCACACGCCACTGGGCACCAAATCTTCTGAGCCAAGCCCGTCCACAATGCCACAGGCTGCAGCATTGTGTTGGGTATCTGTATCGGGATCGCATTTGCCAAAAGACCACAAAGCAAGCGCCCTTGCCCATACGCGAAAATTTTGGAAGCAGAAACTTCAGAGAAGAAACAATACCAGTGGCAGAACGAGCAACAGCAGGTGGTACTAAAGAGTCGCCTAAGATTGCAGGTACCCAACAAAAAACGCTGCCCTGATGCTGCCAATGGAGCAAGCCTTGGATGGGCTGCAGATTCAGCTAGGCGAACAGCTGGATGCTGAATGCTTCAGCCCTACCCCATGACACAGTTGCCAGAGGCTACTTGTCACCAATAGAGGACAGGTGACTAAGGTGGGCAAGCGCCCATCGGTGCATTAGGTCCAAACAGCACGCACTTGCCAAACATTCATCCAGCTGAGGGACAGCTTCTTGTGCACCAAGATCGCATGCTGCTGAAGATTGGTATATAGATAGCTGGCACTCACAACTGCAAGGAACTGCTGAGCATCGACCTCTCATCAATTTCCCGTGCGTCGTGCTTGGCCCAGCACAGAGACAAACAACATTCCACTGCGTGCCCCAGGTTTGCAGAAACTTTGCAATGCTGTGGATGCCATGATCATTGGTGTTTGAGCATTATTCAATCGAAACCTGTGTAGATCAATCAGACAATGGGTTACCATGCATCAAAGAATCAGAAGGATAATTCTGTAAGCAGGGAGATATCCCTGCTATCTGCAAACCCGCATAGCTTCTCACCATACTCCCAGGCCCAGCGCCACCACGACCAGTAGCCTTGGGTGCAGGGCATGCCTGTAGCTGGCCACCAATTTGGCCACTTTGCGAGGAGCACCTTCAGGGAGCTGCACAAGGTGGATACAGAGCAGTTGGGGGCAGCAGAATGAGGAAAGCATCAGCATGCAACTGCTGACACACACTGACTTGAATTGCAGTCACTCCAGCCACAATGCCCAAGTTGCTCCCCATCAGAAGTGAACACACTTGATTGCAGTAAGAGCACAGTTCCTCCCAATCCTGCAATGCTTGGGATTGCCCATGCAACAGACACTTCGTGCGAAAGGAAGCAATGGAATTTTCACACTTGCCTTTTCTGCCTCTTTCATGGGCACCTTTGTTTCTGGACCGATGGCATCCACACTGCGGCAGAGCATCCATAGATAGGCCAGGCAAGACACCGATCCCACCAGAGCTGCTATGCTTGCCTGCACAGGATGCACGCACCGTTGGCTCCTGTTCGTTCTGTTAGTCGTTCTGTTTGTTTCTTGATTCCACTTTGCCACAAAGTGGCAAAACACTGCCTTTGCAGCTGATTAGCAATTGTGGCACATTTCCATGCAGAGAGCTTATGTGATCCAGTTCGTCATTCTCTTTTCTCTTACATTCATGTGTGCAACATTTGTGTAAATGCCAACACTACATCCATCAGGAATGACAAACGCAACCCTACACTGGATTTATTCTCCACATACGCCATCTTCAAACTGGAATCTGAACTGAGCACAGAGGTGCTTGTCAGTATGTTTCAAAACTCAGAACCCACCATTCATGTGATGCCTTGACCACAATGCCATTTTGTTGCACCTAAAGAAGCTTCCTTAGTGTACACATGCCTTGCTATTGACATTGACACACCTGAAGCTTCTTTGGTGATGAATCGAACTGATGGCTTTGGGGTCACATCTCGCAACTGAAACCATGCCGAATGCCCAGGGTGCATAGGTGCACAGACGCTGCGGCCCACTCACCTTGTCTGAAGCCACAAGATACAAGTAGGCAGAAAAGCAACTCCCAGCTATGGCTGTCCTCTTGAAAAGCTCGAATTTCAACACACCAAATTCCTGCCACAGCATAGCAAAGTTGCAATTTGTGCAAATTGCCTGCACTTGTTTCCGCAAGTGAATATGTCTATCCGTGGCGGACTGTGCAGGCACAGCCACTGGGCTTTCGTGCTGTCAGTTTCCCCTTGCCTGTCTCAAACAATCCACAAGAAATTCAAGTACACTTTGCTGCATCAACAACCTCAGCGGCCCCTCAGGACGATGCTCGCATGTATATCAGCACCCTAATGACATGGTCTGCGCCCACCTTCATGGTCTTTACTCTGCACTCTTCGATTTGAGTAGCTACCTCAGTGCTCGATGGAGCATCTTCCAGAGCGTCAGTCACAGCAGTACATCTGCTGACCCGCAACAGCAGAAATCATTGTCATCTGCTGTGCACCTTGTTGCAGGTTCACATCAATGGAACGAAAAAAGCAACAAACTATCTTTTCAAAGAATTTTTTCCAGAGAATGTGGCAATAGTGAGGTGTGGATGCAGGCTTCCATTTCTTTCTTCTACCATTTCAAAATTTAAGATTGTCTGTAGTTTCTCTGTATACAGTAGCAACGTCAGTACGCAGTCTTGAGGGCTCAGCATCAGAGCATATTTTGGACACGCAACTCGGGTCAATCGGCCACTTTCTGTGAGAAAACAATGTGGGAAAAGCAGAAAGTGTCTACCATCGCACTGTGGGTAGTGTTGCAGTCAACTGAGCATTTCTGTTTCCTTTGCAAAACTCTACCACTGTTAGAAGCTGAGCAGCTGTGGAGTTGCCAGGGAGACCCACAGTGGTCCAAGATGCATGAATAACTGGACAGAGGTGTTGAGTAGACTTGACACAGTTTTTACAAACATGGCAGTGCAGTGATTGGCCACAGTTCAAGAGTATGCAGGCAAAAAACTCTCCCCCGCCAGCCCCCCTCTTCACCCAGTTTGTTCTTCAAGGTGCAACACAGTGGAGAATCAAATAACTGAAACTGGAAAGAAGTTCATAAAGTACTGCCAATGCACCAGAGTATGTGAAGCAACAGCAACACCAAATTGTTCTTGGGCAAAAGCAATAGGGCTTCCTTGCTCTTCTGCGATTACTGTTGCAGTCTCCATCCCACAGCCCAGAAGATGTTTTAGGTGGCAGAACATGACAAGCTTTTCAGGTATCCATATGTGTCCAGCTTGTCCACCATTTTTCCTGCAAATCCATGGCACCATTGCACTAATACAGCAGATAAGAACGAATTCTGCAATGGATGCGATGCTTGATTGTCCTTGGTTCTGGAAAATGTGACAACCAGCAGCAGCAGCAATGGAAGCAGATCCTGGGAACAAGAGAAGAGGGGGAAAGGCAGCAAACAAATTCAGATGGTGGGCGACACACAGTTTGGCAGTGGGAAATACAGCCATACACACCGCATGCTGGCTTAAGAAGTGTGTAGGCCTTTAATGCAACTGTTAGCTCTCGAGGAGTTGATTTTGGGTCCAGGGTACATTAAACTCTAAAGAGCAGACAACCATCAGCAAACTGGCTATGGTGTTGATTTGCTGCCATGCAGTTGTGTCTCACCTGATTTTACCAGTGCCTCTTGCATGCTGTGAGCTCCAGGGACTGTGGCTGACACTGTGGCATGTGAAAGGAATGGGGCCACGCAATTTGGACATCTGAAGCCTGGAGAACAGACACTGACAGAAAGATCAAGAGAAAGGAAATGCCTACAAGACAATGCAACTCCTTGGGCTTGGACCTGCATCATCTATGGGTAAATATACGATGATGAAAATACATGCTTGTATACAACGCATCCTCCACGCTATCAAATGACTTGGGAACTATCTGCTATAATACGAATTGCTTGGTACAAAACGTGCAACAGAACAGACACACACATCGCCCTTCATTGCCACACAGAACTGAGCACGACTTTCTGGACAATGGTATCAATTGCCTATCCTGCCGAATAATTTTGTTGGCGAAGTACTCATGGATCCATGCAATTTGCACCCAGGGACACTCTCGTCTCCAGCAAATTTCTAATTGCAATTTCATGGATCGCAGTTGTCAAACAAGCATGCCGAACAATGGTCCTGCGCCCTTGAGGCAATTCCTGTTGCACTGTGAGGCATCTGCACCATCTTCTGCAGGATAGCAAAGAACATCACAACATCTCTTGATCAGGAATTGGGAGGGAGCTGCTGATTATGTGGCAGCTTTCGCTGGACTCGCCAGCGTCAGGCATGACCTATACAGGCAAGGAACAACGCCAAGGAGTGTGGGTTCATGCACTCCTCAGAATTGGGGTGCTAATACCTGGGGTACTTCTGTGAGATTTACGTTTTTGGGGAGTCGAGAGTCGAAATTGGTGTCCTCAAACAATCCAATGTCTGCAAACGATTTCGTCTGCTCCAGATGCGGTTGGGCACTACACAGACGATGACATGAATGTCGTCTATTTCTGTGTACACGTGCAGGTAACCGCCCAGGAAACCATCTTTTACCTTGATGACCCCCATCGAGCTGCCATTGCATTCGCAATGTGTCGGCCCTACAGCCGGCCACAGCCGCTGCCCCTCCTTCAGCTCGTTCAAACGCTGCATGAGCACAGAAGGGTTTATCAGAAAACCATTGAGATTGCCTTTGAGTCAAAGCCGTCGCCGCAGTCCGCACACATTTCTGTGAGCTGAAGCATCGAACTGCGTGACCCTGGGCCTCCTGTGCGCTACAATCACACAAAAAATAGCGCATTTCCTTTCACTCCATTGGCTCCATTCACTCCACTGCAGATTCCCAGGAGCACAAGCGCACACAATAAGCAGTTCGTGCGGAGTCCCTTTCAGCTCTGATGACCACAGAACCTGCTTGTGAAGGACTGGAGGCGAGCCTGCGGGAGAACCACGGCCGTTCGTTGAGACGCGACTGGCGGACTCGCCTTGTTGCCGACTTGCCTGAGACTTCGCTGGCTGGACAGGAGGCCGCGGAGTGGCACCCACCCACACACACACGTTTCCTATCAGGTCGAGCAGTTCCTAGTAGGCCAATGGCCCTTACGAAGGCACTCAAATCTTCCAAAATCAGGACGAAGTCTTCTGTGACCGTCGAGCGATATCGTCGGTGCATCCTTAAATCTTTCATGCCCTCTTCTGTTGAACAGTAATTCCCTTCAACCTACATTTTTTCTTTTGTAAGGAAGCGTTGTGTAATGCGTTGTGTATACTTTTGTATAAGCGTTGTGTGTGGTACCAACGCTGCATGTCGATGGATATTATCTAACATGAGGGCGTGCCTTGCAAGCGCGCTTCCCTTTGCTTGACTCCATGCCTAATCTTCAGTCAACTTGTGTTGAAGGTACCCACCAACACCATAAGAGACACATGTTGGTGATGCCACCATAATACTCGGTGGCGCCATGATATTGAGTGTGACGGCATCCGAGCAACTATGATGGCATCAATCAGTGTCGAATGCCGTCACAATTGGCATATCCAAAAGGTGGTTTTTTATAGGCTTGGGAAATATGGCTGTGTATAAATACAACATGCAGAAATATGCGCATTTGGGCAAAATTTTTACATACACGTACTTTTAAACCTGTTTAAGAACATTTATATTAAATGTCTATTCATTTTTTCAATTAATGGATGAGTTCTTCGAGGGGCATCCCGCGGACCTTCAACCAGCACATCACAAGGGAGCTTGGCGTGCTGTGGATGCAGGAAGGAGTGAGTGGCGATGCCGAAGGTCCCCAACTGTACCGCACTAACCGGTACCCGGGGGTATCGACAACTCCCCTACAGTAACCGGCCCAAGAGGGCTACAGTTACGATAGTGTAGGGGTTAGAGTGCTTAGACCGGCACTAGGGCGGTGGCCACCGGTACCTGGGGTACCCCCAGGTACCGGCGCTCGGGTGTGGCCCCAAGTACGTAGTACTTGGGGTCCGGTGCTGGGTCCCAGCTTAATGGCCTTCGAGCGCCCGCACCGGTACGCTCTCTCTCACCCCCTGTTGCGCGCTGCCGCGCAACATTTGGTTTCGGAGCCGGGTTCTCGCGAACCCGGCGGCCTTTTTCAGCCCCACCCACCCCTCGCGGTGCGGCCCCCCCTCCTCGATTGCAGGGCTGCTCCGCCTCCCTCCGATCGCCGCCTTCGCCGAGTTCAAGCCATCTCCATCGCCATGTCCGAGGAGGGCACTTCCAGCCAGGCCATCGGCGCCGACGGCGACGATCAGCCGATGCCGGCGGTCTGTGCGGCGCAGGCGAGCGGGGTGGTCTCCACCCAACCGATCGGCACGCCCCTCAGCGCCCATTCGGCCGAGGGGGGCACAATTTTCGAATCGGCTGGGGGGGACCTGTACCCCCCATCCTCCCCCCCTCGGGCGAGTATGCCCCCGGCGGTGCGCCCGATCGTCGGGGCGCCCGATGCTTTGTCTCGCAGCCCGAACCGGCCCCCTCGCCCCGCTGTTTTGGGGCCGCTGGACCTGCCTAATGCCCGCGATTTGGCCGGGCAGCTCCTGCCATTTTTGGAGGAGCATATCCGCCAAATGTTGGCGGGCGTGGGTCCCTCCAGCCGCCTGCCCCCCTTGCCGCATTCCGGTCCGATCACAGCCCCCACCCCTACCGCCCCGCTGCCCATTTTTTCGGGGGCTGAAGGGAGGGCCCTCTCGGGTTCTTTGTCTCCAATTCCCTCCTCCTTGGCGGGTTCTGTGGCGGCCTTGGCTGTGGCCCCACCCGCCTCGAGCTTGGAGGCATTCTCTGGTCTTGGGACCCCGCTGAATCCCCCGATCGGCTCCCTGCTGCCTGCTGGCTCGGGATCCCGGGGTGCTGTGTCTCCAATTCCCCCCTCCTTGGCGGGTTCTGTGGCGGCCTTGGCTGTGGCCCCCCCCAGCCTCGGGCATGGAAGCATTCTCCGGGCTTGGGCACCAGCTGAATCCCCCGATCGGCTCCCTGCTGCCTGCT